TGGGGAAGCAGTTTGTGAGCCATTGGGAACCTTTACCGATCAAATGAGACAAAGGAGCGAGAGAAAGGAATATTAGGTGGGAATCAAGGATTTGTGTAATCATGCATTCAACAGCTCTCTTCCCCCTCAAGGACCAGAAACATTGGGCAGGTATAGGGATTCTAGCACGGGAATGGTGCATTCAACATTGACTCTTTCCCTTGAGACATACAGGATATGCGGTCATGTACCGGACATTCGATGCAGATATTTATAAATTGAATAAACTCTATAAATCCAACTATATCGGTGATTCCAATTGGTATCGCCCCCTCGGAACAGATCCCTAGAACTTATAATTACCCTTATGCACTTAGTTCAACTGCGACCCTCAACATAGCCAGCCCCAAACATCCTTTCCGTGGTCACCACGTACCCTTCAATTTCCACCCTAAGTCTGCCCCCGAATAGCCTGCCTAGAATACGTATACTATTACTATTGTGTCCGTATAAGCTTCCCACATCTGGCATCAAACATACTGCTGCAGTGTCACTCTCACACAGGCCCCCTTAAATGCGGTGATACGCCTAACGCCACTTTGCCATTCCTATACCTTGTACACACAAAATATCACGACATCAACGACGCACTGCCATCTCATCCCCGCCACCCCAATAATCATCACTCCCTTAACCCATACACAACCTCCACTTAAAAGGTGAAAAACGGTACTATCACATCTAATTATCTCACTCGACACTATCGTAATTACGACATCTACCACCTCCCTGCCTTCCAAAACGCCATGCTAACAGCCACACAAAAAGCCTTCATTGCCACCACACTAACGCCGACGCAGATGCACACGCACATACACCAAACGCCTGAAGATGTCGTACTGCCGTGTAAAAGACAGCTATACTCCTAGCCACCAAAACGCTCACGGAGATGGTAGAAAGCACAGAGAAGAGAGAAGACGCACAATTCATCACTCCTATCCATGTCCAACTGCCAACCCTCCCCACTCAAACAACCCTCCTTCCAACCCTCCGTCTGGCCAACCCACCCTCCACCCCCAACCCCGGCGCCGGCACGGACGAAGCCAAACCCTCAGCACCGGGAGCAGGCATCACGACTTTAATTCCCTTCTTCGGAGTGCCGCTCCCGATCCCTATTCCGAGACTCCTACCTTGTTGATTCTCCTTACCATCAACAGGGACGGGTACAGATGGCGGCACAGGCGGCAAAGCCGAAGATATCAGTGGCAAGGAAGACGGGAGCGGTAGTTTGACCTTCCGAGGAGCGGCGAGGCGGGATTTGCGTTCTTTGGGGAGGGCGGTCGCTTGGGTTGTGGGAGCTGGGGTCGTGAGGGTGGAATTGGCGGATGTGGTGTCTGCGGCTTCTTCGGGGAGTTGGGAGATCGGTGTAGTAGCGGTATCGGCGGAATCCAGACTGCCTACGGGATGTCTCTTAATCTTTCTCGTAGTTCCTGCAGTTGCTTTGGAAGAGCGGTGCAACTTCTCTTTCTCCTTTTCCGCCGTCGCCGATGCGGCATCTTTGCCCTCTGCAAGCCCATCGGCCTGAGACAAAAGACCCTTTGCAGGCGTGCCATTTACACCCCCCAGATTCCGCACCCTCTTCCCTCTTGGCGTTTGCATCTGCGTCGTCCCCTCCTTCTTCTCCTTGTCCTTTACCACCCTGACCTTCTTCTTCACCACTGCCTTCGGGACCCCCTCATCCCCATCACCCGCCAACTCATCCGGCGTAGCCAAACTCTCCGCCTCCGCAATCGTCTCTGAATGCTCCCGGTAATATGCCAGTGTCTCATCCCACCGCACATTCTTCTTCCCCGTTCCCGAATTCTTCATTTCCTCGCTACCAGAACCCGCGCTCGCCGGTGACGCTGACCCACTCCCATTCCCACTCGCGGTTTGCGCCAACTTCAGCAATCGGAGCGCCACACTAACAGCACCCTGCTTATTCTTCCGTGTATTCGCGCGCGTCAAGAGACCCAACTCTTGGGCCTCCGTTCTCTTGAGGACAATCGGCTCGCCGCCTTCGGTGCGGCGGAGAGCAATATTCTTGGGGATCTGAAGGGATGATGCTGGAGGAGGAATGCGGGACTTGCGTGTCCGCGTAGACCGGCGAGAGGAGGTAGTCGAAGAGTGAGATTCCGCCTCTCCTCCCTCTTCTACTGCCACTTCTTCCGGTACTGCGCCCTGTTTTGCAAGAGGAGAACCAGACATTTCCGGATTCATGCTAAGTGTCAGCGTCTGTGTGAGGTCAAGCGTGGCATCATTATCGAGCTTGGAGGGAGAATTGGGATCCTTATCCTCCAGTATCTTTCGGGGTGAGGCTAGCGCCTGACGCACAGCGTCGGAGTCCCGCCGGTTTTGGAGAGAGGTGCGCCGGGTGATGATAGCCGCTTTGTTGGCTTTGCTGGCTGCGGCTTTGCTCAGGAAGTTGTGGAGGATGGCGGTGTCTTCGTCGAGTATGTCTAGGAGAACTGTGCTTGTCGTTTCTTCCGTGAAGTCCGCTTGTGGCGGGGGAGGAGGAGATAACAGCTTCTTCTCCGGAGCTTTTATTACAGGGATGGATGGAGTGAGGCTGAGGCCATCTGTGATATCATCAGATAGGGCGGTGGTTGCAGCTTTGATCTCGGGCTGAACTTCGCTGTCTTCCGAGACGGGGGTGGTGGCCAGGGCATCCTCAGGCGTTTCGGAAGTGAGCTCCATGGCATCTTGCCATGTTGATGTAGTTGGGAGTACTTGGCGGTCCTCTTGAGGTGGAGTCTCGCTGGGCTGCTCACTTGCAGAGTCGGCTGTAGCTGGTGCCTCGACAGGCAACTCTGACTGCTCTGTGGAGGCAATCGGAGTGGCTGTATCTTCAGGTGCAGGTGCGGTCAACTCGTCCAGATTGCGTGTTATCTCCGTTTGTATGGACGCTTCGGTGACATCCTCATCAGATGACTGGGCGGTCAGTTCTATATCGCCAGGCTGCAATATAGGTCGAGTGTGAAATGCATCTACAGGAAATGAGATCTCAGACATCCCGAGGTTCTTGTCACCACTCAGTTCGTCGACTACATTTTCCGAACATTCAGGGACAGTGACTCCATTGGAGGGTTCCAGCTGCGGCTCTGAGACACCGGGTATAATAAGGTCCGTTGTCGTCAACGAGTGAACGGATCTAGGCAGATCCATATTCTCATCTTCCGCGACCTTTGGTACCACGCCTGTGGAATTATCAGGTTCAACAGCGTCGTTTACAAGATCCACTTGCGCAAAAGGTGTTTCCGCTTCTTGCGATTCGAGTCCTGCATCTTGTATGTCGGTCGCTTCAGCTTCGGTTTGTACTGTATTGCTGTCGGCCTTTCCGAGTGATTCAGCACTTTGGCGCATCTCCATCTCTTCGCCCAGGCCGTCAGGACGCCATTTCATGCGACCTTCAAGGCCAGAGTCTGTTTCCCCAGGGCTACGAGGGGTGGCCTTCCGAGGCGAGTAGACAGGCATGGTAGGCGAAACGTCTTCTTTCGCTTCCGAGTCTGATGCTGCCTGCGCTTGCTCCTCCCTATCTTGCCTACCCCTCTCAAGTGCACCCGGCGATAGTTGGGTTTCCCGCTCTTCAACTGTGACAGAGAATGACGACTTTGTTCTATCCTCGTCTTGCAAGTTTTGCGGTGTCGAGGGTTGTTCCTGCTCATCTTTCTCCAGGCTTTCTGAGCCGCTGTTGGCATCCTCGGTCGTCGCGCCCTCCACCCCATCCACAGCTTCCTCATCCACAGATACAGGCTCAGTTTCATCGCCGACAGTGTCGCGTCCCAAAGTTCGCTTCCCTACAACCTATCAGAAATGGCGCAACTCCAATGGCGCGCAGAGAACCTACGGGGCAGAACACTCTTCCTCCGATCATACCGCGTGCCCTTGAAAGCGCGCTTTCTCCCGTCTGGCTTCGCAGGAATGAGTTCCATATCCGCAGGCTTCACTTTCTGCAATCTCTTCACAGCTCTTGCGCGCGAATCAAGCTCCTCGTCGTCAGGCGCAACGGTTGTGGTCGACGAGCGCGTCGCGTATCTGCGCCAGACTTTCTTTTCCTTCCCGTCACCGCGAACGACTTTCTCAGGCTTGCGGTCCCATGCGCGCGGGGCTTTGGACACAGGTAGAGCTGCAGGGTCGAACGCGGTTGCATCTGAGTCGGTCCATGTTGTCTCGAAGGTCGAGGGCGCGCTTTTGCGCGGTGAAGTCGGCATTGGCGGAGAATATCCAGTGAATGATACTAGGGTATAATAAGCCGTGAAAGATAAAGTAAGAGATCCTCGACGCCAAACTCCTAGCCGCACTCGAGAGGTGAGGTTCCTGGTTGTATTGAAGGCCGCGGTGCGAGTCTCGTGGGTAAACAACAAACAGAGAGAGATGTCCGTGCACAAGAGCAACGGTCCGATTATGGTTTAGCGCCCCGCGACTTTTTGGACTGCAGAGATATCGCGACTTCATGGATCACTGCACACCCTATACGCCTTATATTCCGACTCCAGTACTGACCGCATCCTATTCAATTGTCGCATCCAATTTCCCGCACAATGGTTCCAAAGCCTGCTGCCGGTGCGACAACTGCAAAGTCGGTGACCAACCGTGGTCTTCCCCCACTGCCAAAGCTTCGTGTTCGTCGACCGAACAAACCGGAGACGAACCCATGTTTGGGTGTAATGGCGTCTGTATTGGGTATGCGCATCTCATAGCATTTTGGGGAGATTGGATGGAGGAATGGGAGGGCAAGGGAAGGGCGCAGCATGCAGACTTCCGCATGCACCTGGCTTGCCACCATTCCCCGGATCAGATGAGAATATGAGAAGGGACAGGAAGGCTGATGGGTGATAGGTTGCTGGGCGTCATCGGGATACAGCGTGCAAGGATGCGCACAATTCGAGCAGAAGTTGAGAGCATGCATGGATGCACCGGTATGGACCTTCTGGAAACCCCGACCAACCCTCACTGACACCTTTAAAGAGGAACCAGAACATGAAGAAGAGCAACATCAATTACCACCTCTCGCGGATGTATCCGAAGATGAAAGGACCTCACAAGCGCGACTAAGCCATCTACGATAATTCCTTCGCTCGTGTTGTACATTATCAGATACTGTCATTTTCCTTCCTCGGCGACTGGAAAACAGTTTAGACTGGAAGGAGACAGCAAGCCAAATATATGGCATGATTCATTGGGTCAGCGCTTTGGGGTGGATATACCATTGTACATTTGTATCTGTAGTAAGAGCGGGATGGCATTGCGGTCTTGCCAGTTTCGATGGATACCGCCCGATGGACTGGATGCGACTAGAGCAGGCCACCGATGCCCTACCGGTCGACATCCGTGACGATATTCTATGTGTAAATACGATGACGTCTGCACAACGGCGAGTTCTCCTTCCGTGATTGCAACTGTTCAGTTCAGTTGACTCGCGATTCTGGACTTCCCGATGGGCGGTTTCTGTACAACACGAGAGCACAGCAAACGTCTGGACTATCTCCTCGATTCGCCAAATCATTCCTTCTGTTGACATGTTTTCCCAAAGGAATTAATTGCCGACCTTTGGCGATGGCGGTGAGCCTTCTTCTCAGCTTGTTGAATGTGACACCGGCACCGAGTACACAAAATCGCAGACGGCTTAGCTGCTTATGTGCCAAGGGTTGCTAAAAGGAATCCACGCTCTCGCGGATACGGTGAGGGGAAAACAGCCGAGCCGTGATATCGACTACATCTAAAGAGTCGCAAGAGTTGTCGCAATTATCTTCTAATCCTGCTCACCTTTGCGCTCTCCTCATCCTACCTGAATACCTTCTACAATTCTTCAGTCCAGAATGGCTCCTCCCTACAACGTCGCAGTCTTGCTGTACCCCAGCGCCGACATCGTCGACTTTTCCGGGCCTCTGGAAATCTACTCCTGTCGAGCCGCTGATTTCAAAACCCAGATATTCAAAACCACGACATTCGCCTGCCAAAACTCTGTTAGAGTGGGAGACAATGCCATGACCTTGGTGCCGGACGCTTCGCTCGAAGAGATCCGGGCCAACCTCAAGAATTACGATCTCTTGGTCGTACCCGGCGCTGCCCCGGATCCGATCCTCGAGCTGGTCAAGACAGAGGACGGAAAAGCCATTTTCAGTCTGATTCAGGAGTTCGCTTCCCTCCCACCTCGACAGGAAGCCGGCCAGAGAGTTATCCAGTCGGTGTGTACGGGCGCACTCTTGCTCGCCGGGGCTGGAATCCTGGCTGGACGCACCGTAACGACGCACCACATGTTTTACGATCTGTGCAAACAGATGGCGGATGAAGCTGCAGGGGAAGATTCCAAAACCACGGTGATTGCAAAGAGATGGGTGGACGCGGGAGTTACGGATGCTGGTGTGAGGATTGTCAATGCGGGTGGAGTCACTTCGGGAATCGACACGAGCTTGTTCGTGGTTGAGTCTTTGGCTGGCAAGGAGCACGCAGACTGGGTGGCGGAGATTGTCGAGTTTGAGAAGGGGGGTCAGGATGATGCATGGGGTTCGAAAGAGTAAAAATAATAAACTTGAGGGTGGGATGACATTATGGTTGCTGCCATTGAGGACATGAGAGGTGTTCTTCAAGGAGTAGGGAATACCAATGGTATAGATCCCACTGAAATTCCGTATTCTCCTTGACCGGTGCTTGTCCTTCTCCTCCGAAGAATGTCTCCCCGGATCATCCGAGTTGTTCATTATAGGGACTATTTTTACCATTCACAACACAGCACACCATGCTTTTCCTGGTAAGGGGCTCACTAGCCCCAAACTCTCAGCCCCCATACGTGCGGCTGGCTGTGCTCCAATCGCGTGAAGGGCCATTCACAGCCCAACAGTCTTGGGATGCTTTTCCTCATCAGTGTCAGCGCGGGTCCTGGGCTTCATCTTGACTTGCTGTCATTGCGCCCTTGTGCCTGGGGCAGCCTACCATGGCGGGAAGACGGCTCTGTGATTCGCGCACTGATCCACGCAGGGACTCAGCTTGAGGTTCGGCTTTCCTATCGCGTTTGTTTGTTCGTTCGTTTCCCCTGCAAGAGTACTTGACCTCAGCTCCCCCGGAAATTTCCTCGTGTTTGCGCTCCTCTCTTCAAGTCCCGCGCCTATTCTTCTTCAACTGCATCAGACAGGTTGATCTTTTCGTCTCATAACAGTCAATGGTCTGATATTGTTTTCGCTGTCGTTATCGTCACGTCTACATAATGTTTCAGTACTCAATATGCGCCTTTCTGGCGCCCGCCCTCGTCTCAGCGGCAGCGTTCCCATGGGCGGGACCGGACCCTACGCTCGTTATCCCTGAACCCGACAATTGGACTCCTGCTCCGACCGAGGGCCCAAGGATGGGAGCTATGGAACTTGTGAGGAGAGCGGACGACAGCACATGCGGTTACATCTCTGGGGTGGAGAGTGAGTGCTGTAGACCCCTTTTGACAAACATCTGCTAACAGTCTATTCAGCCGATTCATTGACCTGCAACGACCCGGGATACATCTGCGCGACAAACACCTTCTATGGCGTCCACGGCTGCTGCGACCCAGCCGCAATCTCAACATGCTCCCTCTACACGTCCTGCGTCAACTCGGCCAACATGGCCAGCTGTACCGGCGCCTGCCTGTCCGACGACATGATAGCGAAATGGTTCGTCCTCCTCTCACCCCCATCTTCCCTCCCAACATTTCCCACTTCCCACATACCATAGTATGTATATTGACCCTTCTCCTCCAGCACCAAATCCTCCGCCGCCTTCTGCTACGAATGGCGCTACGTCTACGCCTCGACCGTCATGACCGAGCACGGCTGCGCCTCGACGTCCTGGACCATCTCCGCCTGGCGCACCCACTCCAACCAAGCCAGCCGCGACATCTCCGACGCCCCCAATGCCGTCACCGACCCGACCGGCGACTCCTCCTCCGTCCAGCGTCTCACAGGCCTTCCCACCATTTCTCGTTCCTCCCCAACCACATCCTCCGCTCCTACCTCCTCCTCCTCAACCACATCAACCTCGACCTCCACCCCCTCAGACACAGGATCCAAAACAAACGTCGGCGCCATCGCCGGCGGCGTCGTCGGCGGCGTCGTCGTCCTCGCCGCCCTCGCCTTCGGCCTCGTCTTCCTCGTCATGCGCAACCGGAAGAAATCCGCCGCCTCTACCTCCACACCTGCCGCAGGCACTCCCGGCGCCCCAGGGTTCGCGGGCCCCGCCCCAGGCGTCGCAGAGTATAAACCGCAACCTGGCGGTCCCGCTGGTCCATCTCCCTACGGCTCGCCGCTGCCAGGGTATGCGGCGGCTCCTGTTCCTCCGTCGGGAGGCTACTACGGTCCTGCGTCCGAGGAGGGAAAGTGGGCGCATATGGGGAATGCAGGCGCGGGCGCACCGCCGCCGCCGGGGAGTCCGGCGCCGCCCGAGGGGATTGTCGAGGCGGGTGGGAATGCGGTGCAGATGCCTCAGGGTGGGTATGTGCCTCCGCCGGGGTCGCCGGGACCGCAGCAGGTGGGGATGCAGAGGCCGCCGCAGGGCAATGTGTATGAGGCGCCTTGATGGGGATCTTGTAATGAGTGTGGCTGGAGGGGGGATTGTCTGTGTTGCTCGTTCTGCCCTCCGAGGCTCTTTCATCGCTTGAATCCCTGTTTCACATTTGTTTACCTTTTCTTTCTGCCTCACTACTTCGCGTTTTCGCTTCGTTGTTTTTGCATCCCCCAAGCGTTATGCTTGTATACACGTCCCTATTCTGTGGAAATCTATTTCGCGCCGAAGGAAAACAGACAAGAAGAGGAAGAAGAGGAAGAAGAGATGACGACGAAGAGGAAGAGGAACAAGAAGAGGAAGAGGGAGGGATATACCCTAGGAGCAAAGATTTGCAATAGTTAAATATCGACACATACGTATATTTTATATTTACCTCGTCGCGTCTGCAACTTCTAGATCGAGAAGATTTACACTGATATCAATACTCCCATCATTTTTCCTGATTTAATGTCTACACCCAGGATAATCACAGTAGAATCATCTTCATCGTTTCTTAAATCATCTTCATCGTTCCTAAAGAGGACGTCCACCTCTCACTCCCTCTTTGACTCCATCCATTAATTTACAAAACCCTTCGGCAGTACATCAGAAAGCGAGCAGTCACTCTGCGAGGCAGACAGAGAAAGGAGTGGGAAGTGTACTACAGGTCCTATATTCATAAACGAAGTCATCATGATAATAAATAATAGTATACTTTAAAGTATGAAGAGCACCCTTCTTTGACAATTGAATCACGGATGTTCTTTTCTTCCCCCAAAACCCAGCTGCCCACTTACTTCCATGCATCACATCAATCCGCTCGCTCACTGACAGCCATGCAAACCCCATATTCAAGAAGTTAATCAGCAGAAAAACAGAATCAAAAAAGTAGAAAGAATTAACCATCAAACCGTCACCATCGAACAACTCAAACCCCTTCCCTTCCCCCCTTCAACGCCTTTTACATCCTCTACCAAGCATCCCCAAAAATCTCCTTGGGACTCTGCACCAACTCCTCCTTCTCCCGCCCCACCATCCTCCTCCCCTGCCGACTCTTCCTCTCCTTGCGCGTCACCAGATGCGGCGTCACGGGCGTGATGGGCGTAAACGGCATGTACGGCGAGTACGGCGTGAACGGCACGCCCGTCTTGGGCGACGCGAGCGACAAGTTGTCCATACGGCGATCGAGCACCGTGGTGCGGAGGTCCGGGGATTTGAGGGGCTCGGTGTAGCCGCGGAGAGGGAGGGCGTTGGACGTGGTGCCGGCGGTTGCGGATCGGGATGGGGATTTATTGTTGGAGGAAGGGGCGTCGGAGGAGTAGGAGTTCAGGCGTTGGGGTGCTGGGTTTGGGAGAGGTTGGACTTCGTCGAGTTGTTCGTAGGCGTCGAGGTCGCCTGGCGTGGTGGGGGAGTTTTGCTGCGAGGGGGTTCTTGCGCCGGGGTAGTGGAAACGGGGGGAGAGGGGGGTGCGGGCTTCGTCGTCGGAGCCTTGGTCGGGGTATTTGGTGTGGGTGTTGTTGTGCATGGGGCTGGAGATGCGGAGGTTTTTGAGGTTGAAGCGGGCTTTGTTGGTCGAGGTGGAGGCGTTGGATGTGGTGGATTTCTTGGAGAGGATGCTGCGAGGGCTTGCTGGGGGTTGATCTCGTAGTCTTTCTCGGTCTCGTGGGAGAGGAGCGGTTGGGGCGCCGCTGTGGTATCCTGGAGGATAGATGGCCCGGACGGGTGAGGCCGGGTTCGAGTAGCTCACTGATGCTCGACTCGTGTCGATTCTCGGTGGGCGCCTCTCCTTAAGTTCGGTCTCGTCGTTGCTGATCTGAGAGTAGGACTTCTTCCTGTCATGCTCCATGACGGCCGCGTACAGACGCTCCATCTCTGCTTGAGCGCGGTCGCGGTCGGCTTCAATGACCTTTTGGTCGAATGAAGCCGGAGACTGCACCACAGGAGACTCTGTGCTTCCAATGGCGGAATCGATGTTTGATTTCGGTCTGAAGCCCCTCTTGAACCAGGATGTCGCTGATCTTGCAGAGGCTGGCGATGCTGGTGTCCTGCCGGAAGGTCGTGCTGTGACGAGTTCAAGCTCCAAAGCCTTTGGAGCAGTCACTGCCTTTCGTCTCATATTCTTCCCAACGGTGAGGAGCAGCACACCCCAGATAAGTACTGTGAGGACGTAGGCGCCGACAATGGCGCAGATCTGAGCAGGAAGGAGTGCCTTGTTTCGCGAGGCGTTGGCGGACGCGGGAGGTCCGTCTTCCGGCGAGGGCGCGGGGCGGCGATAGTTGTCTAGGAAGTTGAAATCGTACGGCGCAGCGTCTATGCAGGTGACAACGAGGAGCAGAGAGAAGGCCGTGGACAGCCCACTCCGCATGGTTGGGCGGGTCGCTGATCTGAGGCGGCGCTCAAATGGGCCGGCAGCGACAGGCGACACACAGAGGAGCCGGATGAAGTGCGAAGTGTAACAGCTGGCGACATGGTGATATGAGGATTGGGGGGTCTGTATGTACTGTTCCGCTGGCCAACTCAGGTGGGCTGCAGCGTCCGGGGGTCGAGGGCTGGGAGAGGCTGCTGGGCGTGCTGATTGGAGTTGAGGTTGTGCTGGGGGGTGTGAAGCTGCAGCCAGGCACACTCGTCGATTAACCGCCGGGGGCGGCCATGGCACTCTCTGCGACGGGCCAGTCCGCACCGAGAGATGATAATCGTACATGGAACTCCGTACCACGCGAGATCAATAATCTGCGCCGCAGAGGAGCGGCGGATGCAGATGCGGATGCGTGTCAGAGTGATGCTGGTCCATCTGGATAGCGACTTGGTGGTGGAGGAAAACCTGCGAACCGTGCCACAACTCCACAGGAAGCGGGAAACGAGAAACGGGAAACTGGAAATGGAGAACGCTGGGGCCATGAAAAACAGCAAAACATAGAAACACCCAGATTATCAGCAAGCCCCGCTCGGCGCATGAAGCATTGAACGGCCAGAGGGATGCCGTGGGGGTCCGTCCTCGCCAGTGAGGAGCTCCAACACAGTGCGCGACATGGTCGACCCGCATGCATGATTTTCGGCCCTGCAGACGAGAGCAGTGCACGTTTTGCTTGACTGTGAAATCGCGTGAAATCGTGTGATTTGCGAAAGACATTGATTTTCCGTAAGCGCCCGCCCAGAGTTGTGCGACGCCAATCACATTGCCTCCATCTCTCCGGACTGGGACATCACAAGCCACAGTCCAGTAGACCATCCACTCGTCGCTCGAGGCTTCCAGTTCGTGAATTAGCGAAGGAGCAGTCGATAAAGCATCGTTAGTCGTCACACCGGATTGAACAAAGCTTCCATTTGCTGTTGACATGACTATCACATCCTGGCTCATGCGACTCATATCGTCCGTATGGTTGCAAGTAGGATGTGCAGACCACAGAGGAGCTCCTGAAGTGACGAATCCGACCGTTGTCGCGAACATGGAACCTGTGTAGCTATGCCGGTGTCGAAACAACTACAAATCCATCGCTCCTGCCATTAGGCTCGTCGAATGCGTCTGACCGACTCCCTAGATGTCCCGTATCCTCCTGAATTAGCGCGAGCTAGTAAAAAGCATCTGCTCTGAAAGGAGGCGGTCGGAGCTTACCATTGGCAATTCGAGGACATGGCAGAAAGGAGAAAATGTTTCCATGCTTCCGAAGAGCCGAGTCTTCAATAAAGGATTCTCACAAGACGATACGGCCCTCATTTGCCTTCGGCTCTCTGCACCAATGCCTCCTCTAGCCCCATCGGCTCCCACAAATTCTTGTCCTTCTTATTTTGCGCATACAGCACGTCGCCCTTCATGTAGACCACCACTCCTCCTTGGCCCGCCGCACTAGCAGTGATCCTGAAGAGTGGGGTGCCCGTTAAGTCGTGTGCCTTGCGGAGCGGGATCAGGAGCAGACTTTCTTCGGAGCACCAAGACTCTACCACATCACGGAAGGTGGCTTCTTCTACCTCCGTTCTCGCGGCAACAGGCGGCTCCTTGACAGCAGGTTTCGTCGGCCGAGGAGACCCAGGTACTGAGCTTTCGAGACCAGTCACAGCTTTGGGTAATGGCAGATCTGTCTTGGCTCGCTCTCCCATATCCAATGCCGTATGTACTAGCATCAGCATCTCCTCCCATAGAGCCGCCACTGCAGGCTGTTCATTGATGTCCGCTGGTATCTGCGATTTGATCCAGTCCAGCCATTGCCCAATTTCCGCATACGACGGTTCGGCTGTAAGCCAACTGTGCAGGATCGCCAGCAACTTGGGCATGACGTGTACGGCAATCAATTCTCCCATGATCTCGAGCTTGAACAGGGGTTTCCACTTCAACACCGATTCCAGGGGCTCCATGTCCTGATCGGCGGGGTTCACTTCAAAGTCTAGCTTGAGAGTTTCCGCGAGCTTTGGCAATAGATAGTTGATGAGGACACGATCGAACTCGGTGTTGCCCAGGAGCCGTCGCCATTTCTCCAGATCAGGAATCAGTCCCCGTGACAGACTCCACGCATCGACAAGCGCGCGGAATTTCCGCTTGGTATCAGAAAGAAGCCCTGAAGCGGCCTGAGGGTCGGTATGCTGGCCAGGAAGGAAGGGAACCCACGGGATCACTAGATCCGGTAGCTGCGAAGTTAGTCTCTTCTTCATCGACTTTCTCGGGTTCCACGCCTGCACTGCCGTAGTCAATTTGGTGATGATCTGATTGAGCAGACTCCTCCGGATGAATTTCGGTGTAATCGGGAACCACGCAGCCAACACAGCGATCAGGCTGAGTGACTCTCTATACGGATCCCACACCATAATCGCGGCCCTCATTTTCGGTAAGAAGTACGCTCGCATCATCGTTTCAAACGGAGTAGTGGATTGCGGTCGCAGTTTTTCAAAATCTTCGCGGTCGGTGTTCTTTGGGCGAGTGATGACATTCGGGAACTTCTCCAGGTCCAGAACGATATTCTCCAGGACGGTTTCCAGCGGTTCCCATTTGGACATGATGTCCTTGAAGAAAGGGTGGATCGCAGCAATGGCAAGCGACGGGTCGTAGCCCAAGTCTTGCAACTGTAGCTCTTCCAGATGCCTGATGACGTCCTCCCATGTTTGTGCTTCGCGCAGACCCTGTGTTGCGACAGCTACCCTTTCAGCCCTCTTGATCTCTTCCTCGATCTTTTCGAGCTCCCGCGACAGCGCCTCCTCTTGGAAATCGAGAGTCTTTCTTTCCTCCACAAGGTCGTTGAAGGCGGAGGAGAACGCCTCCAAACCCATCCTCGCCCGTTTCGCAATCTTTGTGGCGGTGGTTTCGGCGGGGACTGCGGCACCGAGGCTGAGTGTGTCTGCGGTAAGAAGTTTCGGTTCCTTCCCCGTGGCATCTGTGATAGAAAGCAAACTTGGTGGAACCTGTAGGCCTTCGGGAATATCATCGACAGTGAACTTCTTCTTCGTTCGCCCCGCGCCGGGGGTGCTGGCGCCACTGGACACGCCGGCTGCCTTCCTGATCTGGTTTCTCCGTTTCCGTTTCTGACGCTCTTCCTCGGACGAGTCTTCGTACTCTTCCCCTCTTCTTTCGGCCTGCCGCTTCTCCTCCGCTTTTTGCTGCGCTGTCTTTTCCTTGACGCTTCCTAGACCGACTCCGGTTGGCCGCACTTGCACCGTGATGGGATTCACGATACCCGTCCCCTCCTTTCCAAGACCCTCGCCTGCCTTCCAACCTTGCTTCGCCATCATCCTCTCAGCAAACGACATCTTGGGAGCTCCATCCGTCTTCGCCTTCTTTGAGTCGCCTGATTGACCAAAGTCTCCCCTCCGCTTCAGAAATGATTGCCGCTCCATTTTGACCTTCGGCAGCCCTGTCGCCTGCAACGTTGCTGAGATGGAGCGACAAAAGGGTCCGTGACGGTTGTATGACACGCGCGGGGAGGATCGAGGTGGAAGTGTGAAGTGGTGTGATGGATTGCGCTCAGTCGCGACAACCTTGGCCTTGTGTGAGGTAATCATGACTAAGCAGAACGTTGCCAAGCTATAGGTCACATGATTTCCGCTCCACCAGCCCCTGTCAACCGCGGAAACCCGCCCGGTCCTTATGGCTGGAACCTTGGAAGGACGGCTGCTATTATTGGAGCAATGGTCAAACTCCCAATTCCTTATCGTGTGCAACCCAAACACTTGACTTCATCTTCTGCTTTCCACAACACCAGCACCCTTAAGCTCTAGCGGGCTCTGTGCCAGCTCTTTCACACTGCCATGGCCTCGCCGCCTTCGCAGCCATCGCCGGTTTCGCAGCCCACGCCCTTGCAGTCTCCCATCAGTCCAGAACTCCCTCTCCATCATCCAACCCCCGACCTACAATCCCTGCAAGGCGCATACATCAGCAACATAGAACGGCTGGAGGACCGGGCGGAACGCATGAGCGAAGCTGGCTCAGATCTAGGAGAAGAGATCAGGAAGTTACAGTTGGGACAAAAGCTAGCGGAAAGTCGTCGCTCTTCACTTCGTTCCGCAGAGCGCTCAGAAGATGCAACCAAGTTGGTTTCAGGTCGAAGCCGCAATGCCTCGGTCAGCTCCTATGCCAACTCAATCGTCGATGTCAATACCGCGGCTCGGTGGGGTGGATACTCTCCCGGAGGATATGTGACCTCACCTGGAGGCTCCGTTGTCTCCTCCGCTCCTCTGCCTACGACTTCCCACCCACCACTTCAGCGACAACGCTCTGAATCTCGTGCATCCCGGCTGGGTCAAATGGTCCATATGGACCAACACGAAGAGGAACCGCACTCACCAGTGGAAGGACCTGCATCACCGCGCTCATACATCTCAGCCCCTCGATCCGTTGCGCAGAGCCATGGTTCGCTCTCCTCCTTCACTCAAAAGTATGATCAGATCGCGCAGGAGATACGTAAAGAGATGGATGAAGGCTTTTCCACGGAGGCACACGGAGAAGGGCAGAAAGATCCTTCGTATTTCCCGCATATCATACCTGATCCGGAGCTGCCCGATAGACCACCTACAGCAGCTTCCACAGATACCTACCAGCAAGCCCGAGGTTTATGGCAGGATTTTGATGGTGCTCATTGTCCGGATACCGTGCCAGAGGAAGATCCGTCACAATTAAGTCCGAACGGCAGTAGAAATTCATCGCTCCCCAAACCGGCCCCGCAGCCTTTATTGCAGCCCCCTCCCCCTCCAGAGGACGGCATGGTTTTCTATCCTGCACCTGTTCCGCAAACATTAAACTTGCCCAAGCGATTGTCGAGGCTCCCGCCCGCTAATATCCAAGCAAAGCGCCGAACGCAGCTCCTGGAAGCGATGCAGACGGAGAACAGAAAGTCCGCTCACTTGTCTAATACTGGGATTGAGTCGACATTACCTAATAGGAAAAGCAGGCAAAGTTTGGCCAATATTCCCCCTCAGCTACGTGCAAGCGCATTTTTTGACCGTGTCGCACCTATTCAAGAGTTCGAAGTAAAGGGCGAATCAGCTGAACAGACTCTGGATAGCATCCTGGAAGCCTCTACACATGCGCCCGTTTCCGCCTTCACCGATCACCCCATCGTCGGTGACGTAGGGAAAGAGGTATACGCTCCAGAGCGGAAGGCCAAAAGAGTTTCGAAGGCTGTGGAAGTCGATAAGTCCGATGCCAGGAAGAGCCGAAGCTCGCTCAATCTCCTTGATACTCGTCGTAATTCCAGCGGGGATCCTTTGAACAAGTTGAAGAAGCGCAATAGTTCAGCAGATCTCCACATGCTTACTGTACGAGCCAGTGAAAGCCGGATGAGTTTGGCTGACGAATTGGACGACCCAAGGAGTGATGCTCGCGGTCCGGAACCAGGGGATGACACCAACCCCACCGGGCGCTTTTTGAATGGCGACGATGGTGGTCAATCCGACCGGGACGTCGATGAAACCAGTAATGGAGAAGATGAAGAACCCCACTACTTTGGGCCTCCTACTACGCTATTAGCAGAACTTCAGATGCGGAAAGAGCAGCAGAAGAGCCGCAATCTCACCGCTGTGAAACTGTCTAATGGCCTCCGCTCCACTCTGCTGGAGTTGGACGCTGTCCGTGAGATTGAGAAGAAGAAGCGAATGACGCAAAAGGTTCATCTGGCATGGGAAGCTCCCTCCCAGCTTGGCGCGGACGAAGAGGATTCGGACGAAGATGTTCCCCTTGGAGTTCTATATCCAGGCCGAGGAGAACTACAGAATAAGAAGCTCAGGGCGAGTCAACACGTCTCGGATTGGGACAGGCCCCTAGGGCTTCTTGCACAGAGGGAACTAGAGGACACCGAACCTCTTAGTAAACGTCGTACCCGACTTATTATTTCAGACCCGAGCAAGAGAAGGACACAAATGCCTGAGATATCGCAAAGCCAGCAATATTTAGCTGTTCCCACTCGAGGCGATCTGCAGCCGGAATCGGAGGAAGATGAAGAAGAGACCCTGGCACAACGACTTCGTCGACTCAAACAGCGTCAAGCGCTTGATGATGCCCTTGACCCAGGCGTCCGCAAGAGCACCGTCAGTGGAGAATTTGCTGCCGAGATGCTGAGTACTTTGGGCGTTCAGGACAGCGAAAAGCCCAAACCATCGCCCTCTCCTGACGACGAAGGAGAAGAAGAGACGTTGGGGCAACGCCGTGCCCGTTTACAAGCCGAGGCACTTGCGCGAGGTGAGACTAATCCTCTAAGCGGCCGACCTCCTCTTCGAGGTTCCATGAGCCTTGGAAATATTTTGGCAGCGCATCCGGTCGATGACAGTATTACGCCTCGGAAGACATCCGACGAGGTGCTCATGTCGTCTCTTGCACCCGGCAGCCTGCTCCATCAAGATGCTGCAAGACGATCGCGCAAAGACGCCGAACGCATTGAGCGGAACAATCGCATCTCGAGCTACGGCACTATCGACCATCCCCTCGTCAGTGACGCGACCAAGGCAGTACCTGAACAGACGATTGCTGCCAACATTCAGGCCTATAAAGACAAGCTTACTGGCGTTAACTCTAAACCGCCGGGGTCCCGCGGGACGATTCCTTCGATGGTGTTCAGCCCGACGATGCCAAATCCAAACCTGCCGGGCATGGGCATGGGCATGGGCATGGGCATGGCACCGCCATATGCTACTGGAGGAATGGGCATACGTCCCGTCAGCGGCTTCGTGTACCCTGGGAACGGCATCTCACCCCTTCAACAGCAGCAAATGATGGCCATGAATATGAATATGAGCATGATGGGGATGCCCGCTAGCCCGTATCAGCAAATGGGAGGCGGTGGTATGGACTGGAGACAGTCGTCTATGATGAATCTTCCCATGGCTGCGCCTTCGCCTATGCAGATGCAGATGCAGGCTGCGATGGATCAGAAACAGAGGGATATGATTGACCAGTGGAGGAATGGGGTGATGTGAAGGGAGGTGTTGGGTCTCTCTCTGGACATTTTTTAACCTGGAGAGCGATTCATTCTGTTTTGTCCGTTTTTTTTTTTTTTTTTTGGATTTTGCATTTAGTTTCGGGTTGAGCGAGCATTGACCTGGGTACAATGGCATTCGCATAGCATTGGGTTTGGGGAGTGGGACTGGGTTGGATTTAAGATATGATGAGCATAGGGTTTTTAGGGCATATACTAGATGATAGGGCGATAGTTCTTGCTCCCCTACCGGAGACCACAGTAGTATCTTGTAATTCATAATTAATCACAGATTCTAGGAGACCGAGCTCAAGTATGATGAGATGAATACCATGCAGATGTCTCCAGCTGAGTTACCTTGGGAGCCTCATTTTATCCTCCTGCGCTCCTTGCCTGCCCCAGAACGTCAGTACAATAGTAATAATCGAGCGGCCCGTCCTCTGGAATGTTGCTCCTCTTTTTTCGCCTGGGCACGTCATCAATGATTGATGCAAGGTTGGTGCACGTGTTTGCTGATTCATTGCTGCTTGGCAATCAGACTTGGCAAGCTGGTCACGGTTGGCCCGGATGGGTGACACTATCGGAGCTGGGTTGCACACCACTTCTGCTCCTCCGATACACACACCTACCACCAGTCCCTCTCTACCACCCCTCGCGCGTTTTGGATTGCACCCTCAATGGATGCGGAGCAGAAACTATCCTTAAGAATCCCAATCTTCGCAGAACGACGTTGTCGCCCGTAAAGGTACAGCCCTGATACATCTTCCCCACCTTACCTACATCACCGTACCATGCGCGACTTGTCGCGCTGTTGGTCTGTGAATGATTCAGTCTCTACCACCTCACCTGTATTATGTATTATAGTGAATCAATTTCTGACAACAGTAGGGACTGTGTCCTGCGAGTACACCTTCCGAACTCCTGTCTCCCTCCCTCCCCTGAGAACAAAGCCTGACTGTGGGCGGCTGTCCCACGCTTGTTCGCGACGCTGCCCGTCCAACGTTCCAGCCTAACTGCTCCACTATATGCGACGCCTACTTTGTTCTCTGATATCTCGCAACTTGAATCCAGCCCTGGGGTGACTTCGCTATCTGGGGACTCTGTCCCCACGAGAGAGAGCACCTCGGACCGAAGCCGCCAGAGTACCACACCTAGAACCGCGAAGAAGTCTTCACAGCCAAAATCTAAGAAGTCAAAGGCTCAATGGAGTAAAGATCCTGCTGGATCGGATACCACAAGTTTTGGGTCCAGGGCTGCACTTTCCGCATCTACGTCCAGCGCTTCTAGTACTGGCGAAGTTGCGACCCCTAAATCCAGCCGTGCAGGCCGAGAGCGCGTCCAGCCATCAGAGAGTCCCCTTGCCGGTAAACAAAAGAACAGAGGGATGGCCGGAAACTTTTCCAATACATCGGGAGATACGCGGCGGGGAGTATCTTCTCCTCGACCGAAGGGGCGTGGTAAGATTCTGCTTGTAGCCAAACCCAGTGTACCTCTAACCGGTACCCAGAAACCAAAAACACCTTCTGCCGTAATGTCAGTATATATGGCCATTGTCGTTACGAGAACAGTGAGTGGCTCGGTCAATGTTCCGGGAGCACTGGCATAATGACCCTCTTCAGCATGCCCATATATCCATGATCCTTCCAAGCTGAATCAAAATGAGAATACCAAGAAGCGCTTCAATGTCGACTCGCCTTCTTTCACCCCCTTGCAACCCAGCACAAACGGGTCTTTGACGCCTTCTGCCAGGGGGAGCGCTATATCCCCCAAAGCCGCGAATGCTGCCGTCTTTACGCCCAAGTCGCAACGCTCAAGTATGTACATCTCTGCTATAGCGGGATCATATTTGCGCTGACGTCACGGTAGATACAAGCACGCCGAGCATACACAACAAAGAAATTACGCATGATTGGCACGCTCAAGACTTTCAGGAGTTTGTGCCTCAAAACTTTGACAGTCAATTGGTATGTACAACAAATATCTCCAGCACAGACCATTCCCTCAAAGAGGAGTCCAACGCTCCCTACAAGTTCCTGTCATTCGCCAAGCGTCGCCACTGAGTCTAACATGCGCTCTAGGTCGATCCAAGTGCAACAGCATCTGCATTGGGTTATGATCCCTTTAGCAGTTCAAGTCTGCAAGGCCTTACCGGTTCTGGTCACCAATCAGCTGCACTGAATCCGTATGCCCAAGATCCCACTGGCATGTCAGGGGCGTCCTACTTCCAGAATGCAAATACCTTCCAATCTGCTCCGTCGTACCATCTATATTGGCCTACTGGGCCACAACCAACGAACTTACTAGCGTACCAGCGGACAGCACACGACTTCTTCATCCCCGATGCCCTCCGCGAAGAACTCCAGAAAAAAGCCGAAGTAGCTCGTCAGATCTTGCCAAACTCTTCTCTGCCACCCATTGATCAGTACCATTCCCTCGTCTGCCTCGACACCGTTCAGAACAAAAGCCAGTCTCTGTTTGGTTATCCAAGCTGGGTCTACAAAGCCGTTTCAATCAAGGATGGACGAACGTACGCGTTGAGGCGGCTCGAAAACTTCCGCTTAACCAGTGACAGTGCCATTCGGTCGGTTCAACCTTGGAAGAGGATTCTCAATGGTAATGTTGTCACCATTCACGACGTCTTCACGACTCGCGCATTTGGAGACAGTTCTCTCATCGTTGTGACGGATTACCATCCTTGCTCCAAATCGCTGGCCGAGGAGCACTTCAAGCCGGCACAAGCGCCACCCCGGTTCCTCGGACGACAGACTACCTCAAACTTTGTCCCCGAGCAGGTTCTCTGGGGATACATTGTGCAGATTGCATCTGCTCTAAAGGCTATACATGGGGCCGGCTTGGCTGCAAGGCTCATCACACCATCCAAAGTCATTCTCACCTCGAAGAACAGGGTCCGTTTGAACGCTTGTGCCATCATGGATGTGATCCACGCTGAGAACAGTCGCCCGATCTCCGACCTTCAAGCGGACGACCTCGTGCAACTTGGGCGTCTCATATTATGCATTGCTAACAACAATGCGAATGCCCAGTCAAACCCAAAGGCGATAGAACAGCTCAGTCGTAGCTATACTGCTAGGCTGAAAGAGTGTATTCAATGGCTCATCAGCCCGCAGCCGCCATCCGGCACGCCTACATCTCCCTCTGGAGGCGATACCATGGCAAAAGACATTGACAACTTTCTTGGAGGTATCGCCGACCAATTTGCTGCAGTTTTCGACAGCAATCTCCATGCAGAGGACACGCTCACGCATCACCTCAGCCGCGAGCTTGAGAACGCCAGAATCGTCCGCCTCATGGCCAAGCTCAACATGATCATCGAGCGACCAGAAGTAGACATGTCACTGGCCGGCTCTGGTAGTAACGCGTTCCACCCTTCTTCGTCGTGGTCGGAGACAGGTGAAAGATATTACCTCAAACTGTTCCGAGACTACGTCTTCCATCAGGTGGATGCGAACGGTCGGCCCGTGTTAAACCTGGCGCATGTTCTGGATTGTTTGAACAAACTGGATGCCGGGACTGACGAGAGGATAACGCTCATTACGCGGGACGAACAAAACATTCTCATCGTCAGCTACAAGGAGTTGAAACGAGCGACGGAGTCTGCGTTCCAGGAATTGTTGAAGGCTTCCAGGTCGTCAGCGACGAGGTAGCACCCACGCCGTCCGTTTCACGGGGCGTCGTCTGCTGGGCCACGTGAGAAGCCACGTCCTCCTCTTCTGGTTTCGCGGAACGCTGTATGGGCACGCCCAAGGCGCAATGGACATGCTCCACGTCGGTCCGTGAACGCTGTGATGCAGGGACGAGAAGAGCGCGTGTCTTCCGGTCCTCTCCAGGTCGAGCATTGCGTGGCCAAAATCAAACGACACCTCACGCCCTTCCCTTTCAGCTCTTCCCGAGGGCCCCATAGCCAGAACTGAGCGACTTCCCGTATAATCTTTTAAGAGTGAAATGGGCGAGACGGCGTGCCGACGGAAGCCTGATGAGGCATCGAAGGGGCTGCGAGACTGACAAGCTGTGGACGTTCTGGCGAGTAAGTTGCCGGTTGGATTATCATCACGAAGCGTTGGCGGGTAGCGTCGCAATGTGTTGTCAGAGTTTCTATCTCATCTTATATAGGGAACGCAAAAACAATATAAACAGTCTAAAGTATGTGATGTTTCCATCTCTGGTATTTCATATCTCGCTCGCCTTGTCAGACCCGGGGAGCCCTGAGAAATATCGCCAGACGAGAAAGAGGGAAGTTGTACCACTTGCTTCCACACCCAACTGAGTTCGGGCCTCCGCTTCCCCTCTGGGCTGCATTACCTGTTGAGCGCAAATTAATTGCTCGCATCTGTTTAGGTTTTGGGAAGGATAGTGCTTTAAGGATTTTTATGCCTAGACAAAGGCGCTATATAGCCTATTGCAAGGGGTGAAAAACCTGAGTAGTTCGTAGCTGCTTGCTTAGATACATTGTAGGTGTGGAAACCTGCAGTACAGGGAGAGGAAGTGCGGGAGAGGTTGTTCAGTCGGAGATGGAATGCTGCAGTACCGGTATAGCTGTGAGGCATTCCTAGGACGTCATCTCCTCCAACCCTCGGTCTCGTCACCGCCGGACTATTCCTACCAGCCAATTCTCGAAGAGACCCCTTCGTTTGACACGTTGAAAAGGGGAAAATGCGAAGCCTCTCGTCCTGAATCAGATGGCATTCCTCCGGTCGGTATTCCGAGTGCAGGCATCGGCGACTTTCGTGCGGTCAGGCCTGGGTCCGACTTATTATTACTCTGGTCCAGCTGGAACAGCATGGCGCCGCCCGCTTGCGGACTTCGCAACAGCCCCTCGTCCATTTTTCCTCTGCCCCACTACTCTCCTACTACTCTCGACCACCGCTTCTCCTCACCACCACCACTGCCAAACAAGACGATACACGATGGCTGCGAAAGGAAACTTTGAGCTTCTCTGCCTGGAGAATCCTCTGCTTGATATCCAGGGTGTTGGGTACGTCAATGGTGCACTACCGGAGCGTTTTGTTGCTCTGGATTGCTGACAAGTCGAACAGAGATGAGAAGCTCCTCGAGAAGTACGGGTTGAAGGCTAATGATGCCATTCTGGCCGAGCCGAAGCATATGGGGCTGTACGAGGATTTGCTGCAAAATCACAATGCGAAACTGATTGCTGGTGGTGCTGCTCAGAACACGGCTCGAGGCGCTCAGGTAGGATATCCCGAATTCTAATCTGCTTTTTCTTTTCGAAAGCCTCGTTACTGGGACTGCGGCTGACGAATGGGTTCATAGTACATTCTTCCCCCGGACTCCACCGTGTACATTGGCTGCATTGGCAAGGACAAGTATGGCGAGATGCTCAAGGAGATTTGCGCCAAAGAGGGCGTCCGCACCGAGTACCGTTACGACGAGGAGGCCCCCACTGGCCGCTGCGGTGTCGTTATCACCGGCCACAACCGCTCGCTCTGCACCGACTTGGCTGCGGCCAACCTCTACAAGCTGGACCACCTGAAGCAGCCCGAGATCTGGAAGCTGGTGGAGAATGCGAAGTTCTACTACGTTGGCGGTTACCACCTCACTGTCTGCGTGCCGGCTATCAAGGCGCTCGCCGAGGAGGCTGCTAGCAAGGACAAGGTTTGTCTTTGAATTCAAAGTAGACGGTTCCTCTGTACTAATATGCGTAGCCCTTCATCCTCAACCTTTCCGCTCCCTTCATCCCTCAATTCTTCAAGGATCCCCTCGACGAGGTCCTGCCGTACGTCGACATCCTCATCGCCAACGAGGCCGAAGCTGCCGCCTTCGCGGCAACTCACGACATCAACTCCACAGACATCAAGGAAATTGCCAAGACCGTTGCTAAGCTCCCCAAGAAGAACTCCAAGAGGCCTCGCACGGTGGTCTTCACGCAGGGAACCGATCCCACGATCGCTGCCGTTGCGCAGGAGAATCTCGAAGTCAATATCACCGAGGTGCCTGTCCACCCCATCTCCGTCGACCAGATCAATGACACCAACGGCGCTGGGTATGTACATCAACCCCTTTCCCACGTACGATTCTAACCACTCGCAGTGACGCTTTCGCTGGCGGCTTCCTTGCCGGTATCGTCCAAGGCAAGGACCTCAGGACGGCTATCGATATGGGCCAGTGGCTCGCCAAGCTGAGCATCCAGGAACTGGGCCCCTCGTACCCCTTCCCCAAGCAGACATACACTCCTAGCAGCTGAGCGCTTTGTGGAAGAGCGCAGATGCTCGTGTATTTCAACAATCTACGAGAGCGAGAGCGAGCGAGGCACGCCGGGACGGGCCGCTTGCGCCGGGTCGATGATGGTGAAGTTCGGGGGATGGGACGGTAGTGTGGGGTGCTTAGATAGGTAGACCCAGAGGAAGGGACGGGGTATTCAACACGTCGGTGCGACGGTGTAAGACTCGGGATGGTCGGTTGAGGAGGAGCACAGAGTAGAAAATGCAGAAGAAGCGCGAATATCGCCTTCGCGATATACATCCTCGCGGGTCTTCATCGCCCATGCACTCCATGTGATCTCTTGATGGAACAGTTAGGCCTGGTCCTCTGAACGATGATTCTTGGATCCGGTTCCCGGCCCCGTCTTCCGGCTCTGGCCTTATTTGAATTGCAATCCGCACACCATCGGGTCGTATCGTCATAAGTCGTAGGTCTCTTAACCCCGTTACTCCGTCGCATGTCCCTCTCAATCCATCAATCTCAACTCTTCACCTACCCCTACCATGCCCGCTCCCTCTCCCCCTACCCCTCCCCTGCGCCATCCGTACACTATGCGGCACAAACTGCAAAGCCGACATCCTGCTCGCTAGACCTTCCATTGCATCGTCTGCTGGCGCCGTCGTCTTGCTCGACTCTACTAGTGGGTCTGCAGTCGAAGTCGACGTCGAAGCTTGTGGTGTTCGCGTCCTCTGCCTGGGAATGCTGCGTCCGAGGCCGATTCCGCCTCGGCCGCCGAGCTTGATAGTTCGGGTGGGGGAAGTGGGAGAGAGGTGGGGAGGTGTTTTGGCATTATCGTCGTCGGCATCTGCAACACCCTCATCATCTTCTTCTTTTCCTTCCTCGCGGGCTTCGCCGTCTTCACCATCTCCGTCATCGACGACAATGTCCATAACGCCCGAAGTCACAGTACTCGATCTCTTCCTCCCCTTTCGCCCTTTCCCTTCGTCTGAATTGCCTCCGCTAGCATTACCGACATGGCGAGTCGAATCGAGGGTAGATGGTCGTCGTCTTTGGGCGCGGAGCATGCTGCTGCGCCGGTCGATGCCGTCGTTTATGATGAAGAAGTCGTAGGTTCGCGGGAAGTCGTGGGCGTCGATGCAGTGCAGGCGGCGGGTGCGCGGGGTGAGGCAGAGGCGGGGGCAGGTGGGGAGGAGGCAGGAGTACTGCGGTTTTGATGTTAGTTGGGAGATAGAGAGCGATTGGAAAAGGGTGCTTTTCGAATGGGGCATATATGGAGATGTACGCAGCGGAATGGCAATTCTACACTTCGTTTGGAGAACCAGGACTTTAGGTACGGGTGGGACCATGCTTCTGGATTAATAGATAGAGACATATGAGAACTTAATGAAAGCATGACCTACTGTCTTCTCCCCTTTCTCTCTCAGTGCAGCTTTGATGGGGTCATGGTTCTCTTCTATATGCAGATGCAAGAAGTGCTCGTCCGGGAAGTTCTTATGACATTCAGAACACCGATGCGTATGCACTTTCTGATAATGCACATCGTACTCCTCGAAAGTGCCAAATGTCATGGGCTGGTGTGGTGGGAGCGAGCACTTCATGGCCACAGTTTTTGCTGAGAGCCCGGAGTCGGCATCCAGATGGACGATCTTGACATCGACTGAGCTTTCTCTTGCGGATGGCGAGCTTGGAGCGTCTATGGATGAGAAAGAATTCGAGCGTGAGCGCTTCACTCCCATTGCAGCTAATAGCGAGGTGTATGTGGTGGGGTAAGTATGAGAAAGAGAGCAGTACCTCTGTGTTTGGCGGGCAGTGTGCGCAGCGTTTCGAAATATCTGGTGCTGGTCCAGAATGCTACGGCTCGTCTTTCCTGAGTGTTTCACTTCTGGGCTCTCTTAGGTTGGCGAAACAACCGCTGCAGCTGCTTCATATCGGGATCGAGTTGAGGTTCGACCGCACCGCCACAACTCTGTGCCACACTTGGCCAAAGCGTGCCTGGAACTGTTGACGACTCTCTCCGCTCCCTCAACTTTCTCTGGACCCACACACCATCACCATCACCCCACGACCACCGCCCGCCACCAGCTCCCGCTCAGACCGCCGCAAGACATCCGTGTCTTGTGTGCTGTTTGTCTACAAACCCTGCTCCCGCTCGTTGATTGTCTGCTCCACAGCACACATCCACCTCCATGGAGCACGCCAGCCACTGCGTCCGCCTGTTGCTCCGTGCCTTGAACTGACCTCCCGGCCGACCGTGGGGTCACATATGAACCGGGCCATCCCTCACCACCGAAGGCATGGCCTCTGCTACTCTCTCGTGCGTAAAGCCTCCCCGGCCGTATCGCTGTCCCGCTAATACGCCGAACAGGAAAGCGCTTGAACTGGATGCGCTGTTCACCGGGCCCGACAATGATGTCTCCGGCACAGAGCTCGACAAGCATCTGAAAGAGTAATCGCATTCATCGCCATCTTCAACCCATGGCTAACATGCGCTAGTTACCGTGTTGTCTGCCAGGATCTCGTCCTCAATGACTTCGAAACCGCGTCCGCCCAAAGCTTGGAAACCCGCCTTTGGAACGCGCACGTCAAGGTCAACGGTATCTATAGGAAGGAACTTCAGGGCGTTCGTCTCCCGCACCCGCTATTCGCAGACGTGAGCTAATTCCAAACAGCTGAAACGCACCCGCAATAATAACCCGGTCGAGCTCCGCAAGCACGAGAAGAAGTATCTGGCTTTCATCAAGGATAGTCAGCGCTTCTACCGTCAATATATATTTTCACTGGATGCGGCGTGCTGCGGCATTACCGATCTGCGCAAGGTAGCCCAGAAATGGGGGAATGATGCGTCCACTGCCGCTCCTAGCAAGCAGGTTCCCGCAAACCTGAAAGATTCAATGCTCCTTTCTTGCCATGAATCGCTCATTCACCTGGGCGATCTCTCACGCTGGCGTGAAACTGAGTTGGTTGAAACGAACCGCAACTGGGGTCCCGCCAAAGGGTACTATGACCTCGCTGCTGAATTGTATCCTGACTCGGGCATGCCGCATAATCAGTTGGCCGTCATGGCCCGCGAGGATGGCGATCTGTTCCGCTCCACCTACCATCTTTATCGTTCGCTCGCCTGTAAGGAACCCCATCCTCTGGCGCAGCGCAATCTTGTCTCTGGATTCAAGAAGATCGAGTCCCTTTGGAAGAAGAATGAGCACTTCAACATCCAACGGTCTGGCGATAACAGCACTGCAGCACGCGCTTTGATCACCTGGTTCGTGCGATTGCACAGCAAGTGCTTCAAGGGCGAAGAATTCTCGCAGCACGATGAAATGGAGAATGAGGTCCTCACTCAGCTGCAACTTGAGCTTAAGGAACGCTCCTTGGATTCCGTCATGCAAAAGATCGTTTTGACCAATCTGGCTGCCGAGTACCACGCGACTGTCCAGATGAGATCCGCCGAACCGCCCGCAAACATCATGCGTACCTATTGCTTCTACCTGAGGCTCAACGTCAAGACTTTCTTCACCCTTCTTCTCATCCTCCAACCTGAGCTGGACCGCCTTTCCGAAGGCGATGATGTTCACCAGAACGGCAGGCGAACCCCCCAGCTATCCGACAAGATCACCGCCGTCGCAAGGCGTGTTCTCCCAGCGTTGCGTCTCTACAGCACCTGGTTCCTACGTTATTGGCGTGTCCTTGGTGCGGAGGCTGTTGCTACTATGCTGAGGAATGTGGAGGTGCAGGAACTCTGGAAGGCCTATGCAGGGACTCTGTCTCTGCTCGCATCGACCTTTCCGGCCGCCGAGCTTCCTTCGGACACGTACATGCTCGAAGAGGATACCGAAACGATTGGGTTCCAACCGCTGATCTCGCCCGAAACGAAGAAGTTGTGGTACAACGGCAATGAGATGAAGCAAAAATGGAGCGACCTCGAGAGAAACCATCCTAACACTGAGATGCTCATGCGAGTGCGCGATCTGCTGGTGGACGGTTTGGTTCTGGCAGACTTACCCGAAGCCCCCTTGGATCTCAATGGGTTACGATTCATCTATCGCGAAGCGGATATACCCTCCGAGCTTCTGGCCAGTCCCAACAATCCTCCAGATGCTTCGCCCCCAATGCCTGCCGAAGCTATGGAGATACCTCTGTTCCCGCAAGTTCAGCCCGTTCCGGAAGATCAGCAGTCGCAGAGCGTCAGTGTGGTGGCTCCCTCAGAGACTCCCTCCGCCGCTCTTGCGCGCGAGTCGGCTCTCACCCGCATGGTCGATGATCTAGTCAGTGCCGATGCCAACCTGGAGCCGCTGCCGGAAGAGGACGAGAACATTCCACCTACGCCGCCGGATAACACATTCGAGAATACTGTTGTCACGGAGAATGGATTTGGCTCCACGACCTTTACCATCAGTGACATTGTTAACAACATGCAAAAGAAGAAGCCAACTGGAAGCCCGGCACCCGCCTCATATCTTCCGACGCCCATGGAGAGGGTTGGTTCCAACTCGTCAGCCAGACATGTTGCAAATCTGCCGTCGATTCCGGATGGGTCGTATAATGGTCACTCCATCTGGAATCAGAACTATTCCGGTCCCTCGTCTCCCTTTGTTGGCAATGCTCATGATTTGATTGGATCCCCAAAGCTCGGTGGTTTGCATGCCCCTTCGTATGGACACTCTCGGAACAACTCCTCCACATCGTTGCGCAGCATTGGCTGGAACGGGCCCAGTATGTCCATATCGCAGAGGCAAGTCTCAGGAGGGCTTGGTAACGGCGGTGCGTGGGGAAATCCTGCGTCGCCTGTCTATCAGAGCTGTTCCGGTGCTTACCAGAACGGTCAAGCGATGAATGGGTACGGGATTACCGGCAACAACGGCTATGGTGCCGGCGGCTATACCAATGGCTATGCAAGCAGGTCTCAAAACTATGCGGGCCTCGAAATGACGAATCCTCTCCATAGGAAGCGCGATCGCAGCACTGAGCTTGGTCAAGGATATAGCTCTTTTGCTCACGCCTCTTTCAACGGTCAAGCTGGATGAGAGTCCAAGCTAGTTACTGAAGGCCGAAGGTTGCTGTCCGCTTATGGACTTTTGTCTGCCTTGTGCATGTGTCCCTGCGCCTTGCATGCGGACTCTAGGTAGAGAAGGCAAGATGGGTCACTCATCTGCCCCCGAGATAGCGCTTCATCTGCGGCGAGAGCCTAGTGTTTGTGTCTTACACTGCACTGCACTGTCTTTTCGCGGGTCATTGTGTTTCGAGGGATGTAGCTTAGCATGAATTGCTAGGCACGAGGGAAGATGTGTTCGATGAGGCGAAGGTGGTTTTCGAGGAGGAGGAATCTGTAGGACTCGGATTGCTTTTCACACAGGTTACAGAAATCACTCGCTTGACAGTCCGGAAGGGAGGGCAAGGCCCATCGCCAGATGGCACATGCGAAAGCATGGTGACTTGACTCTACTGACTGCTTCTCGAGGCGGTGCATGTCGCTTCTGCTCCCAGTGAGCAGCTGCTGATGTTTGACGCCTTCCATCAGGCTATCAGTTAACTTAAGCTTGCTCTATCTTTGAATCAAGGTTCTTGTTACAGATTTGTGGGAATTGCAGGTGATATCGACCTGATTGAGCAATCGACAGTGCCATGAAGAATGGTGCTTTTATCATGATTTCAGGGCAGGCAGCCTCCTGGGGATATGGTGCTTCATGTCCTTTCACATGTAAGTCAATACTGCCTGATCGGGTTTAGCGGGTTCCTATACCGAAGATTAGCCAGCTCCAGCTCCCACTTATGTCACAGAGTACAAGGCAACCTTTAGCTGTTGACAACAGTTGTGTAATAACTCCAGACGAAACGTTTTCGAGCCACTCCGTTCATTCTTTTCTGTCATTGCAAAGCCAACCCGCAGGAGAAGCTACTATTCCCAAGGGATACCGTCATGGCGGACGCGGGGGTGGATATAGGACAGCTTACAGAAGACCAGCAACTGGCACTGCAGCAATACACCGCCGTCACAAACCAGGAAGTCAAGGATGCAGTACCGTTGCTACAGCGTTGCCAATGGAATGTTCAGGTCTGCTATCCCCTTCCTGAGCCCGGTTCGAAGCTCATCACAACCAGATCGCAATAGCTCGCTTCTTCGATGGAGAACCAGCCGACGACCCGACTGCAGCAAGCCCAGAGATACCCGCACCGCGAGATATCCGGCGGCAGGAGACGCTTCTCAGCGGCTTGACGAGCTCACCGCGATCCTCCATATCCGGCCGGCGCATGCGGATCGATCCCGCACCGCGAGTCGTGCCGCAACCAGAGAACCAGGTCGCAACGCAGGTGCCGCTCGTCTTTGCCATATTATTTGCCCCGTTCAGTCTTGTGTACTCCGTGATATCGAAGGCATTCCGGTTATTCGGATACCTCTTTCCCTTCCTTCCACGGGCATGGGGACGCTTGACGGCGAGCAACATCAACACGCCTGCAGCGCGGCGGACCAGCGGGCGGCGGCCGCTCCCCCCTCGAGACAATGCGGCGCGGTTTATACGGGAGTTTGAGGAGGAGTACGGGAGCAATAATCTGCCTTTCCTCGAGCACGGATATGCCCAAGCGCTCGATCTGGCGAAGAGGGATCTGAAGTTCCTGTTGGTTATCCTGGTGTCGCCGGAGCATGACTACACATCTTCCTTCATCAGGGAGACGCTGTTGTCGCAGGAGGTCGTGGAGTTTATACGGAAGCCGGAGAACAATATCGTTCTGTGGGCGGGCAACGTGCAGGACTCGGAAGCTTACCAGGTTTCGGCGGCGTTGAACTGCACGAAGTTCCCCTTTGCCTGTCTCATTGTCCACACGCCTTCCGTGTCGTCGACGGCCATGGGCGTAGCTACGCGCATAGCGGGTCCGACTCCGCCGGCGGAGTTCATCACGAAGCTCCGACAGGGGATGCGGCCGCACATCGAGGCGTTGAATCGAGTGAGGGCGCAGAGAGCAGAGCAGCAGGCTGCGCGCAATATCCGCCAAGCGCAGGACTCCGCGTATGAGCGGTCCCTCGCACAGGACCGCGAGCGCGCGCGGCAAAAGAGGGAGGAAGCGGAGAGGAGAGCAAGGGAAGAGAAGGAGGCATTGGAGAGGGAGCAGGCCAAGGAGCGGTATGCGCGGAACCTCGAGCAGTGGCGGAAATGGCGGGCTTCGTCCATCCGTGCGGAACCGGGGCCTGAGGAGAGGGACGTCGTTCGCATCAGTCTCCGGTTACCGTCCAGCGAGCGGGTGGTGAGGAGGTTTGCGAGTGATGCGCATATCGAGGAGTTGTATGCGTTTGTAGAGTGCTATGATGTTTTGCAGGGTGGGGAAGGGGTACTGGAACTGGAAAAGGTGGATGAGCCCGAGGGGTTCGAGCATGAGTATAAGTTTCGGCTTGTGTCGCCGATGCCTAGGGAGGTGTTTGATTTGGAGAGTGGAGGGACGGTGAGGGAGAGGATTGGGAGGAGTGGGAATCTTATTGTTGAGAGGATGGATGAGGAGGATGAGGAGGAGGGGAAGGGAGGTGAGAGTTGAGAAGACAAGGCTTGGGAAGCCTAGTTGGGGGATGATGGATGGACTGGCTTTAGAGTCTTAGATTGCCATGGGGGCATTGGGCGGCGTTCTTTTTGGGAGGTGGGTTTGTACTGGATGTTGTTTTCTGGGGGGAGGGGCGTGATTTACGTTCTTTGCTGCGGCGGAGAGAGGGGGGAAGTGTGTTTGGGTTCGTCTCCTATAGATCGAGTGAACCCTTCAGTGGTATCTATATTAGACCCAGCATCCCCCAACATAACAATCTATGTGTGTAGGGAGGCGTGTATGGGATGTGAATGGTCAACGAATGGGCTTCGAAGAAGGGCTTCTTCATTTTTGTGTATACTTCTTCTCGCTTTTAGGGATATGACTATACGGGTGGGACGTTTCGGGGCTCTCTGAGCAAGTCGAGCATGGTGACTGTGGTGTGGTTCGCGAGGGGTCTCGATATGTTCATCCGCTGTATCTGCACGTAATCCGTGGGGACGAAGCGTTTCTTTCCATGCTAAAGTATGTGGAGAGGACGGGATGGATTTGCTCCGTCTCGTAGAGAGAAAGGTCTGTTGAAGGTACCCTACGTAGGATACGAATGACGAATGTCTCCTCCTATTATCTGGCGAGAATGGGTGGTGTGTGGCGAGCTGGCGGAGAATGGACAAGGGATTTTCGAGTCTGGAAAGAAGATATCGAGACGGGGCGAGTTGAGAGCATGGCACGTGAGTGGAAGAGTGAGTGAGAAGTTTTGCTGTTTGGGCTGGAGGAGGCGGTGGTGATGGGGGGTTTGGTGGCTTGGAAGGGAGAGCGGTAGGGTGTGGATGATGGCGGGAAAGGAAATCAAGAGGAGAGGAGGGTGGATGGTGCTGTTCTGGGACTGCGTAGGATGTTGTCATGGCTATGTCTAAGTGATTAAGGACGTTGTATGATGGCTGTGTAGGTTGTGCGGCGGTGTTTTAAGTTTATCTACGGCGTATTTTTATAAATAATTTCTGTTACGAAGGTGCGTGTTAGTTGGGGTTTTGTCTAGTGACGGCGAATTAAAATTTAGCATCGTTGGGTTTGGTCGTTGCATGTGGGATTGAGATATCGGATTTGTAGGAAGGGTGGTTTTTTGGGTACTGGTTACGTGCAGGTGGGATGGGATGTGGGATTTGGCCTTACGCGGGAATGGTTAGCCGGATGGGGGGGTGTGAGTAGCGTCACGGGACGGAGGACCGACGACTGAGTTCCGTCGAGTTGGGTTGTGAGCGCTTGGGAGATTCTGAGGTATATAGACCGTAAGGGATTTCCATTGCGATGAGTGCGAGACAGCGGACGAGGCCAGTAACAGCATCCTACAGGTGTTACATTCTGGAACTCGCATGATTTCCGTTTTTCCATTCAAGAAACGCTTTGTGTATTTGTTTGTTAGTCATATTGACGCAAAACTTAGGTTTGGTAAGCTGCTTTGCAGAGACGTATAAGAAATCAAACGTTACGAGGCATGTCTGAGGCGTTTTTGACCCTCTGGGAAAGAGAGCATTGATTGTGGCGTTGGTGAGTTCAAACGTTCGTGGAAACCGTGAACAACGGGGAAGGTGTGTGGAATGGGGGTGTCACAGAGAGGCACTGAGTTCAACCTGGGAATAAATAATAAGAATGTAATACTTCATCGCCGGTTTCACGTTCTCGGTAGAGGTAACCTGCGTCTGACGGTGGAATTTCAGCTGAATCGTGAGGACGCAATATCTGAGGGACAGCTCCTATCATTCCTTAGTCCTAGACTCGCACATTAATATAACGTGCGTATGAAATGGAAGAAGAACCCGCCGGTGAGTTATGTTGCCGTTTCTATTCCAATTCGTTCTAACGCAGTACCCGTAAGATGTTCTGAAAAGCAAGTATTCTCTCACTTGCTCACTTGATTTTCTTCGTTGCATCTTACTTCTCCAATCCAAGGTAAGATTGAGCTTTCGTGGAGAGTGACCCTGTCCGGTGGCGTATGAAAGGGCGGTGGGCTTCTGCAGACTAGCCTTATATATAAGACGCCCTCCCCGTCGGTTCCTCTCCTCCTTCTTTTCTTTCCCTCACTTCCTTTTTCTGCGTATTGTAGCCGTACCACGGCAATATGAACTCCAAGGAGATCGTACAAGGGAATAAGAGGAAATCCACGGACGACGGCGTGACTGCGATGTCGAAGAAGGTCAAGAGCGTGCAACATTCAGAGAAGCACAAGCGATTCGCGAATCGATACTACACAGCGTACATGGGATGCGCATCCTACGATGAATTTGAAGGGGCATTGCCTGAGGAATACTGGAAGTCCAAGGATCCGGGGACCTTCTCGAAACAAGACTTGGATAGGCTCTTATGTGAGGGGCATAGTATGGGCTTCTCCTATATCTGTGGTCATACTGACTGTGGCACTTAGTTCCGAAGCTACACGCTCTGAAGCCACTTCAAGTCGTCACGGACACAATCAGTTTCCTCGAAGAGTCCACTCCTACCCTTGACACCAAGGACGCCTCTCAACTGCGAGGCCATGTGGAGATCTTGAAGGCCGCCCCCCACGAAATAAGCGTGTACAGGGCCGTGATCAAGCTTACTGACCCTATCATAAAGGGTTATCATAAGCATATGCGGACTCGGATGGACCAACTTGAAGTCTACAGTCGAGAATATTTTCAGGGAAGATGTCCGAAGCTCGATACGCTGGGACTTTTGGCTAAGGAGCTGGCTGAAGAGCACGAGCAATTCGCGGAAGATGTTATTGCGCGGTGGGAAGAGATCACTAAGCGGGAAGAGGTTACCGGTGGTTGATGGGTGTCCCCCAGTTCTTAGTGAGGGGGCTTCTGATCTTTCCTTGAAGGTTTCATGAGGCTGAGGGCTTATAGACCCGGCAAGGTCTGGCTTCGACTCCTTTTGTACTTCCAATATGCAATTCTCACTCGGCTCAATTATGTAAAGCGACATCTCCAATGCCTACGCACGAATCTCCGCGGTCAATGGACTGTGTGCTGACGTGTGCAATTCAACAACTTGAGTACACTAAATGCAAGTTTGTAGTTCAGATCGTGCACAGCGCTGTATTTTATGCCACGGTTCAGTTCCTTGTCCAAATTGGATTCGAATAAGGGCCGGTTTCAATCTGCTATGGCCAGTCTGCTTAAGTAAAAAAGTCGCCTGAACAAGTTCGGACAGAGGAATCAGGATAGCTGGCCGATACGCCTAGCCTTTTGGGACTTCACTCCCAGGAGTTCTCTCTCACTTTTAAAAGTACTGCTCAGCTGGTTTGCGTATATAACAGTCAGGTTTTTGGCATCATAGTACTTTTTCTGCTTATCGCCGCGCTTGAAAGTGGAGTTGGGTTCATTAAGAGTTGCCTGTGCTGGGTCACGCCAAAGCGAAAGCGGGCAGCGTCTGGAGCTCGGGCTGTGCCTTCCATCTTCGTCCCTTCTTCCTCACTCCCACCTTCTTGTAACTTCGGCACCAACGAATTCCACGGCATTGGAGGTCTGAACAAAATCACAAAGGCGCTGAAAATGTCTGAGCGAGGTAAGAAGACAGCAGAAACCTTTCAACAAGAATCGTCTCTTTAACATGTCATCTCAATGCCTTTATAACCACCCGCTAACGCATAAGCCAGTTGCACCGGGAAAGCGCAAGCAAGGAGTCATGGACCCTACGACCACAAATGAAGGCTCTGAAACAAAGAGACACAAATCTCCGCCTAAATCCGATGAGCACAAGAAATTTGCCCTCCAGTACTACGCCAACCACGTGAGCTGCGCATCTTACCAGGAATTCGAAGCCGGTTTGCCAGAGGAATTCTGGACTTGCGAGGACTTGGAAGCATTTCCGAAGGAGAAGCTGAATAATATTATGTGTGAGTCCTAAAAATACGTGCATTGCCCATATGCATGCCTGTGGGTTATTTACTGATAATTTCCGCATAGTCCCTCAGTTGAGGAGCCCCCTTCTCGCTCCACAACTGCTGCAGGCCGTCACAGAGACTATCACCTTCTTCGAGAGGATTGTTGGCTATGTCAATGTCTACAACCCTCCTGATGCCGTTATTCTCCGCCACTTAATTGATATCCTAAAGACCGTGCCTCATGAGCAGCATGTCTACAATGCTGTGCTTGGTGCTGCTGACGCTGTCGTCAAAAGACTTCTTGAAGACGATACGAAGCACTTGCACAAAACGTGCGACCTCAACCTTGCAATTCTGAGGGGAGGTGCGGTGACAAATGAGATTGCAATTCTTGAGAGTGAGCGACAGCGATCAGCATGGCGGACTTCCGTGTATTCGGAGTGGAAGAGCGTTAAAAAGCAATTCTGAATGAGGGCCACAAGTGTCCGATGCAGTCGTGTCCCGGGATGCGACAAGTAGCTCTCCCAGGTTCTCTTTACCCTTCCATTCAACATTTTCTTTTGACTGAGGACTCCATGGACAGGGTTGTGTCAAAGGCTTTTGAACAATCCGGAAATGGCAAGTTTCTCAGCCTGGACTCAGAAGCATGGTCTTGCTTCGTGGTTACAGCATGGGCACACCTTGCAATACATCCAGTTATCCTGTCTCTAAATTCACTGTAGATACTTTCAATGTTGCTTTCAAACCGTGATCGCACACTTTGAAGGAAGACGCGGCGTCGACGTCGTGGCAACGGTCGGTTCTCAGAGTACCGGACTGACCTAGGCAGGTACTCCGCTTGTGTTTCTGCTTTGGAGATAATGAAAGAAGCTACCATACAAGCAGCACACCACCGGATCGAGTCAAATAAGAAAACCTTAACATAGTGAGAATGTGTGAAGGGGAACATCCACGGGTTAAATCTCAGCGCAGGACCGGCATTCTTAAGAGTGGCGGTGAGCTACAAGTCGTCAATTTATGCTGATAATTCCCACTTTTCCAGCAGTAAAATAGCTACACTTCGTGTACAGAATCTTTGCCTCAGTCTTTTCCAAGGGTTTCTCCGCCAACAACTGGGTAGCACGGCTGGCACGGAGGGGTCCAGCAATCGCACAGGTGAAATTGTAATGGGTAACAAGACTTCGGAGGATAGTGGTGGTCAGGGTAAGCAGCTTTCCTAAACTATCCACGGAGACATTGCCCTTCCTTTTGAACCATTGCAAAAGTTAACGCAACAAGCTCCGTCCCGGAAGAGAGGCTTGCCGCCGGATACGTCAGATGGCCGTCGCGCAAAGGCAATCAAGACAGTGCATCGCTCGGAGAAGCATCAGAAGTTCTCCGCGACGGTCTACATACGGCGGGTCAGCATGATGGGCAAAGATGAAATAGGCTGTATCTCACTGGAAGAATTCCAAGCAGCACTACCGCCTGAATATTGGACTAGCAAAGATCCAGCGGACTTCCCTGTAAAGGCGGTGGATACGATGCTGTGTAAGTCTAACCATAATCACGGAGTGGTTGCTCTTTCTTCTAATACTCCGTGAAGTTCCACATTTGCACAGCAAAAATGGGCCAGCGGAACCACTGCCCTCAGTCATGCACACTATAGCGTTTCTGGAGAAGATTGTTGGGCCCGTGGAAGCGTACAGTCTCGCTGACTCCGTGCAGCTTCGTGGCTACTTGAACATTCTGAGGTCTGCGCCGCATGTAGAGGCAACCCACCGGGTTGTTCTCGATCTCACGGATCCGATTGTGCGCAGGCTTCATGATCACGCTGAAGAGGAACATCTGGAGGCTAAGGCACGAAGCGTCAGATACAAGAAGGGCGGTAAGGTTCAGGAAAGGCTTCATGAAATTGCGGTAATGGAGGCTGCTGAGCAGGAGAAGTGGTGTGGTTGGGTGAAGGAGGGTGGAAGCGGGTTATGAAGGGGGCATCAGAGTAAATTTGGAATTGATCATACGTCTAGCTTCCATATGTAATTCTGATATTTGCATTCAATTCCTGAGGAAATCTTAGTCCAAAAATTTGTCAATCCAAAAGTTCCTAGAGTCCCTAGAGAATAGTCGTAAGTAATCTTGCACCCAGGAAGAGGGAGTGGATCCGGTTGATGTTCTTTCTGGGCCGTCCACCTATGTACATTATAGCACGATGTGTAATCTGCATCCTGTTACCAGCGTACAATCAGGAACGCTCAGCATGTGCAGCACGCCTAGACCAGCCGTTGTTTCCAAGGTTTTCCGTCTTGGCGGGGGATAACACCAATCGTTCTGGCGCCCCTGAGCCCGTTTCGGCCCGAGGAACGTCACCAGCCAACAGAGAAAAGGCCAAAAAGAATAATATTGCCCCCATTGAGGATTGAACTCAAGACCTCAGCATTTCACCTTTGCATGAATTTCTGCATACAAGCATACGAATTCAAGGTACAAGTGCTGCGCTCTACCACTGAGCTATAAGGGCTTCAGTTTTTGAGAAATTGGACTTCTCTATCACTTATGAATCGACTTTGTGGCTCCTTTCTGCAACAGTCCGGTGACACAAGCACCTTATAACGGATTTATAGGGGATGCGGTTAGGAGTTTGCTATTATACTACTATGAGCTTGTATTGCACCTTGACATGATGAAACGAGTAGCTTTTCTATTTTTCTGTTGTGCTATCGCACGGGAAAGTGGGCAACTAGCTCCGCCCTGGCCTCTTCTATCACCCGTTTCCTTGAAGCGAAACGTATCTCCTATTTCCTACACAACATGCGCGGATAGATCCCATGGCCCGCTTCCCTTCCCGCTCCACTGATGGAGGATCCCAACACAAAGTCCGCGCTGAGCGCCGCTTCAAGGATTACTTCAGAACCCAGTGCAATTAGTATGAACGACTTCATAGTAATCTGCATGACTCCCCCCTACTCCACACATCGTTCAAGGCGACATCTTGATCCGCTTCCGTGGCATACTACCCCCGTCATCCTCCGTCCGCCGCTCGCGGATGATAGGACCCACGAAGCTGCCCGCATGATGCTCCCAAGAGGGTGTCCCGAATGAGACAGGCGGTGCGAGAGCGACTCGTTTCGCGTTATACGCTGCATTGGGAGCCATGAGCGGCACGCGTTTCTGTCCACCCACGAGGGCATTGTTCTTCATGAAAGCCTCAATTCTCTTGCGCTTGTCAATTTCTCCCCACATCTCGGCTGGTGTCATGTACTTGACCGGCTCAGGCGGCGATGCTTCCAAACAGGGGCGTGCATACTCATCTCTATTAACGATGGACATGATCGTCTCCGTAAGACCACCATTGAGCTGTGTGCGCTTTGCAACAAACTCCGTGACATACGCAACCAGAAACGCTTGTTGACCCGCTTGCTGTGCGGTTACGATTTTACGGTGCTCATCCTCGGTGAGTTCGTTGAAGTAGATGTGCTGCACGATCCTCTCGCACTGAGCGCAGTGGAAAGGTTTGGCGTTGAAGGAAGGTTTCATGCAATTGAGGCCGCATGGGAGTCCGGGCTCGCCTAGTCTTGATGTATCCATGATCCAGTGGCCGCAGGCAAGCTGGTGGAGTCCGTTGGCGCCGCATGGGAGGGCAATGTCAGTCGCCTGGGGTTGGAAGTATTGGATGTTTCCGTATGTGCCTAGGTATCCTTCTCGAAGGCCGCCTTCGTCGTCCTCCATGAGGATGTCGGCGGAGAAGTCGCGTTGGGAACGATTGGCATGCCGCCTGTTCATCAGTGGGACGGGGCGGAGCATACGACGAGTAGAAATGGACCCATTCTCATTAGTGACCGATGTTGTAGGCGAAGTGAAAGATGCAGCAGGAGCGCCGTTCGTTGTGGTGCTTGCATTGATGCCTCCTGCAACTTGCGGAGGTGCTGTATCAGGCCTTGGTACTTCGGATCCGGTAGAGGTATTCTGTGGTGCGGCTTTTGCCCCGGTAAGGCGGCGCAAGAAACTCCCAAAGAGAAGCACCATTGTTGGGCAGTGTGTCGGTTGCTTGCAGGTTAGGGTGTTGTCAACTGATGATCGAGCCAGGAGAACTGAACGGAACCGGTCGATGAAGGTTGTTGCGCGTAGGTTGAAGCGAAGATGAAAATTCAACCAACAGACATTGTGAGCGCGCATTTGGATGAGGCGCGACGCAAACCTTGACAGGCCAGTGGTTGAGTTCCAGGAGTGAAAGTCCCAGTGAGCGTATTCACCTACTAGAGAACCCGCTCAACAGCAACCAATCCGTGACGAGGAAAATCTAGTAAATGGCTCGAATCTTTGTGCCGCATACATTGTGTAACTTCAATTTCCAAACACATGCATGCTCTGAATCACTCAACGACATGTCTTTGTAGCCACTATCTTACTGTTTCTGTAGCCACCTTGATATCCGTAACTCCTACAAAGATGGCTTTTGATCACTAAACCTCGAGGGGGAAATCAGTCCTTGGTCCATTCAAGCGCCTACGACCATCCATGAACCACTGCACAATGCTTGACGATTAGGATGGTGCCGAACGCCATGCATGGGTACCAACCACGACGGGGATGCATATGAACGGCTAAGGGGCTGCTAGGTAGGACTGGCCCCCAGCATATATAAGACAAATCAGTTTGGCTCCGCCGAACGATACGGGCTGCGCTGTTCGTAGAAAACGTCGCCGACCTGGCCTTCATCGTCCGCGCAGCCTTGCCTTGCTGCTAAGTGTCTCTCTTGATCATCTGTCAAGGCTCTGGTTTTCAGGGTTTTTGGTATTGAGCTCGGACGGATACTGACTATATATGCAAGGGAACCGCATATTACCAAAGGATGAGAGTAGATAGCGCTTAATATCATGATCTATGATTTACCAAAAGAGTGACCTGGATTTGTCTCCGGGTCTTGGCTGAAAGTCAACTTAAGCTTCCCGAAGATGCTTGGCATTGGGACGTCGAAAGGTCACCTCAAGACCTCAAGGATGCCTAACCAGCGCCCTCCCTTCAGACCGAGCCCCACTGCTCGCTATAAACGCCTATGGCATCTTATGATTGAGCTGACCTCTTTGTCTACAGCCCTGTCTCGATATGGGCGTCGTTTGCAGCGATATCGTTCAGTCACCATTCCCCTCCGTTTACCCTCTCGATGGCACGACTGTTGAACAGGCTGAGTGCACTTCGCGCCCAGCAGTATGACCGCCTGCCTGTGGATGAAGGCGAGCCTAGTTCCCCGTCAAAATCTCGGAAAAGAAGTAGGCAGAGCTTCTGGAAATGGGTTGCTGCTGTATCCTCAGTAGTAGGGCTAGCGGTTTTCTATCTAGTAATCCGGTACTTCACCTTTTCTATCTTTGGGACTAGGAGGGAAAGGCTTACAGTATTTTCAGGAAGGCAGTTCAGACGGACGTCGAATCGCACAATTCATGCGACACAATTGACGATGGCTACCGCTGTAGCCCAAGCACATCGCATTTCTGGGGACAGTACTCGCTCTGGTTCTCCGTTCCCTCCGATGTCGAAACTGTGCCACCGAAAGGATGCTCTGTGTCTTTCGCTTCGGTCCTCTCACGTCACGGCGGTCGCGATCCTACGCTCGGCAAATCGCTCGCATACGCATTGTTGATTGAAGAAATCCACAACAATAGCAATGCTTATCCGGATGAATTTGCGTTCCTGAAGGACTACAAATATACGCTTGGGGCAGATCAATTGACAGATGCTGGAAGGCAAGAGATGGTTAACTCGGGAGCTCACTTTTATCGGCGCTACAGTACGCTGGTAGCGGATACGCCCCCCTTTGTCCGCTCAGGTGGTCAGGCGCGTGTTGTGGAATCAGCGAATAAATGGCTAAAAGGGTTCGCCGAAGCTGGGAAGCATTCAGCTCCGGCTCCCATTGACGTGACCATCCCGGAAGGTCCAGGATATAACAACACCTTGTCGCACAAGATCTGCACGGCTTATGAAGAAGGGCGATTCAAAGAAATTGGGGCCGATGCCCAGCGGAAATGGGCGACAAAGTTCATACCGCCGATCCAGTCTCGCGTGAATTCTAAGCTCGGCACCAATCTCAGCGAGACATCCATCATCTATCTGATGGATATGTGCCCATTCGATACCCTCGCTTCGCCCACTGCAAGCGTATCAAAGTTCTGCAACTTATTCACAGAGGACGAGTGGCATCAGTATGACTATTACCAGACTCTCGGCAAATACTACGGATTTGGCAACGGCAACCCCCTTGGACCAACTCAAGGTGTCGGCTATGTGAACGAACTCATTGCTCGCCTGACCGAGACACCAGTCAACGATCACACAAACACGAACCGCACGCTTGATTCGAACCCAGTCACGTTTCCATTGGATCGAAAGGTCTATGCGGACTTCAGCCATGACAATGACATGACTAGAATATTCGCCGCCATGGGACTTTACAACACCACCAGACCGCTGTCAAATTCCACTATAGAAGGCACCAATGTCACGAACGGATACTCAGCTGCATGGACTGTGCCTTTTGCTGCTAGAATGTATGTTGAGAAGCTCAGGTGCGAAGGAGAAGAGGAAGAATTCGTCAGGGTCATCGTGAACGATCGTGTCATGCCTCTCGAATTCTGCGAAGCTGATGACTTCGGAAGATGCAAGCTAAGCAAGTTTGTTGAAAGCCAAAGCTTTGCTAGGAGCGGAGGGCACTGGGACGAATGCTTCTCTCAACCCGCACAGTCTCAAAAACGAGAAATATGAATGGAAATGTAATAAACCACAAGTTCGACACCGTTCTTCGCTGTGTCCAATGGCAAGACATTTCCGCTTGATCTTGACCACGAGGATAGGAGCTGAAGAGAAATCATTGCTTCAGAATATCCTCACCGCAGAATATATGAAAATGTGGACGATGAATCCTTCGGTCTCACGTGGAAGAATCGCGAGTCATAAGCAAACGCGTAACAAACAGCAGCAAGTTTGGATCGAAACCACGTAGAGATCGTGATGACAAAAGCCCTGTTCATGCCCAACGCACTTCCGGCAGTGTCCACTTGCCATTAATGACAGAACAGGGACCTCTCCATGAAGTTGTGCCATCGTCGCATCCGGCTCACCTGCGGAAGTTGACCATCCGTATACCCAAGGAGCTATGGAACACGACAAGCCCACCATCAGACTTGTCTCGTAAAGAGGACGTAGTAGAACCGCCCAGACCATCGCCTCGTCGAAGCTTAATAGTAAAACTCCGCCTGAAGCGTCCTTCAGCACCCCCAGCCAATCCGACGATCACTTCATCTTTAACCCCACACCACTCCTCCTCTGCTTCCCATCAACTTCTAGCTTCCGTTCCAACAGAACCCCACCCCTCTGATTCTCCCGATCAGGCCGCGAGATCAACACCAGCCAACCGCCAGAGACCAAAATCCTGCGGCGTGAAAATTTGGCGCTGGATCCCCGGGGGCCCGGAACACAGGTATTCAGGGACTTATATGCATGAGATGTATCTCCAACAACCCTGTTTGCAATCCACCTGTCGGAGCTGTAGGGTCTACCATCGTGGTATTGTTCAGGAGCCTTTGTCGTTGCGGAGTCGTTTCCCGGGTTCTGAGGTTGGAGGGGGAAGGAATGAGAGTGCGCAGAGACAAAGTGAGGAGGGAAGGGAAAGCGAGCGGGATTGTTGAAGGCGCAGATACAATCCAGCTGGGTACGCCTGCTTGGAGTCGCGTATGTCTAGTACCTGCCAAAGTAGCTACTTCTTCAAAACATCTCTCAGGAGTTTCGTGAAGATCGCAGGTTGTGATGAAGAGAATAGCTGGACGTAGGATTTCTTAATGGCCACTCTCTGACTTATTATACAGGGCGTCGAAACTCCGCCCAGCTGATCAAGCTGACGAAAAGCTCTTAGCACAAGCCAATACCGACAAACATTATATTAATGCAATTGTGAGTCTTTTAACTTCCCGTGCCTTAGGTCGCGGCTATGTCCATGAGGAAGTTAAGTCCTGGTCTGCGGCGTCTGGACAATTGAGGGCATTTGGGCAGCGAAAGAGAACTGCAAATCAGATCCCTCTGTCGCTTGGGAAGCAGAAAGAAAAAGAGATAAAGAGAAAAATGACGGCTCTTACCAATCATGTCACGAAGGGCTGACTGCGTTGAAACAGGTGGATAGTGTCCAGTTATGTCTGGCATCCAAACTTCTCGCAAGTAAGAGCTGATGGAGACACTCCCGGAGGGGAGCATTCGTAAATTCTATCCCGTATTGGAGGCCATTCCCGAAACAGGTCACTGTACATGGAGCTCACACTCACCCTCACCGACTTATGGCAAACGGTTAAGCGAAGATTTTGAATACCCTCAGTTCCACGAAGCCATCCAGTTATTTACACATCTTTTAGAGTCCGTCAATTGCTCACGTCCTATTCCATGGATCTGCACGCCCTGGATCGGCTAATATCCCGTCTTCCCGTACCTTGGAGCAATGCTTTGGAGCCATTTCTCGACGGATACAAGATGATGCCCCAGGAATTTGCTCGTCTTCAAGCAGATCTCTGCCCGGGAAGTCCAGTCTCCGACACAACGGTCTCTAATTACATCCATGTCATGAAGAATACGCTCCCGAGTATTTGCTATAACCTTGTCGCTTACATAGACCCGGTCAATGTGACATGCTTTCTGCAGGATCGGTCCGACAACCCCGGAAAACATGTTCTTCAAGAACTGGCAGCACGGCCTCTAGCAAGTCATATATTCTGGCCCATCCATGAGCGCGACGGAAAGTGGAGTCTCGTGCATGTTTGCCTCAAAACTCGACTTGTATCCTACCACACGCCTCACCCTTCTGATTCGCCCAGCAGCAAGGGTGCTGAGGATGCTACGGGGAAGATCCTCCAATTCCTTGATCGGTATTATAAACAGAGCACGAAGGATAGGAAACCTTTCTCCGAATGGGCCAGGCATCCCTATCGCAATCTCTACTGCAAAGGACGCAGCGGCCCAAGTATCTTTCCGGCAGGATCCCATGATAGTGGGATATGGGTCATGCTCCTGATGCGCCGTCTTCCCGATGATGACCAATGGTGGCCAGTGGGATATGGTGTAGAAGAGGAAGAGGGCTATGGTGAGGTGTTTACAGCCGTCGTAGGTGAGCGTATGAGATTCAGGATCGCGGCCGAGCTTATCGCGGGAACCGTAAATCCCAAAATTGACTGCATTCCGGATTGGCTGAAATGACATGCTCAAATGTCCGGCTCAGCAAAAGCGAGCCGTGGCTGGCAGAGTTATGGCAGTCGTGTTCAGGCTGCGGTTACACCACGTGTATGTTCTGATAGGGTCTTATATGTTCATCGGGATCCTGCGAGGGGAATAAAGAGGTTCCAAATATGCCAGGCTAAGTAGAGTATTTTTTATTCTATACAGTACATGATATACATTCAAAGCGCCTTCTCCTCGTCCTTCTCACCTGGAGCACTCTCGCTGGCCTCCTTGTCCTTCACACCAAACTCGGTATCCAGATCCTTTTGCAGCGAAATCTGCTTCTCAACAGCAACAAGGCAGAACCCCAGCCCAGCAATCCCGATGCCCACCTGCCAAATGAGCTTCAGCGTATCCGTGTATACGCCCACGACCTCGCGGCGTACGGGCACAGACAAGCTATCCAAGAAAGCCCTTGTGGCATGTTCGTAACCGGCGCCGCCGGAGAGCGCAGCACGCACATCCGGATCGGAGACGCGTGCGTTGGCAAGCTGGGCTAGGCGATGATTGAAGATGGTCGCTGGGACAGTGACGGCCCAGACGATGCCGAAGCTGCGGACGAAAGCGAAGGTGCCGGTAGCTGTGGCGACGTCCTTTTGCGAGAGGGGTGCTTGGATGGCTGGGAGGAGGACGGAGACGATGACGCCTGCGCCTGCTGCTTCGACGGCTTGGAAGAGGACCCATGCGGCTGTTGAGGAGGAGGCGCGGAGGAGAGTGAAGAGGCCGAAGCCGATCGTCATGATGGCGAAGCCGGTGAAGTGCAGTGGTTTGTACTTGCCCAGTTTGCCCAGCAGTTTGCCTGAGACGGCGGCGAAGGGGATGAGGATGAGGACGGTTGGGAGCAGCTGCACGCCGGAGCGGGAGGGGGAGGAGGCGAGGACGCCCTGGAAGTATACGGGGAGGAAGTAGATGACCCAGAAGGTCAGGATGGAGTGGAGGAATGTGAGGAAGAAGGCAGTTACAGTAGTCCGGTTTGTGAAGAGACGCAGGGGCATCGTGGGTTCCGCTGGGTATCGTTGGTAAACGAAGAAGACTACGAGTCCGACGGCGCCGATGACAAGCGGTACGATGGTCCGCCAGGAGTTCCACGGATTCTGCACGCCGCCGCTTGTCAGGGCGAGCAGGATTGCGACGGTCGATCCGATGAAGAGGACGTTGCCGCCATAGTCGATCCGCCGCAGCTTCGCAGCTATGGGTTCGTGCTTGAAGTTGACGTGGAGGAAGAAGTAAAGGAGGACCAGGACGACGCCGGAGATGGGCAGGTTGAGGTAAAATACCTGTTACGTGTTAGTGAAGTCTCCACACTCTTTGCGCCAGGAGTGTTTCCTTACCCATCTCCAAGAGGTTGACTGGACGATTACACCACCCAAGAACGGTCCGATGCCATTCCCGACTGTGATGGAGAGGAATATGATGGCCAGATACGTCCCCCTGTCTCGAAGCGGGACAATGTCGCTGATGATGACGTTGGGGAGCATCGTGAGACCGCCTCCTCCCATGCCCTGGATTGCTCGTCCTGCGATCAGCATCTCCATGCTGCTTGCTCCTCCGCAGATTCCGCTGCCCAAGGCAAATACGGCGACTGCAAAGATGAGCAGGTATCTACGACCGAAGATATTCGCGGTTTGGCCATAGAGGGGTTGGATGACTGTGCTGGTCAGGAAGTAGGCGTTTACGGCCCAGAGATACAGCGATCCGCCGCCCAGGTGGTCTATGATGGTGGGTAACGCGGTCGAAACGACGGTGCCTTCAAGAGCAGAGAGGATGCCGGTCGTGCAAAGGGAAAAGATGATGCACCAGAACCGAAACCCGCGTTTGAACGGTTGGGGAGCTTCTTTGGTCTCGTCGCCTTGCACTCCTCCATCTTGGTCGGGAGGAGGCTCGGCAGCCTCTGAGTCCGTGGGAGGCATTCTGCTGGCCAGGAGAAAATTGTGTGCAAGAAAGGGTCCAAGAGGTTCAGCAGTCGTTGAAGACGTCCTTCACCCCAGAAGAGTGTTTGGCTTACGAAAGCGGTTAGCGCGGATTTATCCAGCGGCATCCTCCGACCGTCCGCTCACCCTCCGCTGCGTATCCGTAACGTCGGGAGGGGCACGGCGTATGGGCGTCATTCGCGTCATCATCGATATTGGAATACGATAAACTTCGTGTTTGCTCATCCTCACCCTCACCCCCGTCTCCCCATTCACCCTCCGATGAGCCGGCCTTGTCGCTTCTGGTCTAGCGCCGGGATTTGATCGATGGATGGCGCCCTTCTGCAGGTGGCTGAAGCGGACCGCCGTACGCCCCCGATCGGTACGAACGCCAAGATCAAGCTAAGCCTTACATTTTAGTCTATTGGGCGTCATGACAGGAAGTGTGCTGCGTTCTGACGGATACGCGTATGACATTCACCCTGCCTACCGCCCATATGGGAAGTAGATTATTTTGCCTGTGGAACTTCGAGTCCCTCAACTTTTCCCGGTTTAATTCCAGGCCAAAGAAAACATGGCTCGATCTCCCATCCTTTTGTTTGCCATTGCAGGCGTCGTTCTTCTCCTTGTTCGAAACCTCTCCACCCGCATCTACTATGCCCGTCTTGCCCGCCGTCATGGCTGCAAACCAGCAAAGCCTCTGCCACAAGGCGAGCGTATCCTCGGCTTCTCCCTCTTCAAAGAGCAAATGAAAGCAGCAAAGGAGGCTCGTCTCCTCCCGTTGATGGTACAGCGTCATCGAGACCACGGAAACACGTTCAAAGGCGCCATCATGGGCAGGGAGTTCATCACGACGATTGAACCGGAGAACATCAAGGCCATCCTCAGCACCAATTTCAAAGACTACAAGCTGGGCCGGGAGGACGCGCTGGGCCCGCTGCTCGGAAAGGGCATCTTCACCAGCGATGGTGCCCGGTGGGAACATTCACGAGCGCTCCTGCGGCCGTCTTTCACGCGCGACCAGATCTCCGACTTGGATCTCCTGGAAACCCACGTCTTGCACTTGCTCGCGCTCATCCCAACGGACGGCACCACGGTAGATTTGCAACCGCTCTTCTTCCGCCTGACCATGGACTCTGCTACGCAATTCCTCTTCGGCGAATCCGTGTGCTCCCTCTTGGACACCGAGCACAAAGCCGGCAACGCCTTTGCCACGCAATTCAACTTTGCCCAGAGCGAGGTCGTCAAGCGCTACCGTCTCGGTCCCATGCGGCGTTTCTACCGCAACAAGCAATTCGACGAGGCATGTGACTTCATCCGCGCCTTCGTCGGGGGCTTCGTCGACAAGGCGCTTGCATACAATGCTACGTTCAAGTCCATCCAAGACGTCGAGCAGAACTCCTCGAGGGGCGAAAAGGAACGCTACGTCTTCCTCCAGGAACTCGCCAAGCAGACTAACGACAAGGAGACACTGACGGACGAGATCCTGAGCATCTTGATGGCGGGCCGCGACACCACGGCTTGCTTGTTGAGCAATACCTTCCATGCTCTTGCGCGGCACCCGGAAGTCTGGAGGAAGCTCAAGGCCGAGGTTGCACTGCTTGAAGGAAGGAGGCCTGGGTATGAGGAGCTGAGGCAGATGAAATATCTAAAGTACATCATGAACGAATGTGAGTTGCAGAAGACCCATCCTCACTTCAAACAAAACTGCTAATCAACACGAAGCACTCCGCCTCTACCCCGTCGTAGCGGGCAACTCGCGCGTCGCCGTCCGTCCCACCGTCCTCCCCGTAGGCGGCGGACCCGACGGCCGCTCACCCATCCTCGTACACCAAAATCAGCCCGTCTCCTTCTTCTCCTACGCCCTGCATCGCCGCACCGACCTCTTCGGTCCTGATGCCGAGGAATTCAAACCTGAGCGGTGGGAGACGCTGCGTCCCGGTTGGACGTGTACGCCGTTTTCGGGCGGGCCGCGCGTTTGCCTTGGGCAGCAGTTTGCGCTTACGGAGGCGGGGTATACCATTGTTCGGATTGTGCAGATGGTTGGGGGGAGGCTTGAGAGTCGGGATGAGCATGCGTGGGCGGAGAAGATGGGTTTGGCTACGTGTAGTTTTTATGGGGTTAAGGTGGGGTTTGTGGAGGAGTGAGGTGGAGATGAATCTTATCGCCCGTTTTGGCTCACTGAGTGTCTGCACACCTGTGCTTCGTTGAGGGGATATTCAGATAGAGGCAAAGTACCTTTAGAGGAGACTTGATTATACTGGAGCAATGTTGAATCGTCTTCACAAGCGTTAAGGAACAATGAGGTGCGTCGAATGCTTACGCTCCGTAGGCATGAGCTATGATCAAAGTTCGCAAGATAGATAACCTGAACCGTTGGTAGTCGTCCAATTAATTGCACGAAATATCACCCCAAGAAGAAGAAATGCGAATCGCATGCACAATCAAATCAACTCTCACCCATTGATAGATCTATCATATAATGTCACTTCCAAAACGAGTCTTCTTCTGCGTTGCAGATAAGTCAACCTTCTGCGCGTGGTTCAAGCATCAAGTTCCACATAAGTTGACTAGACTTGACTTCACCCCTTTCCTCCCCAAAAACACAGACATACTCAAACAACCCCCCTAACCGTAGCAGCAAAAACCACCCCCCAAGCCGGTAAATCGCAAACCCACAGCCTCCACCAATTCAGCCTATGCCACTCCCCCATAACCTTAACCAACGCCTCCTTCCCCACCTTCTCATCCTCCAGCGCGCCCCTCAAGCGTCCCGCGTATCGAAACGGCGCCACGTGCGCCAATGTGAGGGCGAAGCCGAGGCCGAAGAGGGAGGAGGAGGAGGAGGATGCAGGGAGGAGGAAGGCGTTGAGGAGAAGGGAGACGAGAGAGAGAGGGTACAGGGAGCCCATGATCCACATGATTTTTCGCGAGAAGGGGCGGGCGATGGTGGGGGAGGTGGTGAGGAGCATGGCGAAGATGACGTGTTGGTGGGCGACGGAGATGATGCTGGGGGAGGGTTTTGTTAGACGCTAGGGATGGATGTATGTGGTTGGGAAGGGGAGAGGGGAGAGAAGAGGGAAGCAAGGGAAGGGGACTCACGTTGCGCTGGAGAGGACGAGGGGACTTAGGCGGAGGGCGGCCATGGCGAGAGAGGCGTAGGGGGTGGATACTTGGGAGGGACTCATGGTGGGCGTTGTGGTGTGGTGTGGTGATGTTGATCGTGGTGGCGATGTCCCTGACTGATGCAATTGGGATAGTACTTGCTCTACGGTGTGTTTGTTCTATAGAGCTGTTTATGATGATTCATATTGTTTGGTCACACAATATATACGCTATCAATCTTTTCCTCGCCGCAAGCGCTAAACTGCTCAATGGCCGAAGCCCGAACGCAACAGCACCAATATTCGTATTCTATCCCCGCACAGGGTCGATTAGTCGGTGAAGACTAGAAGAAGAATTTACCCAACGCATGGACTGGCCTAATCCACTCAATCTTGAGCTCCCGCTATGCCACATTGCGGCACGCCAAAATCATTTCAAACACCCTGCAAGAATACGAATGCAACGCGCCCCGTTGAACGGTTCGTACTGCGGCCCGTATCTCTCCTCTGCGGGTTACCCCAAAACGGCCGAGGGTAAGCCGTGGGGTACGGTCTCGGTATACGCCTAAGCAGTACGTCGTACAATGCATCAGTGGCGTGATAAGGCTGCAGTATCTGCTGTAACACGAGTCCTAAGAGGGAAGCTGCTAGTCTAAACCAAGAAGCTTGATTTGCATGTATTCCTGCAATTTGCACTATGGTAGCTTTACGTCCGACTACGGAGCTGTACGCTGTACCTCCTGACGGTCCGTGAATTTGCCAATCCCGTATGCAGTGTAATACAAGTTACGCGGCGTAGCTACAGGTTTGCCTAGCCAATCACATACACCAATTTCTCACCACTCACCTCCCTCCGCTTCAACATGTCGACCCCCTGCAGGATACCTTCGAAGCCACCGTCCATCACTCTAGGCGGATGGCCCCTCAGCTTACCAGCGTCGAGCAAATTCTGCAGTGTCTTGAACCATTCTCCGCCAAATCGACGCCGGTCCTCGCTCGGCGCGCTCTCATACCCGCTGCCCAGCGCTATCCGCTTTCCTGTTAAAGTGATGCCAAGGACCCAGTCCGCCTTCACCGACTTGCGCATCATGTCCGTCAGCTCCGTGGGGATGTTCTCGAGGCCGGTTAGGCGACCTCCGGTGCGCCCAATGCTGTTGTAGCACAGTTTGATGGTCTTGGCCTCGGTGATGGTATCTAGCACATACTTTAAACGGTTGCCCGTGTAAGCCTTGATGTCCTCGGCGCACGTGGGCGAGTTGTAGTCAAAGGCCGCTTCAGCGCCGTACGACTTGACCAGGTCGAAGTTGCGCGGTGAGCAGGTGGTGATGACTCTGGCGCCAGATCTAGAAGCATGCGGTCAGCAAATCAATACCTTTTTCAGCAGCGCAATATCGATTTCTTTTTTCTTTTTCTCGAACTTACAGCTTCAGGAGCTGGATTGCAGCGGTGCCTGATGCAGTGCTTCCACCATAGACCAATGCAAAGAAGGGCGTCGGGGAAGGATTCTCAGGATGACCCGGTACCTGCAAAGACTGGAACAGAGCCAGTCCCAGGGTTCCCAAGACGACTCCTCCAAAGGCGGCAGCCTCTGTCCAAGACATGGTGTCCGGGACCTTGAGCACATAATCCGCGTAGGCAGCAACGTAGTCGGCGAAGGAGCCGGACAGGTGGTTGATGGGATTGGATGCATGGACTGCACCGCAGACCCTGTCACCCACACACAGGTCTTTGGTAACTTCGTGTCCCACTGCCACGACGATGCCTGCGAAGTCGGAGCCGTCCGTGGCACCGGGAGATGGAAACATGGTGGGCATCTTGTGATCGCAGGGATTGATGGCGACGGCCACCGTCTTTACCAGGACCTGATCGGGCTCGATGGAGGGGACAGGGGAGGAGCGCTGGATGGTGAGGACGCCCCCCTCACCCTGCCGTATAGCCGTTTGGACCTTTGGAATAGATTGGATTTGAGACATTCTGCAAACAAGACGTGAGACGTGACTGGGTCGTCGATGCAGGGAGACGCCGCCGAGTGATTACGGAAAGACGCTGGTCTTTTCCGGCCTCTTTTATACCGCACAATTGGCACGGTTGGTTGTTCGCTGTGAAAAAGGCACAGTCAGAGCGGCCAAGTTGCTCTCTTTCCCTGCAGATGTACCTAATCCTGGACACGGTGTCATACTAAATGCCCCGTTGCATGAGGCCTGGGTTGAACTCGTAGGGTCCGGATTGCGCAATGTCATCTCGGCGGCGGAAGATGCAGCGGAGGTCAGCAAAATATCGAACCATCACTGTGAGAACGGGTTCTACAGCGCTCCTGCTGGACCCTGGATATACCGTCAGAACGTCGGGAGAAGGATGAGACCAAACCTTGGCAGGCCTTTTCCAAAAAGGGGAGGATATAAGCGGAGGGAAGCTGTTGGACTCTTGGGAAGTCTGAACATGCAAGGTAGGGTACGGCGTACGGAGTAGACGGACTCCAGAGAGAAATTGCCGTGCAGACGCAGGGACTCGAATGGTGATCAAGAATTAATTGTTTTGCTCAGCTCAACGACCGGTGAACATCACTTCGCGATAGATTTCCCCGTCCGGTTAGACGTCACGTGAATAATAACCTTAATTGCACGTCTTCTGCGACACCGGAGTCCGGCAATCTGTTGGTTACGGCGTGGTCGTACCGCTCCGTGGCGCCTGTTACTGTAAAGTACGGTAGGTACAAGCCCCGGGCGGGCCCACCTCCGGCTAAGGCGCAAAGCTTGTGCGACATAAGAGTGGATGCGAAAGGATGCGAGCGGGATGGCGCTGGATAGCGCAACCTTATCGAGCCCCCCGGCGGCCCGGCACCGTGGGACCGTTGGCATTAGCCGGATTGGGACCGAGTACACGCCCATACATACCCATACATACCCATACACCGATTGACCATCTGCGGCCCTGCGTCGCGGGGAATTGTGGTGGACCCGCGTCGCAGTGCAAGTACCTAGGGTAGCAATACTTCCGCTCATGGGTACGGACCTCTACTCCGTACAGAGGCCGAGAAGCTTGGCAGCTTAGCTGGAGTCGCGTCTTCCGCCCTTCTGCTTCACCGATGTTTGTTTCGAGGATTCGATGCTCACTCTCTTTCACACAGCTTCGATACATGTACGTATCCTTTTCAAGCTTACCTTACAGAGCCTGGGCCGGCCTGCTCGAAGAGATGATGCTGCGACCAAGAACTACCAAGGCTGGCTGAGACTCTTCCTTTGCACATGTTTTGCACAATCGGGCTCAGCGTAAGCTTGCGTCTCAAGAGGGTACGAGGTAGCATGCATCTGCCGCATACGAATCTCTTGATACCTTCCGCCTGCAAGCAGACGTCGAAATGTAGCATGCGGAATTGGAATTCCATAGGCCCCGTATCCGTGAAACGAAGCCTCCAAACAAACGGGGTTTATCAGCCCAGAGTAGGCTATCAGGCAATCTCATTCGTATCTGCGAAACGTGCAGAATCCCTGAGCTAGGACAGGCTGAGATGGACTGAGGTGGGATGCAGGGTCTTACTACTCTATGCCCAGCCATAATATCTCGAGCTCTTGGCATAAATCTTGTCTCGTACTTCGGTGATGCTGATCCATGGAGACAATTCGCTTCTGCCTCAACAGAGGGGGCACGGTCAATGGAGAGGCGGTATGGCGTCTCCGTCTAGGTAGGTAGCACAGAGAGAAAACGCCACCAATTTTGGACCGCCTTCCCGTGCGGCTTACTGTCCTGGCTGGTTGACGTCTTGGTATGCTGGAAGCGAGTTCGAGAATCCTCAGGTCGGAGGCCGATGGCATGAGATGCGTAGAGGTTGCTGAAGCTGATGCGAGAGTCTTGTCCTGAGTTTAAGATATATGTTGGATCCCCATGGAAAGACGGATACTCAGTGCTCGGGTACCTCAACTCCAAGACGCTGCTTGAGAATCAACTTCTTTGTACCTTATATCTGGGTGGGATCGTCTTACCCCTTGTACCATCACTGTACCCCTCGAGCCATCATGCATCACAAGGAGCCCATCGCCATCATTGGTACAGGCTGCCGCTTCCCTGGCGGAGCGTCGTCACCCTCCAAACTCTGGGAACTGCTACGTCAGCCCCGTGACGTACTCACACGCATTCCCGCCGATCGATTCAACCCATCCGGTTTCTACCATGAAGATGGCGCCCATCACGGCGCTACCAACGTACAGGAGTCCTATGTCTTGTCCGAGGACATCCGGCTCTTCGACGCTTCCTTCTTCAAGATCAATGGAGCGGAAGCCCACTCCATTGATCCACAGCAACGCCTCCTGCTTGAGACGGTGTACGAATCGCTCGAGTCAGCGGGTCTGCCTCTCGAGAATGTCGCTGGCTCAGACACGGCTGTTTTTGTCGGCCTCATGAGCGAGGAGTACAGCGACCATCTGTTGCGGGATCCCGACACCATTCCCACCCACATGGCTACCGGGACCGCCCGCAGCATTCTTTCCAATCGCATCTCCTACGTGTTTGATATGCACGGCCCTTCCGTCACTGTCGACACGGCATGCTCCAGCTCCCTGGTGGCAGTGCACATGGCGGTGCAGGCTCTCCGAAACGGCGAGTCCCGCATAGCAATTGCTGCAGGGTCCAATCTCATCATGGGTCCGGAGCCATACATTGCCGAAAGCAAGCTAAAGATGCTTTCGCCCGGTAGTCGCTCTCGAATGTGGGACGCCAGCGCCGACGGCTATGCCCGAGGTGAGGGGTTCGCTTCCATCGTCTTGAAGACCCTGAGCGCTGCTATCGCCGACGGCGACGACATCGAGTGCATCATTCGAGAAACTGGTGTCAACCAGGATGGTCGTGGAACGGCCAAGGGTATTACGGTGCCCAGCGCTGCCGCACAGACTAGACTTATCCTGGAAACGTACCAACGCGCCGGCCTCAACGCCGCGAAGGAAGAAGATCGCTGTCAATTCTGTAGGTCCCCTTACCCCAGGCACCTTTATACCCCATTCTCCTAACATGACGTGCAGTCCAATGCCACGGAACTGGAACTCCAGCGGGCGATCCCGTCGAAGCCGAAGCCATCAGTGATGCCTTCTTTGGAGATAAGTCGACCTCCGAGAAGTCCCTCCTTGTTGGCAGCGTGAAAACTGTCATTGGACATACCGAAGGTACCGCTGGTCTTGCTGGTCTGTTGACTGCATCCTTGGGAATTCAGAACGGCTTCATCCCTCCCAATCTTCTCTTCTCCGAACTGAATCCCGCAATCGCTCCCTTCTACGGCAAGCTGAAGCTACCCCTGGAGCTTACGAAGTGGCCGGAGGTTCCCAACGGACACCCACGACGCGCCAGCGTCAACAGCTTCGGATTTGGTGGCACTAATGCTCATGCCATACTGGAGAGCTACAGTGCCCCGGCCCTTGTCAATGCTTCCTCGGCCCAGGTTTTCACGCCGTTCGTTTTCTCAGCGGCATCGAACACCGCACTTAGCGCTTCGATCAGAGCTTACAGTAACTTCCTCAAGACGAACCCCTCGGTTAATCTCCTGGACTTGGGTCACACGCTTCATTCGCGTCGATCTGTCCTCGCAGTGAAGGCAAGCGTCCCCGCTTGTTCCGACAATGAGGAGCTTATCGCACAGCTTGATGCACTCCTCGAACGAGCCAAGGACTCCTCTGTGGGTACTTCTACCTCTCCCAGTAGTCCCCGCATCCTCGGCGTCTTCACTGGTCAGGGCGCTCAGTATGCCGGCATGGGCAAAAGCCTGATTCTCCAGTCTCCACTTGCTGCAAGGCGCGTAGACGAGCTCCAGAAGGTCCTCGACCAGCTTCCAGCGCCGGATCGGCCGGACTGGAAAATCAGAGACGAGCTCCTCGCTGAGGCGGCCTCTTCTCGTCTCGGAGAGGCCGCCCTCTCTCAGCCCCTCTGTACCGTCATTCAAGTCATTCTGGTCGAGATGCTGAGGAGCGCCGGCGTAGAATTTGCAGCCGTCGTCGGTCACTCGTCCGGTGAAATCGGTGCTGCCTTTGCAGCGGGCTATATCTCCGCCGAGGACGCTCTCAAAATCGCCTACTACCGCGGCATCCACACCAAGCTTGCTGGAAGCAATGGCAAGCGCGGGGCAATGATGGCTGTAGGCACATCGCCAGAAGACGCAAGGGAACTATGCGAATTCGAGGACTTCGCCGGCCGCATCTGCGTCGCCGCGAGCAACTCACCAACCAGCACGACGCTATCCGGTGATGCCGAAGCCATCGATGAAGCGAAGCTCGTCATGGATGACGAGAAGAAGTTCGCTCGAGTCTTGAAGGTCGACAAGGCGTACCACTCGCACCATATGCAACCATGCCGAGAGCCTTACATTGCCTCTCTCCGTAGCTGCAACATCACCGTGCAGCCCAACGCCAAGTGCAAGTGGTACTCCAGTGTCTATGACGGCAACCTCATCGAGGGTTCTCAGGTCGATCTCCTGAAGGATACATATTGGGCAGACAACATGTGCAACGAAGTCTTATTCATGCAAGCCGTCCAGGGTGCTCTCCAGGGTAGCGGTCCTTTCACTGCGGGACTTGAGGTCGGACCACACCCCGCACTCAAGGGCCCTGCCCTCGATACCATTGTTGACGCTACGGGTGCGGAGGCGATTCCGTACTCTGGTGTCTTGGATCGAGGAAAAGATGCTGTCAAGGCATCTTCTGACGCCCTCGCCTTCTTGTGGACTCAATTTGGCCGACCCGCGGTAGACTTCAACGGCTACCAACGCTTGGTTTCGCAATCGGATGCGTCGCCGAAGATCCTCAAGAACCTCCCTGGTTACTCTTGGGACCATGACCGCGCGTTCTGGTACGAATCTCGCGCTTCCCGCGTCTTCCGCTCCCGGTCCGAACCTCTGCATATCCTCCTCGGATCTGAATGCTCGGAGAACGCCGGCGAGTACCGCTGGAAAAACAACATCCAGCCAAAGGAGATCCCTTGGCTATCTGGTCACCAGCTTCAAGGTTCGACGGTCTTCCCCGCTGCCGCTTACGTGTCAACTGCCATTGAGGCCACGAGAAAGATATGCAGGGGTCGCGAGTTGCAGCTCATTGAGCTAGAGGACATCAACATCGGCCGTGCTATAAGCTTCGAAGAAGGATCCGGTGCGGAGGTGATCTTCACTCTTCGCCTCGATCCTAATTGCAAGGTCACGGATGACACCATCTCGGCTGAATTTACCTATCATTCTGCGTCGAGCAGGGAAGCCGATATCCTGTCCCTCAATGCAAGCGGGAGACTGCTCGTCACCGTTGGCCCTCCTGTTGACGATATTCTGCCGTCTCGAGGATCACCGATGCCGAATCTGGTCTCCGTGGATGATACCCTCTTCTACAACTCCTTGACCGAACTCGGGTACGAGTACTCTGGCCCATTCCGAGCGGTCTCTGCCCTTCAGAGAGCCTCCGGATATGGCAGCGGCGTGATTTCAACATCCGCCGAGGACAACCAGAGCGGACTTCTTGTCCACCCTGCGACGCTGGACTGCGCATTCCAGTCTTCGTTCTTGGCTCTGTGCTGGCCTGGTGATGGAACCCTGCGGGAATTGCACGTACCCGTTAGCATTCGCCGGATTCGCGTTGTGCCCAACCACTGCCATGCATACGGGCAACAGAACAGTCGCTTGCCGTTTGAGTCGATCCTTGAGAAAAAGCGTACGACGGCTATCCATGGCGACGTCAACGTGTACGCAGAGGACGGACGCACCACCATTTTACAGATCGAGGGCATCAATGTCGTTCCCTTGACGGCAGGTGCACCACCTGAGGACCGACCCATCTTCTCCACCTGGACATGGAACGTATCTGCGCCAGATGGTGCTCTAGCCGTCAACGGAGACCGGGCTTCTGAGCGCGACTTGGAGCTGGCCTCCGTCGCAGAGCAAGCCTCGATCTTCTATCTCGTCAATTTGAAGAAGGTCATTACGCCAGAGGAGCTTGCCAAATCAGAGTGGCACCACAAGCGTCTATTCGAATTCGCCGACAATGTAATCAACGGCGTAAGGGACAGCACTCAGCCTTTCTCGGAGAGACACTGGCTCGACAATACCCGAGAGCAGGTGTACGACATGATGGCCAAATTCCCCGACAGCATCGAACTCAAGATGGTGCGGCAGGTCGGAGAGAACCTTCCGGCGGCTGTTCGTGGAGAAACGCAGATCCTCGAACACATGATGGTCGATGGTCTCTTGAACCGATTCTACGAACAAGCCATCGGCGTCGTGGAACATAGCCACTTCCTCTCGCACATGGTCGAGCAGATGGTGCACAAGAACCCACGCTTGAACATTCTCGAGATTGGTGCTGGCACTGGCGGTGCGACGAAGCGCATCTTCAATCGGATCGGGCACGCCTTCTCATCGTACACCTTCACCGATATCTCAACCGGCTTTTTCGAAAAGGCCCAGGAGGTGTTCCGTGAGTATGCTGGCAAGATGATCTTCAAATCGTTGGACTGCGAGCAAGACATCGAGAAACAGGGCTACGAAGACGGCAAATACGACCTCATTGTGGCTTCGCTGGTCATTCACGCCACCAAGGATCTGGACTACACGATGAGCAATGTCAGGCGTCTGCTCAAGCCTGGCGGCTACCTAGTGATCCTTGAGCTTACGGATGAGGGCCCGATGCGCTTTGGTTTCTTGATGGGTGGTCTTCCCGGTTGGTGGCTCGGCGGCCCTGATCGGAAATACTCGCCTTGCATGTCGCCTGCTCGCTGGCACACGCTCATGCAGAAGACTGGATTCTCCGGCATCGATACGATCACTCCAGAAGTCGACATCTTCCCCCGCCCCTGCTTCGTCATCGCGACTCAAGCGGTTGACGATAAGGTCAACACTCTTCGCGAGCCACTACAGGCTCCAGAGCCAGTAAACCCAATGAACGAACTCGTCATCGTTGGCGGAGCAAAGCTCAACAACATTCGTTTGGTCGACCAGCTCTCCAATCTTCTCAAGCCATGGGCCACGCGCATCACCCGCTTCGCCAAATACGAGGATGTGCGCAATGTGGCAGCATCTGGAGAGATCACTCTTCTGAGCGTCGCTGAGCTCGATGAGCCAATCTTCAAGGCTATGACACCTACGAAACTTCGTGGCATTCAGTCCCTCCTCTCCAAGGCCAAGACCATACAGTGGGTTACCAAGGGTGGCAAGAAGAGCGATCCGTTTGCCAACATGACGGCCGGCTTCTTGCGATCGCTTCAATTGGAAATGCCGCAGCTATCCCTTCAACTCCTTGATATAGATGAGGACGAACCCGTCCAGGCACGCACTGTCGCCGAGATCTTCCTCCGCCATCACGTTGCCGTCTCCTGGAGCCTCGGTGCGGAGAATCAAGAGATTCTCTGGTTGAACGAGCCTGAGCTGAGACTGGAAGACGGCCTGCTCCTGGTTCCTCGCTTGAAGCATCTACAGCCAGCCAACGACCGCTACAATTCGGCACGGCGCCCAATCACAAAGGAGGTTTCGGTCGGCGAGGAGAACATCGTTATCCAGCGGACCGACTCCGGTATCGCGCTTGTCGAGCAAGGAAAGGCCGCAGCTGGTGTACCTTCATCTGCCGTCGCAATTCGCGTTCAGCTGTCGGTGTCCACTGCCGTGCAGATTGGCAATTCTGGGTCGTACTACCTTGTACTTGGAAGGAATAGTGCGACCGGAGCCACCACGATTGCTCTGTCGTCTACGCTGAGCTCGTTGGTCGAAGTTCCGAGGAGCGTAGCCCATCCGATCACTGTCGCATCCGGCGAGGAGGCTTCCACCCTACAGCGAATTTTCAGCGAGTTGATTGCAAGCCGCATTGTGTCTTTGGGACTGCCAAGCGGGACGCTCCTCGTTCATGGGGCGGATGCAGACATCGTAGACACTGTGCAAGAACTCGCGACAGAGAGCGGTCTCAACGTTGCATTCTCGTCTGCTTCGGTCAAACCACTGGAAGCTCCATGGATCGCCATTCACCCGTTCGCGACGGAGAAAGCCATCAATGCTGCTCTTCCTAGCGACGTGAGATCATTCGTGGATCTCACTCGTGATGGAAACTCGCTATCGCAGCGCATCAAGGCCAGTCTACCGCTACAATGCCTGCAATACACCGCGTCGGCTCTCTATCTCGAAAGTGCCACCGGCTCGCAGTCGGAGCAAGAAACCGCCAAATCCGCCGAGGATCTTGCGAAGGCGATAGCGCGTGTGGAGGCTAAGACGAAGAAACTGGAGAATATATTCTCTACGGTTTCGCTTGACGGCGTCTCCAACATTTCTGCATCGCCAGCCTTGATCTCCTGGACAGCCGAGAGTTCTACCGTGCCGGTCAAGGTTTCTCCGATCGAAACCAAGATCAAGCTGAAGGGTGATAGGACATACGTGCTCTTCGGTCTCACCAGTGACCTTGGCCAGTCGCTCTGCCAATGGATGGTCGACCACGGTGCGCGCAACCTTGTAATGACCAGCCGAAATCCAAAGGTTGATCAAGCTTGGATTCAACGCATTGAAGCGCAAGGGGTGACCGTGGCAATCCGTGCAAACGACATCACCAGCCGCAACCAGCTTCAAACACTGATTCACGAGATCAACAGCACTCTTCCCCCGATCGCGGGTATCGTCCACGGAGCCATGGTTCTACAAGACGCTCTGGTTCTGGACATGGCTATCGACAACGTGCACAACGTCCTCCGACCCAAGGTCGATGGTGCGAGGTTCCTCAACGAGTTTCTCGCTGACACGCCGCTGGATTTCTTTATTATGACTTCCTCCATGGCCGCTGTGGGAGGCAACAAGGGACAGTCAATGTACGGAGCCGCGAACATGTGTCTCGCCGCCTTGGTCAATCAGCGCCGAAGCCAGGGCAAGCCAGCATCAGTCATTCATATGGGCCCCGTCATGGGTGCTGGTTGGGTGGCTCGAGAGGCCAGCCAGTCCATTCTCAAGGCTCTCCAGAACGCAGGATACAGGTGGCTATCGGAGCGCGACTTCCACCTCGCCATCGCTGAGGCCATCGTTGGTGGTGATCCAAACTCCAACAGCTGCGCCGAGTTCGTGCTGGGAGTGCGCGAGAAGAGCGTCGACACTGGCGAGGCCAAATGGTACGACGATCCCAAGTTCCAACACTGTGTCATTGAGAAGGAAGGAGGAGAAGTGAAGAATGAGTCCGGTGCCACGGCTTCGAGCAAGGCTCGTCTTGCTACGGCGACCACGAGCGAGCAAGTTCGCGAGATTATCGAAGACGCTTTCATCAACAAGCTCCAAGTTTCTCTGCAGACAACTTTCAACGACGAGGAAAGAGTCGCGGTCGCTGATCGGGGTGCCGATGAGTTGGGTATCGACTCTCTCATCGCAGTGGAAATTCGTTCTTGGTTCATCAGCGAGCTCAAGGTCGACATGCCGGTATTGAAGATTCTGGGCGGCACAGCTGTGAAGGATCTGCTCGCCTTCGCTGTGGACAATCTCCCCGCCGATCTGACCCCGAATCTCAATGTCCTAGATGACGTGCCTGTCGAGACACTGAAGAAGACTTCAACATCTTCGAGTTCGGCTGTATCAGAGTCGTCCTTCCCGTCCGGAGTCGCATCCAGTGACCAACCCGTCCGTTCGGGAGAAGCGACGCCGCTATCCTCGGCCCTAGATACGCCAGCGGAGGAAAAGGAAGAGCCAAAAGTGGCTGAGAAGCTGGAGATAGTCAAGACGGAAATCATGTCTCTCGGTCAGTTACGCTTCTGGTCCTTGATGGCGATGCTGGACGATCCGACAACACTCAATATCGTCTGCGCCGCACGCTTCACGGGCCCTCTTCGTGTGAACGATCTTGCTAACGCTGTCAAGATCGTCGCGCATAGACATGAGGCACTGCGAACGTGCTTCTTTGTCGACGAAGAACACCGACCGACCCAGGGTGTACTACCCACTTCTTTCATCTCTCTTCTCAGAAAAACAATCTCCTCTGAACAAGACGTTAGCCGGGAATTCGAAGACCTCAAGAGCCATGCTTTCGACTTAGAACGCGGGGAAACAATGAAGGTGCTGTTACTCACGCTTTCTGAGACCCAACATTTCCTTCTTATTGGATACCATCATATCATTATGGATGGTGTCAGCCTCGAAATTTTCCTATCCGATTTGGTCAAGGCGTATAATGGACATCTGCTTTCTTCTTCCATAATTCAGCCTACCGATTTCGCCGCCCGAGAGCGCGACGAGCTTCCCGCCATAACTTCCTCACCTGAATTGAAGTTCTGGAAAAAAGAGTTCGCCAATCTTCCAAAACCGCTACCCCTCTTTCCTTTCGCTCAACATCCTCGCCTGAACCTGACTCACTACGACTTTGAGTCCGTCGACGAGAAGATCCCATCAACCCTGTCCAGCCGGGTTAAGGAGGTTTGCAAGAAGAACAAGATTACGCCGTTCCACTTCTACCTGGCGGCCTTTAAGACGATGCTTTTCCATTTCCTCAACATCGACGATTTATGCATCGGCATTTCAGACGCAAATAGGCTTGACAGCGCGACAATAGCCAGCATTGGCGTGTTCCTTAATTTGCTTCCTCTTCGCTTTCGCCAGGTTCCCAGCCAGACAATCACTTCAGCGCTGAGGGAAGCAAAGTTGAAGGCTTATTCGGCCCTAGCGAGCTCCAAAGTTCCATTTGACCTCTTGCTGAAGGAGCTCGATCCCCCGCGCTCGGCTACGCACACTCCTCTCTTCCAATGTTTCATGAACTACCGCCAGGGTGTGCAAGAGAAGCGCAAGTTTGGTGACTGTGTCGCCGAGATGACGGATTTCCAAATCAGCAGGAGCGGATACGATGTAACCCTTGATATCATCGACAACCCTGGCGGTGAAGCAACCATCACCTTCATGGTGCAGAAAGGACTTTACACCATGGAGGATGCTTTGAAGGTCATGCGGACCTATCTGCGATACGTTCAGGAATTCGCCGCAGGTTCGGTGAAGACAGTGGACCAGATACCGTTGCATAGCGAGGAAGAGATTAGCAAGGCCATTGCGCTGGGTCAAGGTAAGGTCATCCCATCTCACTGAAGGGTCATTCTGAGAGAAGACCCCAGGTCCAATGCAGGAGCCAAATTGGCCCCAGACCCTTGTCCATCGCGTGGACGATATGATCGCGCAGTACCCTTCGAGGCTCTCCCTCAAGGACACCCTTGGTAATAGCCTTTCGTACCAAAAGATGGGCGAGAGAATCCGTCAGATGGCAGCTGCGCTTCAGGTCCAGGGGATTGGAGACAATGACATTGTAGGAGTCTTCCAGGAGCCTACTGTGGATTGGGTGTGCTCCCTGCTCGCCATCATGCGTGTCGGTGCCACTTATGTTCCAATGGATATAAAGTCTGGACTGCCACGGTTGGTGGCAATTGTCCAACATTGCAAGCCCGCTGCGGTAATGGTTCATGGGCGTACCGCCAAGGATGCTGCAACGCTTGAAAAGGCCGGCACGAGAATCATTGATATTTCGGACCTGGACGGGACAAAACAAGAAGTCATTGCGAAGCACGCTCGCCCAGATGGACCCGCACTCATTGTGTACACCAGTGGATCTACGGGCACGCCCAAAGGGATTGTCCTCACCCATGCCAATCTTTGCCGCAAGATGGAGGACACCATCAACGTCTTCGGTTTCCGCGCGGAGAACGTGCTCCAGCAATCACCACTCACGTGGGATGCGTCGATTTGGGAAGTCTTCATGGCCATCGCGAATGGTGGCACCCTGATCATTGCCGATCATTCTCTTCGTGCCGACGCGCTCGGGCTCACGGAGCTAATTGAGCGGGAGAATATCACCTTCACTTTCGCAACCCCGGCAGAGTACAGTGCCTGGTTGACCCACGGCAACCGCGAAGCCCTCAAGGGGAGCATGTGGAGGAAGGCCATTTGTGGAGGTGACAAGATGACATCCAACGTGGTCGAGCAATTCGAGCTGTTAAGGAAGCGGAGCCTGACGTTGTTCAACGCATATGGGCCAGCCGAAGTGACACTCTTTTCGAATGCCATAGCAATTCCACTTGGAGTCGATACGACGCACGGCACGTTTCCCGCTGGATTCACAACACCGAGCAACATCATCTACATTCTTGACGACAACCTGCGGCCACTCCCATTAGGATATACCGGCCAAATCGCGATTGGAGGATTCGGGTTAGCGACGAAATACCTCCGAGATGATGACTTGTCCAGCAAGAAATTCGTCCCGTGTCCATTCGCGCCTGCAGCGCATATGTCTCAGGGCTGGAGTCGAATGCATGTTACCGGCGACAAGGGGCGTCTTCGCGAGGATGGTGCGCTTTTCATTGAAGGACGTATGGACGGCGACACGCAGCTCAAGTTGAGAGGCATGCGCATTGACCTTCAAGACATCGAGTCCACGATCCTTTCAGAGGCTCGAGGAGCCCTTTCTGATGCCGTTGTCTCTGTAAGGGACGCACAAATCCTTGTGGGTCATGTTGTATTCTCTCAAGAATTCCCAGTCGCTGGCCGCGACGAGTTCCTGGACCGACTCTTGACCAGGCTCCCACTCCCGCAGTACATGTGCCCCTCCAAGCTCTTTGAGCTGGATGAATTCCCCTTGACAGCCCACGCCAAAGTCGATAGACAAGCCATCAACGCCCTTCCTCTTCCTGTTTCGAACAACACCCGGCGGACCGAAAATCTCATGGAAACCGAGCAACGTCTCTTGCAACTCTGGCAAGAAACCATTTCAGCAGATATAACGACTCTGCACGAGATCGGACCCGACTCGGACTTCTTCCGTGTAGGGGGAAACTCGATACTCCTCGTCAGTTTGCAAGCCATAATCCGCCGAGACTTTGATACCGTCCTTCCCTTGGCTCAGTTGTTCGAGTGTAGCACCCTGGGTTCCATGGCAGCGAAAATTGACTCCAGCAGGCCAGTTGAGGCCATCAACTGGGAAGCGGAAACCGCACTTGAACCTGGCCTCATTACCGGTCCCAGAAAGGCGAGCAAGAAGGGTAGTAAAGAGGTTCTTCTGACAGGTGCAACCGGTCACCTTGGTCGGTCCATCCTCCGTCAACTCGTCAATGACCCAGCCGTCTCCAGAGTTCACTGCGTTGCCGTTCGTCTAGGAGCTGATGGCAAAGAGCGTTCCTTGCCTGTTCAGTCTGACAAGATCAAGGTGTACCCGGGAAATCTATCGGAACCCGGCGTCGGCATCCTAGAAGGTGACCTTCGGAACCTGGCAGAAAAGGTCGACGTCATCATCCACAGCGCTGCTCAGAGGAGTTTCTGGGACTACTACCAACTCCTTCGCCAGCCAAATTTTGGAAGCGTCAAGGAACTGGTCAAATTCGCCGTCCGGACTATGATCCCTATTCATTTCATCTCCTCCGGTGCGGTTCTTGACCTTCCGGCGCAACCCCCGACGGACGGCAGCGATGGATACGTCGCTTCTAAATGGGCCGCTGAGCGCTATCTCCACCACGCTGCACATAAACTGGATCTACCAGTGGTTATCCATCGGACCGTGTCATCATCGACCACGGGAGCGCCCGTGGATGACGCTTTGCAGGAGTTTGCAGCCTTCGTCGAGAAGATGCAAGTTTATCCTGTCGCGGACGGCTGGAACGGCGAGTTCGATCTTGTTCCGATGGAGGATGTCGCCTCTGGCATTGCTGCGACTGCTGTCGAGCATCCCATGGACCAGCACTTGAGGATAAAGACTTATGAGGCCGACATTAAGCTATCTGGAGAGCGGGTTGCCGCTTACCTCCAGGAGACGGTAAATTTGGACGGTATGAAAGGAATATCGGCGCTTGAATGGGTTGGAAAGGCGAAGAAAGAGGGATGGAGGTTTCTGTTTGCCAGTCAGAGCATGACGTTGGAGAGTGGTGAGGTATCGAGGAGATAAGACCGAACGGCCGAAAGACATAAGGGACTTTCTTTTGTTGGCTGGCGTTGGGCCGTCTGCGTGGTAAAATGTATAAGGCTTTTCGCTCTGGTTTTCAGATTGTCATTGTGCACCGTGGGAAAATAGACTTGCTATAGATAACTGATTGTATGAATTCCTATCTCTTAAGTGTAGAACGATCAACCTGTTATAAGAACGCTGAGAAGTTTTGCTAGGTAGCAAGCGTGGAGCCCGCTCATGTGTGGAGAAAAGAAGGTAGAACAGGCGGAGGGGAAGAGGTCCCAAGACAGATCCAAGGTGGTGAGGCGGAGTCGGCAGAACTATCTCCCGGATTACGTGATCTGTTTTCTATTTCCGCCCTAAATCTATTCCAAGCACTCTAGGGTAACCAAGAATAATGAAGCATGGACATCATGCCTCAATCAAAACTTTTGCATAGAGGTCCAAATTGTGGCATAAACAGGCGGCGTATCTACAGTAGTGCTCGTGAAGGAAGCCATAACTTCCTCTCGTGCCTAGAGGAGGCGATGCCAACATGAGTTTACAACTTCAACAATACCCGGTAGCATTACCTAATATAAACAGAAGACCGCCTGTTGCACATAAGCCCCCTGAGTTGACGAACGACAATGTTCGTCCCTTCGTCGGAGGAAAAAGATTCTCGTCTTTCTCATGAACCACTTTGATCTTCCCGTGACAGCATTTCCGTTGAGACCCAAAACAAGCGCGAAAGCTTAAGTTTACAAAGTTATACAACTATTAAAGGATTCATTATCACACAAGAAGAGACAACAGTGGTACGCAGTGCAAGACGTAGGGCTTAGTTTCGATTTGAATTTTGGCCGGATATATACCTGCTGATCTATAGTCCACAGGTATTTCGAGTTTAAAAACAACCATACAAACGAAATCTACCACATACGACCACAGCAACCAGAGAATTGAGCCTCTCGTCCGATCGACTATACACAAGCTGGTTAGCGCCCGTCTAGTAGTACCGTGGGAGACCAGGTGCGAATCGCGTGGTGTTGTATGTTTTTCTTTTTTAGCCTTCGATTTTTTCGTGGTCGTCCGCCGTAGTATCGCCGACACAGCAAGCCCACCCTATGGCGCCTATTACTCAATGGCGGCCTCGTCCTCCTCGTCCCCTTCGTCCTTCGAATAAAGCTCCTCGTCCTCCTCGTTATTCAACTGAAGCTCCTTGTCCTCCTTGTCCTCCTTGTCCTCCTTGTCATTTAAATAAAGCTCCTCGTCTTCCTCGTCAATCAAACAGGGCTCCTCTTGACGGGGACCTTGCTCATTCAGAGCGGCGACGCTACTGCATTTCCGCTGATGTTCTTCGAGCTCCTCCAGAGTTGCAAATGCTCTCGTCTCCTTTATCTTCCAGGATCTCTTGGTGCCAAAACATGGCCGCCACCTGAATGGTTTCGCGTGGGACTGCTCAAAATGTCGTTTGAGGGCGCCCTTACGCCCGTAGCGCCGCAGGCATAGCGCACAAGCGTACTTGTGGAAGTAGCGGTACTTATAGGCGACAAAACCTTGGATATTGCGATATGGGGTGTCGTTCCTCTCTTTGCCGGTCCCGAACTTGTTCTCCGAGATCGTCGCCCATTGTTTGCATAACAGTTGGGCGTCACCGCGCCCGGCCGCAATGTCGTTCAGGGAGACCGTGCAATATAACATAAGAGTCTTCTCTGAAGACTCAAAGGGCGCGAGATAGTCCTGGGTAATGTTATGCGTGCAGCATGGGCCAATGCTGATGGCGATATCCATGGACAATCGTGGGTGATCCTGCTTCAAGCCTCGAAGGCTCGCGACGTTGGCTGTGAAGCCGTCCATTCCAACAACATCGTCACCTTTCGCCCTTCCCGCTCAAGCCGTGACAGCAAACTTATCAGGACCTGGCAGGTCCCTGGCACAGTTCCTGTGCGCCAGGCTGCTGGCCAGAGTCGCAATAACGAGCTCACCTAGGGACCCGGGTAAATGCGATGGGTTTCCACAGGTTTTCCAAAACCATAATCAGCCATGAAGCTAGCTTCACACATCATGGCGTTCTCCAACAGCCCCTCTTCGCCGCCTTTGTACTCTTTATCCCCAAAGCTCCTGACGTATTTATTCGGGCAGTAACCCGACGAGCGCCACACGACAACCAGACAATCGAGGGGTGGTTCCTTCTGTTTTGTATCAATGGACCCAGCACGCAAGAGCTGGGCTCTCTCGAATGGTTCAGCGTCCAGCTTGTGCCATTGGCTTTCAATCGCTTCCACGCGATAAGCTGTGTACGCTCTAGGCGTTTGGCGTTCGCTGCGCGCCACTGATTCTGCGATGGAAAAGCTCGATAATTCCTCCGTTGAGGATTTGGAGTGATCCTGGAGGCTGATGCTGGGTCCTCTCGAGATTGTAGGAGATGCTGACTGTCCGAAACGTTGTTACGCATAGTAATAATAGGAAGAAGTAATAAGGTAGAGATAGTAGAGAAGACGCAGCATGTAGTGGTGGGAAGCAGGTAGAGGTGAAGGGAGAGGTGAGGGAAGAGGAAGTGAAAGAGGGGGAGGTGAAGGAGGGTGGAGGTAAAGGAGGACGAGGAGGTGCTCGAAAGATCTAGAGTCGTCAGCTACCTTGTATCTCAATCTGTTCTGATATTACTTAACTTTACCATGTCTGGTTTATGTAGATGCAAAGCTGCCTGGATTGCAGCCTAGACAATAAGCTTCGTCTCCCATACGGAAAATAAGTCTACATTGAGTTGGCAGTTGGGGCATTACCGCATAGGAAGTGTTCCAAGAAACGCTTGATTAGTGCAGCAATCTAGTATGACTGATGGAACAGTGCTCATTGCACACACGAGAACCGGCGTGAACTGACCCAAAGTGGAGAGTGTGCTGGCATGCAGCTGCTTATTTGACCAGGGAAAAGCTCTCTCAGGAGCAACCCAGTTACCGCCTCTTTCTCGAGATTGACAATTGCACGGAAACCCAAATTTGCCGTCCCGTACACGTTGTGTCGCTGTTAAACAACACCATCATAATATAGCAGCGTCTTCTCTTACCCCTAATACCCTGTAGACGTCAAATTCGTCTCAAAATGTGCGGCGTGCAGTATTTGTTTACTTACCTGGTGGCCTGCGGGCAGGCACGCTACCTAGGTATGTCGTTGCCGCTGCCTCTCTAAACATGGCCACATATCCTCTCTCACTCACTCACATCGCCTCCCGTCCCCCAACTTCACTGTTATGTGCGAGACCTACTCTCGGTACTCTTCCTCGTTTCTACTTAAAATCTTGCACTTGCATCCTCCCCAGCCTCCCGGTTTTGAATACGCGGCCGACTCAGGTCGATTCTAACTCCGTTGACAAATCTCCCAAGAGAAAGGAAGCGCTTGCACATATGCAGTGCAGCGAGCCAGCGGCATCGCGGCATCACGGTGCTCCGCACAGAAGAGAAGGTAATGACCGTCAGGGTCATGTCTTGTATTCACACCGAGATGATCACCCTCCTCGAAGGGGATCAACCTTTCGACATCAACCGGTGAGCCGGAGCGTATCTGCATGTGCTCGCCACAAAGAGCGGCCCAAGTTTTATGTTGGTCAAACATGGAACCTGAAGAACAGGCCAGGTCTCTGGAGAGACAGTCTCCACCACAACACGTTGCGAAAGTGTAGTTCTGAAAATGGCAAAGACTTCTTCATCATCATTGCAGAATTCGAACTTCCCGAAGTGCCGACGCCCAACACTGGTTTGGATCTGAATATTCTCGAGATGTTCGGTTCAATCTACTTCCAGGCATGCGAGTCCAGTATCCTACCACCATAGATCCCGCAAGACATGGTTGTGTCGGACCGTTACCAGTTGAACACGTACTCGCCGCTCGCCCAAGGCCGTGGGGACGCGGAGAAGGAGTGGGCGTTTCTGAAAACAACAACGGATCCGCAGCTACAGGAATATCGAGAGACTCGGTCCCAGATTTATCGAGACAATATCAGCAAAGTGAAAAACCTGCAGAGCGATACGGCAAGGGCGAATGCTCTAGCGGGTGGGAAGGTGGAGCTGAGCGTATATGAGCGAGAAAAAAGAAAGAAAGGCAACCCAAGGAAAATGATCATGCTCAGATACAACATGATCCCAATTCCATTCACCACGGACATTGTTCCAGAAACGGCGCGCGTCATATACGACTTCGTTGACGCTCCTGGACCACACCCGCATCGTCTCCGAAAGATCCGCGTCCCGATGACGACGCGTACTTGCTGGGAGTCAAGCTCACTGGAAAGAACTCGAAAGGCCAAGACGTTGAGCTGCGGGTCTCGAGCGGCGGCGATGCCCGCGCTCAGAGAGTGAACTCGCTGATTGACTGGTTGAGAGGAGTTCCCAAGGAAGAAAGTGAGCAGAAGCCGAGGAGGTATATCAATGAAAGGCATGCCGGGCACCCCAAAGCTTACGTACCTATACGAAAAGCTGTCGCATATTTACTCAGATGAGATCGATGAACATCAATGGCACAGGCTGTGCGGCATTCATCTCGCCGCTTCAATGAATACTTAGCTATGAACATATCTTATCGGGAGGTGGACGAGTTGTTCTTGAGGTGGAATTCCATTTTCCGGAGTGGTGCTGGCGAGACACAGATGCATGTGCTTATGAGGGGGCTTTCTACTGAGTAAAGCATAATACATTCCATTCGCGTATGGTTACAATTAGTCCACCGCATTCCGCCCCTAGTGACAGTGCACTTGATTGCAATATGCCGATCAAGAATCCACAAAAGAAGATCGCAAGCATCCCTTCGCAGAATGCTCCTTTGCCTGTTCGGCCAACTTCCTCATTCGATCGCGAAAGATACCAAACGCCCCTCGGGCAATTTCGTCTTCCGTGTAGTCCTCCCCATTGTCATTAGCCTCTCCGTACGCTTCATATAGCCCTCGATAAGCGGCGAACATGGTGTTGGCCTTGAGGAGCATAGCCCACTCTTGCACCTCCTGATAGGTATTCAGGGTACACAGGCGTGAGATCTGGACTGGGTCGCTCTGGCCAATTCGCACGACACGCGAAGCTGCTTGGTGTTCAGTTGCGAGGTTGCAAGCCGGCTCCGAGTTTCGCGTGTTTGGCAGTTAATTTAGGCTTCTTCTTGCACCTCCTATTCGTGAGACCCCTCTTCTTCAGGCTCCTGTATAATGTGGAGTGGGAGGGAGGGGTCCTGCTTTCACCCAACCCAACCTCTTCCGCCACCGTCTTATATTCAATCTTTGGTTCTTTTCTTACAGCGCGAAGCAAACGTCTTTCCTCATGTTCTGTAAGCGATTTTGGCCTTCCAGATCGTGGTAGGGACTCCAGGGTGTGGTGTTCTTTCCATCTCCGTAGGGTGCCTCTTACGGCTGTTCTTGAGCAGTGGAACTCCGCCATAAGTTCAGGTATAGTAGCACCACCCTCCCGCCTTGAAATAAGGGCAGCGCGTTGGGAAATAGTCAATTCTTGTCCGCGCATTCGATTCATGGAGAGCTCTTGTCCAAAAGATCGCGCCATGGTGAATTGGTGTTATGTAGGAGTGGGTGCGCGTTCACGCGTCGCGTAGTTTCGCGTGGGTGGACCGTGCGGGGGTCTCAGACTCTTGACCTAGTACTGGTATTAGACGCGACAGCAGCGCTTCTGCATGTCATGACCGGCGATATTGAGAGAGTAGGTTGCAATCTATTCATCCGTAAAGGTCAGATACAGTTTCAAGTATTTGCTCTGTGGAAGTACGAGAATCTTGGGGTCTACCTCGTTGAATTTCTTGATGTAGTTGTATCTGGTCTCGGCATTGTGTATCTGTGCATCCAAAAGAACCGTTGAGATACCCAGGAATTCGCACATCTATCTCTGATTAGTATTATGTCGCAGGTGAGAAGCGTCCGTGATGGGATGCGTTACCTTCCAGAAAACGTAAGCGGATCTCGGCCATTGGAATGTGACGAACATTTTTATTTTTCCGCTTATTGGCTGGTTCAGATGGTTCAATGTTGACCTTGTGGATTTCATTCAACATCCACTTCATCTTGGGACTACCCCAAAGGAAGCTCTTCGGGGGTGTCAAGTGGGATATTGGCATCGGCCCGGTTCAGCGCTGCCTGCGCTTTCATTCTCTCGACTACCTTCGTGAAAGGCTCCTCCCAGCGCTCCGGCCTCCTCAGCGCCGTGGTGCTGACATTGTGGAACGCCGCCAGGCCAAGGTGCGAGCTCAGACATGACAACTTGGCAAATTTGGAGCCAAACTTCTGTCCGCTCCTGACGGCCTTCTCGATCTCCTCAAGGTCAACGTTCTCCAGGTCCATAATGAGGCGGCGGGCCAGCGTATTCTCCAATTGAGTGTGCCGGGCTTGCTCTTCTTCGGGGAATCTCAATTTCTGCGTATATATAGCCGGGGAAGGAATATCTTTGCCGATTATATGGTCCTCACCTCGGAACCAGATTTTGCTGGTCATGTTGCGCGAGATCACGGTGGTGGAGAGGATGATTTTGGGCCTGTGGGCCACATTGTCTTGATCGATGGAATCTCCACCAGCTCTGGTATGTGGTCGGATGTAGTATTCCCAGGCCCTTGTGGTGAAGCACCGTCTGTGGTTGCGATTCTCGACGTGGAACGTGTCGAATGGATTGACATCCTTGGGCGGGAGGACTATGATGCTCTGCTTCCCTTTCTTCTTGTTCTTGCGCTTAATACTTGGGGGGCGGTTTCTGTTGTAGCGCATCATTGCGGGCCAATGCGAGCACTTCCAACCCGAATCGACCATCTCCTCGATTCCCCATTGGCCTTTTCCTTGGATGGATTCACAGTCGCTGTCGTAATGTGCCAGAGGCCTACAAAATCGTTCAGCGTATTGACCACCGGTGATGCCGTGTATATAAGGCGCGACTTTGCCTCGAAGGACTTCAGGATTTTGCCTTGTTTCGTCTCGTCCAACCGGCGAATGGCGTGTCCCACGGGGTCCTTCGTCGAGAATGATGCGCCAAAACAATCCTTTTCGATAGGCGGCATCCGCCTCGTTGAGTCCCTGGATCTGGTTGTAAGACGTCACAACCACGAGCATTTTGAACTGGGGCGGAAGACGGGAAGTCGATTGTCAAGGAGAAGCTTCTGGCCGTTCACCACATCATTGTGGGGGTACACACGGTATCCCGTGCCCAGTGAGTCCCGGACCTCATCGAAAATCTTCTCCAGAATGGACTTCGTGCACACTATCAAGGTAGATGGAGTGATCTTTTTCTTTGGGATGGGTAGGTTGGTGGTTGGGAGGGCGGGAGTGAGGAGGAGAGGGGGTGTGTTTCAGTCCTTGCGCTGTGTACTGCTCCTTTTCACATCCGACTGAACTGAACAGACAGGGGGTCGCAGGGCTATATCTGACGCTGTAATTGGCGTGACCGCGCCTCCTTCCAGGTATAATCACCCTAGCCTTGAAACACCGTGCTCTAGTAGCGTGAACCAGACTGTAGCCAATCGAAATACTTGAGTTAGGTGCTCTAACTCAGAGCAGCAGTACAAGGGGGTGTTCAGTCGGATGTGAGAGGGCGCAGTAAAGATAACCTAGGGTAGATCAACAGCTGCTGCAGCGCAATATATAAATGCGTCTTCCCGGGTGGACCACACCCATAGGTAGTCGATGCCATCCCCATAAGCCTGAGGGAGAGCGCCAACTAGCTGAATCTTAGAGTCTCAAGACGCTCGTAAGGACAAGCATACACCGCCGTGTTTCTAGTTTTTTATATAGAAACTTTGCATAAGTTTTGCAAATTTATGTTGTGCGTATTTTGGGTTATTGGATAGTCTGTAGCTTCTCCGAAAAGCTTTCTGCAACATGCCCTTACAAACTGCCCTTAAACCGCTGTTTGCGTACGTAGTTATTAGGTGGCTCTTGCAGGCTTATGAGGGTGGCACCGATTACTTATACACAGTAGGACGGGGCCCTAACGCGTGCCTCTTTCCCGTGCCACATCCATCCACATCCATTCACGTGTTCCAAGGTTGGAAACTGCTGCTCACGCCTGCCCGCTGTGGCTGCCCAGGTGCCAGACATACGATTGCACTTGCCACTCGTATGAGCCACGTTGGTTTACGGCATGTTGTAGAGGCAAGCTGGTTGCCCGAATCCCCAACATAATCGGACGTTTCCTCCACAGGTTCAACACATCAGCTTTCCACCTCATTTGCCTTCCTATACCACGCAGGCCACAGCGCCGTCTCCATGTAGACGCTCCTATGAAGCCCACACACGCGATGTAACTTGTGACAATTGCCGGGCATGACGGGTTGAGATTCTCAGAACCTTCTGTAACCTCCATGAAAAGCATGCTGATAGTTGGATGATCTCCTCTGAGCATCATTTAGTAGTACACCGAGCGAGGTATAAAAATCGTCGAAGCCAGGTTCTGTGTTGTTCCGCCATTCTTGCATGAACATGTAGCTTGGCGTGACCCCCTGTTCGAATGTGGAGGAAGACTGGCCCAATATATGCGCTGAATAGGCTCCTCAAAGCCGTTGATTCATTTAAAATTGAGTTCTGCGGGAGAGACCGTCTCTGCCCAGGGTGGTTGTGGAATGCGGTTGAGGATCACTTAGATCCAACGAACATCTTTCAATGCTCCACCTACTTGATCAACTTTGACCGCTCCAAATTGTTCTTCACGGCAGAATATTGCAACATCGTCAAGGCCTTCTACGCCTTTGCCAACTGGAAGTTTTCGATCGTGTAAGAAGGTTCAGATCTACAGGTAGTCGGTAACAATCGCCTCCTACAAGAAATTACTTGCACGGCAGCCCAGCTTCAGTGAAGTAGTAAATCAGGACTTCGCATTTTAAGTGTGCCAATCAGTAACTGGGTGAACGCGGAGGCTGCACAGTAACTAGGAATCCCGAGCCCAACGTAGCTCAACGCCCTTACGTTCATACCAATAAGGCAATCATGACGAGACCAAGCAGAGTTTTCAAGCGTCCACTTGATCTTGCTCCACTATTCGCATGATCTCCCGTTCCGCTTTGGTCGCCATCTCTCCAATCCTACTGAATCTGTGTTGAATTCTGGCAACCTCGAACTTCACCTCTCTCTTTTCGTGCTCCACCTTGGCTCCTATTTCAGCGATCTTATAGAATTTGTCCTGTGTCTTCCCTAACTCCGGCTTCGTTTCTTTCTTGTCCCTCTCTACTTTAGCAGTCATCTCTCCAATCTTATTGAGTCTCTCCTGGATCCTGACAACCTCCAGATCTGCCTCTTTCGTTTCCCACTTTATCTCCCAGATGGCGTTTTTGAGCTCCTCGAGTATGGCTCGCCGGTCTTGCTTCGGTGTTGGGTGTGCAGTCAGCTGCTTCCGTGGTTCCGTGGAGACGATAGATGCGTCCGTCTTGGGCTTCTTCCCTTTCAGGATGGTGGACATGTCCTGCTCAGGTACCTTTTCTTTTCGCGGCAGTTGTACCTTGCAGGCTTGGGCTAGCATTGTCCTTCTCATCTTCATCGATGGCTTTGCCCATAACATCGGCTTCCCAATCCTTCCACAGCAATCTATAATATTTTTTACTTGCGAACTTCACGCCGGGATATTCTGGCCGTTGATCTTCATAATGAGGGGGATAACTGAACTCGTCTGGTCCTGGCGAATTGTTGTCATCGTAACTACCTCCACCGTTTTTTGACCTTTCGTCATGGTCGTATCCTGCACCGATGGGTTTAACGGATGGGAGGTTGTGTGAAATGAGGTGCCCTTCGGGCATGAAGGGGCATGGGACAGCTTATATATCGAAGGTCAGATCTCAGAGGGCTTGGAGGGCGGTGAACTATCGTACTTACCGCTTAGTCCCGGGATTCTCACTTCTCGTCTGCCTTACTGGCGGAACTGTCGACACTACTTTACCTTGTCGGTGCATAGGTGCTGTTACGGCGAGGATGCAAGTGAAAGAGCGGCGTGGGAAGTAAGTGAAATAGGTACAGCCCGAGAGAGCGAGGAAACGCGGATAACTCGAAACACACTACCGATGAGGGGCGTTTAAGAGGACCTACCCTAGGCCTAGCTAGTGAGTAAAGTGCAACTGTTAGCTGCGATGTCTATAGTCTTCCAACTACCATTGCCCTGTCACCCAGTTACGAGCGTATAATAGGTCAGAATTCATGCAACAAAACGGTAGGAAACAAGCAACAGCACTCTGCAGTAACGATCCAGTTTTCCAATGTTCTATAACTCAGTAGTCTCCAGGAATTGAAACCAAGTTAGTAATTATAGAAGGAGCATATCTATGTACTCTTCCAAGAAGCTGGGATCAACTGCAATATGCTTTCACCAATTCCATAGTTCGAAGGCTAACTGTGCTCGTTGATTTATAAGCTACATAGGAGTCTAACTATTTGCAATGCCTATGCCAGACTCTGCGACGCCGTACTTAAAATCATATACATATCTAAAATTTTAGGAAGTAGAAGCAGATATTCCACGGAGATGGCATCTACACATCTCAAAAACAGGTAGCCAAGAGGGACCTGTCCCGAGACACCGCGGGTGAGTAAACCCACTCACACGGACAACATCCATCAACCTGAAGGAACAGGCGGCTAGAAGTAGGTGTAGTATTCTCGTTCTTCAATAGCGCTTTATTGCTCACCTCTAAACTAGTTGCCAACTAATTTAGACTTACCTCAAGTTTCGCGAGTCATTGGCTCCATTACAGCAATCCAGGTAAACGTTAGAGAGGCGGTAAGTATCATGAACTCCTCTCAACCGACGTTCAAAGACGCACTCTACCGTAGCGCGCCAAGTAGTTTAACAAACATAACACGTACAGGTTTCTGCACGCGCGCGATCTAGGGCTGTGCGCGTAGGGCTGAAGATTACTCTCTGCCCCTATGCTAAAAACGGCAAAATGATCGACGGGCCCGCCAAGAGGACCTGTCCCCTGACACTCCGGAAACTACCCTAGGCTCCCTCCACCTCGCACCCTTCATTCCTCCAAGAACTCGCCTCCATACACAGCCGCACGAAAACCCAACATGGACAGCCCCAGGCAAGAACAATCTTCCGTGAATGAACTCGAGTATGCAGATATACTTGCACGCGTGATGATGCGGAACCGGACTGCGGAGAGAATCTACAATACCCACGTGAACAAGGCCAAGGAAGCACACAACCAGCCAGAAACTGCAATCGTCAGAAAGGAGCAAGAGCAAGACCGCGAAAAAAGCACCACTCAAGAAGCAGAACATCCCAAGCGTCCCGAACACTGCATCCCAACCACTTCTACTCCAACAACACACCCTCAGCTTCAACCCGCTACGCACACCAAACAATCTCCATCGCAAAAGCGAAAATCCGAGAACGACAGCCCCTTAAAACCCGAGGCAAATAAAAAGGCCAGAACAAATGCGAGCACGGGTGCTCCGAAGCAAGCATCCTCACTCACCCACGGCGAAGTCGCAACCCAATACCACCACGACCGCATATACGCTAAATACGTGCCCCTTGACCAATTCCTATCAACCCTACCAGCCCACTTCTGGACATCCGAGGATCCTCAGGCTTTCTCCCGTGCAGAATTCGATCGCTGCATGACAAAGCCAACCTTGGAAAAGCAGCTTCACGCCTCCACGGAAACGGGCCCGGGCCGCGGCGGCGAGAGCAGTACCAAGTCCACTGCGCAGTCCTCTTCCAGAAGCAAGGAGACTTTGCCTAGCCAGAGCAGTACTGTCGAAGATCCGCGGATGGGGACACTGTCGGATGCTGTTATTGATGCGCGGGCGGTGCTGCAGCACATGCGTGACAGTGTGATAGAGTTGCGAGGGAAGGCGGCGGAGTTCCAACAACAGGCGGAGAGGTTGGAAAGGGATATAGTGAAGATGGAGCGGAAGATGGGGGAGATCGAGGAAGGGGCTGGGTTGCCTGGCTTAGCGTGGGAGGAGTGAAGGAGCATAGATTGAAGAAGTCATGATTCCCGCCCTACGCTGAAGAATCTCGGATGGGGGTCGATGATGAGGGAGCTACGGTCCGATTGGCATACTGAGCATCTCTATAAATATATCAGTAGAGAAAACGGATTTAAATGCTTGAAGGTATGCTGTACGTCTGTCCTTGGTGACAACGCCTGAACCGTGAATCTAGTTAAATGAGTTTATTAGCTGAGCTATGTAGCAAAGCAAAATCCGCCTCCAACACCTACGCACGTATGTTGCTCGAAAGATATTGAAGATACACAAGAAAAATCAGGCAATGAAACGCCTCCCATCCTGACCCATCCGAACGTCTATATCACCACCACCGTAAACTCCACTGCTCTCACTCGACCAAGCACCACCCTCATCCGCACACACACCCTTCACTCTCCCCCTACGTGCTAGCCACCACCTGCCCTACCCGCTTATGCGTCCCATGAAACGTGAACGCCACAGGCCCATCCAGCTCCGCCCTTCCCTTCTCACTCAAATCCCTCGCATCCAAACACAAGAGATAGCTCTTCCCCCTTATACCATCCAGCACCACGCTCAACAAAACACCGTCATCCTCTGCCGTACCCTGCGGATCAGCAATAAAGATCGGCTCACCCGGCGTGTGCGCCTCCTCCTCCCAGAAGATGGCCGTCTGCGTGACGTTGTCGAACTTGACGATGCCGTCGAGGAAGGACGACTTGAGGCGATCGCAGTTGCCGTATGCGTACCGATGGCGCTTGGTGAGGAATGCGGGGTTGATGGTCGGGAGCTCCATGGAGGTGAAGGGGTTCGCTTGGAAGAGCAGCTCAGCCGGGAGGCGCTTGGAGGGCGAGACGCCGGCGTCGACGCTGGGGAGGCGGAATTGCGTGTGGCGGGGGATGCACGATTCGCGCTTCTTCTTGCCGGCGGCGTACTTCTTGCTTGCGGGCGAGGAGCTGACGAGGTTGTCGTAGTAGAAGCGGTGGATGATGTCGGTGTTTTCGTACGCGGCGAGCTCGGCGATGATGTCGGTTTTCTTGGGGTTGCTGGCGGAGGGCTCTTCCCAGGCGTTGACGGTGTGGAAGCAGAAGAAGGGGTCGCTTTCGTAGGTTGCGACGAGGCCTTTGCCGTTGCGCCGGTCGACGGCGTACCAGACGGCTTTCTTCTTCTTGTCGAAGGGCGCGATGCCGTCGACGACGTTCTGGTGGAAGGGAATGGACAGCCCGGCCCAGGTCACGTGGCTGTTCCAGACGCAGAGGACGACGTAGTTCTGGGTGATGAAGAGGGAGTGGATGTACGCGGGAGTGCCGGTGAACTTTGCCAATATAGAGGTCTCTCCTGTCGAAGCGGACGTGCAGAAGATGCGGTACGTGGGCGAGAGGCCAAACTCGAGATTGAAGTTGTAGATATCGCCCGTCTCCGGATCAGACTTGGCATGTGCTGCAGAGAATGGGCCCTTCAGATCCGGATGCAGCGAGCTCTGCATAGCGATTCCCTCCGGCTCCAGTGTCTCGGGATTGATTTTCTTCAGCAGACTACTGTCACTCTTGGCGTGCAGCGTCACGATAGGATTGTCACTGCTGTGGCCGTTGACAAGGGGCTTCTCGGCCGACTTGATATAGCCTCCACCGGGCATGTTGACGGACACAGTGACGCCGATGTTGTTGGCACTCGTCTTCGGCGCCGTGAACATGGTGAAGAACTTGGCGAATATGCTCTTGCAGAGGTCGCGCTTGGCGCCAAAGGTGATGCCGTCCAGCTTGCCGGTCCGCTTGACGGCCTCCAGTAACTCATCGACGGTGCGGCGGGAGCTGTACGTGACCTGCACAGGACCGTCGTCGGAACACTCGATCTCGAAGCGATGTATGGAAGAGAGACCATCGAACCAGTGGTTGGCGGCCCAGATGTTGCCCTTGTCGGTCCGCACTTTGTAGCCCATGGGTCCTGTTCTGTACAAAACGCCAGCTGCGTAGCGAGGGATCTCGCCCTTGACTTTGAGTTGGACAGGCTTGGGTTGCTCGAAGTCATTGTCGAACTGGATGTGTCAGAGGGTCAGGGGTACATGTGGAGGTTTTGTACTCACCCCTTTGTCATTGGGCCAGGAAGCCATCTTGATCGATTTGGGAGCGGAATAAGGGATAATGTAGGATCGCGAGGAGTTGTAGGGTGATGAGAGGGTGTTCAGGTTCCGGAAATAGGCGGTAGGAAGCGAGGTGAATGCGGTAAAAAGCGTACAACAGTGACGAGAATGAGGATAATGATAATGGAGAAGAGACATATGAAGAGCCTTGACCAAACGATGGCTCTTCTCAGCGATTGAGTCTCGCTGCAATGGAGCAATGTGCTGTTGATGTGCAGGACTAATTGAGTGAAGGGAACCAAGCGCTACTTTGGCTTCATATACAGACAATACCTCACCCCTCTCGCACGTAACCGTGAGGGAGGCAACGCAGATTCCCCGACAAAGACCAGCGACTCGGAGGCATAATGCGCCGCATGTGAACGAGGCCGTGATATTTGAGCTTCACTCGGTCAAAGAATAGTGCAACCCACCAGTATCCGCCTCGCTTCCCCATGCCCGCGCGTCTCGCATTCGCTCTGGCCATGGTAATAATAGTTATCGCGATTTGGAGCTAGAGCTGGTGAGCACTTGAGATGCGTCATAGACTCGTCGTGAGTGGTGAAGACAAAGTCGCCGCGGTTTTTGCTCGCCTTGGCGTTCGCCAGCTGCTGGCAAGGCTTACGGCCGTAAGGCCTGGGCTTGAACAGCGTGCAGTCGGAATGATTCCGACCGCACAGTGTGAACGTATCTCTTGGAATAAACTCCGTCGCAGTATTACTGAACATCGAGCATGCTCTCCTACAGCGTAGTCTCATGTTGCATGCCCAGGGTGAACTCGCTTCCCCCAGACTCCTCGCGCTCACACTACTCTTGGCCGGATCCGGACATATTAGGCGAGACATGTTCACATCTTGGACTGAAGGCTTTTTGGATATCCTTCTAGACTCCACTGCATCTGCGTCTGCAATGTTGTTTCATAAACCGAAGCCAGCTAGTATAGGGACGGAGCGATTAAGACGAGGCGATTTGCTACGAATGGAGCCGTAGATTTGGAAGTATTAGACGAAGAAGGACTACGTCGGACGCGCTATACGAGATATGAAGATCGAAAAACCTGCTGTGTACAATCGCTGTACCCGAGTTGGCCAACGAAGCTCTTCTTGCGTATCTATTCACCTCTTAGTAATAACACAAGGGAGGTTGGGTCCTCCTGGAGCACGCGGGAGCTTCTTCAGCCCTCTGGCTTGAGAAAGCGCAGTAGCCATAACTGAGATTCAAGGAGTATGCAATGTTTCCAATGCTCTGAGTGGCGAAGCAGAGAGGGAGACAGGACTGGTAACAGGAGAGGAATAGGAAACACATCATAATTGGTTGGCTTCTTACAGGTCATCAGGTGGGAGCACCAGCTGCGGCAAACAGTTGAGTGGAACAGTGGCAACCAGGGGAGAGGTCTGCTTTTCAATGATGCACCTTCATTCTGTTTCCAAATACCACTGCCGACTAGACCCCAGTATGTGTAACGGCTCATCAGAGGCCCTGCGCCAGTCCCGGGGCCGCACTTGGAGCATTCCGTCGCTTGCGTACCCAATCACCACATGAACGTCCGTGTATCAAACAGTGTCCATTTTGTGTCATGCAACCATGAAAGAGGTGTTTATTCGCCTGAAAAAGCCCGATACATGCCAAAGCCTTTCCATCCCGGCTGCGGAAAATGGCCCGCAGCCCCTTGTAGAACTCCCTCCCACCATGCACACGTTCCCGATAACAGGCGCCACATGCGTTTTCTTCCACCCTTTACCGATTGCTCTTGGCCACACGCTCCAACTCGTCCTTCTTCTTGATGGCATACGAGTTACTGCTGCCCTTGGCAGCGTTGATGAGCTCCTCAGCAAGGCACTCGGCAATGCTCTTGATGTTGCGGAAAGAGGCCTCGCGGGCTCCGATGGTGAGGAGGGCAATGGCCTGGTTGACACGGCGGAGAGGGGAGACATCGACGGCTTGACGGCGGACGGTACCAGCAGATCCAATACGGGTGCTGTCTTCGCGGGGACCGCAGTTGACGATGGCGTCAACGGCGACCTGGATGGGGTTCTGATCGGTCATGATGTGGATCTGGGGTCCATATTAGCAGTGTCCAAATTCATCCGATTGCCTAAACCATGATGTGCCGGCTCGTCGCTTGAAGGTTAACGTACGATCTCGAAGGCGTGGGCAACGATCCTGACGGCCATGAGCTTCTTGCCGTTGTTGCGACCGTTCATCATGAGGGAGTTGGTCAGGCGCTCAATGATGGGGCACTGAGCTTTCCTGAACCGCTTGACGGCATAGCGGCCAGCGGAGTGTGAGATGTAGACGGGAGTGCGGATCTGGATGTAGTCGCTGTTCGGTATTGTCAGCTTCGCTCAATCCCATCTCAAGTGTTCTTCCGGCACAACTGGCATGCCGCGCGAATTGAACACTCAAGCCGCTTGGATTCCGTACGTGAGAGAGATATCCCTGATCTCAACATCCTCGTAGCTCCACTTGTTGAACAGCTTGACGCTGCCAATCTCGTCCGTTACATCCTTGGGCAGGATGGTGTGTCCGGAGGGGTTCTCGACTTCGACTTCGCCGTCAGACATGATTGCGACTGTTGGTGGGACGACTGAGGGCGGGTCAGAGGGGTCGGAGTCGAGGTGGTCGTGGTCGCTGGGTAGAACAGATGTTGCTGCTCTCGAATTTGTCTGTGGTGCGGTTCGATTTGCGGTAAGCGAGCCTTGGCAGAAGCCCACCAATCCCCAGCGCAGACGTGCCGCACCCTGGTCGATCTCCAACATCATCACATTTCGGTGAAAAGAAAAGGTTACAGAGTCAAACTTGTTTATACGCAAATGAAGGAATAATTCCAGCACAGGATCCGCATCGACTGCAACACCGTATGCGCCAATCTCATCCAAGGCCACTTCACGAAACCAGCCCAAACGCCTTGAAATGCCAGAATGCATCGAAACACCTCCCAGGTCCCTAGAGTACTATAACCTCGCCCGGATATCATGTACTCGCTGGCCCCCTGTACTCACCGTCAGTACTAAGATACGCAACGGAGTTCCTGCTCCTTCGCTTTCATCGCCGTCCGCGTGCAACGGGCGCACTGATATCCCTTCGTTCCTTGACTCCCTCCATCATCTGCTTCCTCGGCGTAACATGTCCGGCAGCCATGCTCCTAGCCCTGCCGCGACGCTGTCTGATCGCTTCCAGAGCGGCTTCCCGGTCGATGGGAAGCTTGTTCAGCGAGATCTCACCTAACGCGTTTGACTGGATATTCGAGGGGGCATGGGCAACAGTTGAAGGTGTGAGCGGATGGTTGTCACGTTTGGCAGCCGGCGTGAAGGGCGAGAAGTGCAGCGGAACCGTGGTAGTGGTAGTGATCGTGCGTGTGATGTACTGGCCGGGCGTCGCCGGGCCCGGGGGACCAAAGAGAGGAGTTTGCGGCTCCGCGTTCTCATCGTCCGAAACCACAGCGTCTTCATATATGATGTCGTACTGCTGCGTCCCACGCCTTGACTTGACTTGGGAGCCGCGATTCTCCTTCAAGTCATCATCGGCTAGAGGAGGTAGAAGTGACGGACGTGCGTCGTCAGCATGGATCTCGGTGCTGTTTGCGTCGGGAGCCCACACAGAAGATTCCCTGGTCAGAGACAGGATGGAGGTGTTGGAACGAGTTGCGGGTGCGATAGAAAGGCCTGATGTCGCAGCTTTGGCAGGTGAGGGTACCGCACGGAATGTGCCAGACGTCGGTGAGAAGGTCAGAGTCGGTTCTTGACCGGGGTCTTCAGGATCAAGGTCAGTGCTTGTTTCCGGTGTTGCTGCTTTCTTCCCAGGGACCGCACTCTCTCCTTCGCACAGTGGCGGAGTAAGGGACGGTGCAGCATTCTCCAGAGGCTCGTCTTTGATGATCACATCTTCCATCATGTCCTCTCCATGGCTAGTAGGTGGCGGCGTCATCTCAGGAACAGAAGCCTTGATGTGTTCCATTTCAGCAGCATAGCTACCATCATGGACGAAGCTCGATCCCTTCATGTCGGCTATCCTGCATGAGCAGCAGCGGAACTGGCACTCCATCTTCATGAACTCGATTTGTTCTTGCGCGCGTGTGCGGAGTCGGCGCTCGGCAGCAAGTTCCTGTTGCGCAAACTTGAGCTCCACGGCTAGCTTTCTCGGCGCGACGTTTACGTGGTCACCCTCGCGGTCAGGACTCTGCTGCTTGCGTGGAGATCGAACAGGCGATGAAAACTCGTCCTGCTCGTCTTCGTTAGTGCTTGCAGGAAGCGGGATTCGCCCTTCAGCCGCTATCCGTAGCACTTCTTCCTCCTTCAAACTCGTCTTCAGCGCATCCCGCTCGCCTTCGACCAACTTCAGTTTGTCCTTGAGCGTTTGAATCTCTTCTTTCAGGCGAATCTCGACGCTTTCCAGGTCAACCTGCAAGCCATAGACCATATTCTTATATTTGTCTGCTTCTGCGGTTTGGAATTTGAGATCGGATTCTGCGATGCGAGCGTTGCGTTCCAGGCCTTGAATCCTGGTTTGCAGCGTCGGTACTTGGCTCGACTGTCTCATTATCTCTTTTGAGTACTCCATGTTCTTCTTCCTGTACTGCTGGACCTTCTCTTTGAGCATGCTGTTCTCCTGGTGGAATTTGTGCTTGGCTAGTGTTAGACAATGCTCGGATAGAAGTCATGAAGCACTCAGGACTCACAAGTTTCTCTGCTTGAGTCTTAACCTTAACCTCATAATCCCTTACAACCGCCTCCCACTTGCCAATCGTCTTACGATGCTCCTGTCGCATCTCGTCCCAAATCTCCCGAGGCACTGTATCTTCCACCGCCTTCTTAGCCTCCTTCGCCGCCGCCTTGAGCTCCTCGTTCCGGATCTCCAAGCGCGCAATCGCATCCGCATGTTTCTTTTCTAGCTCTTTGATCTCGTTCGCGTGCTTCAGTTTCTGCTTCTCGTAGGCTTCCATGTACTTATCGTGGGCCTCCTTAGGGTCGCGAATTCCGAGGTTCTCGAACATCGAAGCGAGGCCGCTCACGTTGGAGTCGCCTCTTCTGTGCTTGCGCAGCGGGGATGCGCGCAGGTCGGGGAGTGACGGCGATTGAGGCGTGGATGGGTTACCGTATAGCGGTTTTGTGCCCGCGGCGCGCTCGGGGCTCAGGGGGAAGAGAGGCATGCCTGGCGACATTGCCAATTTGGAAGGAGAAGGGGGATCCATCTGGATCGGGTTTTCTGTGAGTTTCGCCAGTTTGAATATGCTCTTGCTGAGTATGCTGGGTGTATGTTCTGGTGTGGTGCAAATGACAAGGTGCTGTGTGGTACATGGACTGGGGAAGAAACGCTCGGACGTAAACAAACCCACCCCTGCTCTAGCAACCGCGCACGGGCCAGTACCAAATGGCCCTCTGAGCACCACACTGAGAGGACTGACATCCTACATTTACTGATTTTCCTTTAGCAAATCTGGTTATGGAAAATTTCGACCGCTTACAGAATATCAAGTTTCAGACAGCTTTGCGTGAGTGCTTCTACAGGAACCAAAGTCTGGAATGAATGAGAGGTCACAACCATATTTCCAAAGTCAGATACAGACTTTACTCAGAGATATAAGTCGAAAGTCGCGTCCCTCGCTTGTATCATATATTCATAGAGAATCCAAGTCAATTCTGATCATCTCAGACTCAGTACTCCGTCAGTGACAGCAAGGAACCGCGCATTATAGGAATACCATCGATCACAGTTGCAGAGGCTCACTTAGTTACACAATTGGCATATCTGGAAATGGCAAAATTCAAAATTATAATTACAATTTGTTAAATCCTGATAATGAATCGCCTTTCTCGAAAAGTTTCAAGCTCGCTCGGTCGGTACGAATTCCTCCAATTCCTCCACTGTCTGTGGTTCCTGGGTGATCATAGATATATGGCTGAGCTGGGAGCGTCAAAGCTACTCTCTTCTCTGACACACTTCCGGTGTCACTCCACGCTGGTATTTTTCCTCAGCCAAGATGGGACCACCGCATCATCCAGATTCGTCGTCTTTGCAATGATTTCAGCGGCAAGTCTCACTCTAGCCCGTTGACCAATCTTCTTGGTCAGTTCAAGTCGCTCCTCCTCGTCATGTGGCAAGTCCACGCTGATAAGTGACCAATAATCTAGAACAGCCTGGCGGCTCAGAAGCATGCTCCAAACCCCTCCGTCGTTCGAGGCTTGCGCTTGACCCCATAATAAGGACCCGAAAACCCATGAGGGCCGCACGTCAAAATTCTCCCATTTTAACCCTCCGGGATAGTTGAAGTTCTGGAGGTATTGCACGATCGTTTCGAGTGCTTTTGAAGTACGGGGACCGGTAACTATTGACAGGGAGTCGTGTGCACGAACGATTGCACAATCAAATTCACCAGAGCGACGAATCTCCACCAGGCTCCAATGTTGGTTGTGCTCGATAGGCCAGAGGATATAGTGAAAGCCGGTCTTCTCAATTTCACTTAGATTGGGAAAACACGGCCATGGATCCCCAGGAAGGCGATCGAGGAGCTGTGTAGCTGCCGATGGATCCATGCATATGACAGGTTGCGTACACCTATGACGGCAGGAGGCTTTGATTGCGCTTATGACCGCAAAGTAGTCCTTGATGGTTTCGCCTGTTATGTTTTCGTTCGGCTTGAGCTCCTGCTGTATTCGCTGCAACTCCAGGAACTGCTGATGTTTCGCAGGTTTGATCCAGTCTCCGGAGAAGAATCGCTCCATAGCTTTTGCCCAAGGGCCAGGAAGTGGGGGAACGAGCCGGTCAAAGTTGTCCTTCTGGCGTGTCTGTGTATCCTCATATGTTCTCTTTTTCGAAGACTCCGGTGGCATTGTGGAACCGCTGTCAGTAATCGTCAGTCAAATATCATCGAACTGGTCCAGCAACCTACAGGTAAATGGATCTCAGCGTTGCCTCTGAAATGCTTCTGTGAGTAATAGGCTGCCGGCAATATCACTTGTGGTGTACGCTGTGCCGGATGTGGAGCAAAAGCAAGTTTGTGAGCAGGAACCGTCAAAGTACATTGTCAGAGGGAAACGTTGAAGCGGAGAGTGGGGGGATCTATTTATACAACGAGAAGGCTGCGGCGGTGAGCAGAGTAGCAGTATGACCGCCCTGGCGGTACTCCAACGCTTACCGCCTATTGCCTGTTACATACCTTCCGTTTTACTTTGACTTAGCTTTACGTTCAAGAAGTTGAAGTAAGAGTATTTTTTAACGCCACGTGGTAAGCGAGTACAGTGCCTTCAGTCGAGGGTCGAATCCTCTAAGTTGATACTACCTTAGCAGATCGAATTCATCTTCGATTTTACGTCCTAAAAGCCCAGTATACAATCCGTCGATTACTATGATATTGGATTATATGCAAGTGCGGAATTTTAAGCTGCATGGACATTTCACTTGTTTCCACATATTATATCTATCATCGTTAAGCTATTTCGCCAATAACTATGACCAATTCGAATCATTCCTCATCCGAGGTAAGACTTAGCTACCTGTTCCACTCGCAATATCTGTACCCAAGACTCACTGCCCAGTGCCATCCCCATCGCCCTGCCCAAGCACTAGCACCAACCGCTTCCCCCCAACACCAAACACCCCCTCACTCCCAAAACACTTCACTACTCTGACACCCTCCGCCGAATACCGAACCAACGAACCCACCCTACCCGCAAAACTATGTCCCTCACACCCCTTAGCACCACAACGCGTCTCTCTCGCACCCTTCTCCCGCAAATAACACAGTCCACTGGTACACGCACGCGCGTTGCGCAGATGACGACATCGGAATTCCAACGGGAGTTGCCAGGATTGGAGGGTGATGGTTTTCCTGGGGAGGGTTCTGAGGACGGCGTAGTCGAGCGCAGTGGGTTGGGACGTTGGGTAGCTGTAGGTGAGAGTGTATTGGGTTGTGTGTGGCTCTGTTTCGCCTAGGGGGTCGAAGTGCCCTGCGGTTTTGCTCATTTTGCGTTGTTGATGGTGAGGATCGATGTTTCTGTACCTGTATTCTGGGATTTCTGCAGTGGGATTGATTATTTCGTATACGGTCTAAGAACATTGCAAGACTGCAGTGGTATAAAGAGTTGAACAAGGTGAGTGCTGGTATGTGCATGCCGCGGCTGCAAACAAAGAACTTCACAGTTCGCGAACTGGACTTATTCGTACAAGGCCATAGTGAAACCCTCTCCATGGAAAGGGACAATCAAACCCTTGTCCTCGTACTCTTTGTGATAGTTTGTCTTCTTTGCGGGCCGGTTTCCATGGGCCATTCATCATAGCCACTCTCATGAGCTCGAGGTCACTTACAGATGCCACTCCACATTCACATACACTTGTCACAAGTGCAACTGCAGGATTTCCACGGATGAAAAAAACGGTATTAATTGTACGACGAAGCTAAATATGTACCGAAGTTAACTATCCTTGCCGGGGCACTTCCTACGCCTTGAACGGGTCTGAGTTGTATTCACCGTCCAGATCAAAGTTGCCGCAGCCTCCCAGACGAGCTATCACACGTTAGTTAGCCTAAACACTCGTTTCAGCTTCACGGTAGAGTTACATACCCAGAGTGCAGTGGTTGTCCGTGTAGTGGCCGTTGACGAAGCAATCCAGATCGCGCAGGTAGTGCCATCCACTTCACCAAACCCGTCAGCAAAGGCCATACAGTGCATCACTTCTATTGCATGGAAAAAAAAACATACCAGTTCTTGGCGCCGTTGATGGTGACGCACTCGCCCGTCTTGACACACCAGAAGTCGTAGGCGTTGCCGCGGGTCAGCGTCCTCTTGACGCGTGCACTCGTCGTCCACCCCGAGCGGCAGTTGACTGTCGAGGAGCCGCCGATGATGGCGCAGTGCTGGGGCCGTTCGATGGTTCTGGCTTCGACGACGTCGTCGGCCTCGACGGGGCCCGGGTTGGCCATGATGCCGAGGGGGAGAAGAGCGCTGGCGACGAGGACGGAGAACTTCATGGTTGCGAGACGTGGTTGAAGTGCGACTGAACTCGGGTTTGGCTCGTAGTCGAGTTGTAAACATGCGCGATGCAGCAGCCTTAAATCTATCCCCGCGTCAGGTCCCCAGACCGCTTCTTTGAATAACTCAAATAAGGATTTGCCCAACTGACTTTGCATAGCAAGCTCTAAACATCGTATTCGGCATTGCGTTCCTTTTGCGCCCCTAAGCGCCGTGGTTCGCTAACTGCTTGTAGTATGGGGTACGCTAAACCACCAGGAGATGAGACTAGATCTGGAAGCTGGGAGGAAATTTGACGAGCTGAGAAAAAAATTAGTTTTCTTGGATTTGTGGCACGTGAACCGCAATGATTCGAATTTGAATTACTGCATCAAAGCGGCGGTCAATATCGATCTCATGGACTTGAAGAAAGGACAATTCCGTCAATTCTGCAGTCTATGTATACACATACCATTGTTCGTTTAGAATAGGTTGGGATTTGTGTAAAGACAGTTGGGGGTTTCATGTATGAGAGGCGGATAACCGGCTATACCACAGTGCACCGGGCGGTAAGAGGAGCATTTCTCGAAGTATTTTCAAGAATCAAAACATGTGACGAACACTAGAAAGCATTGCCGACAATAGTCGGATGTAGCTTGCTCTCTGACTGTAAGGCTGCTGTCAGTGAGGTTGTTGGAAGCTTTGTGATCAAGAATCCGCTATGGCTAGAAAGCGGTTGTTAGGTATAAGGCTGCTCCTCAGTGTATCTACCAAGTGAGAAGCAACACCGTCGTCAAAGGCGCATGCAGCACCCATTGTCTGAGGGTATGTCAGTCATCGTGCAAGCAAGGCACGGCTCACAATCAATCACTGCCCTACCGCCGCGTCAAAAACAAAGCACTCACCCTCGTAGCCACTCGGAATCACCCCCTTTCCCGACACCAACTTCCAACAATCACATCCACACATCGGTGCCTTACCCATACCTGAGCGCAAGCACCGTGACCCTGCGGATTATATCAACGCCCTATGCCGCATCGATATGCGAAGGTGAAGATGTGGATTACTCGTAACAAGACGAATATAGTAATCGAAAATAGAACACTGAATGTGAATGCATGCGTCACTCTTCCTCAGGACGTCCTGCATTGACAGTCATTAGCAGAGAACTCAGCCTACATCGAGGACAATATAGGGAACGACACAGAAAAGACGCACATGATAGAGACACCGTTGCATGCAAGGTTAGCTAGCAGAAACATGAAGCCAGCACTCACTCAACAGAGACGTGCATTGTATGTTCTGTACATGGGTATCGTTGCTCTATACATTATATCTTCCTTCAACCATAATCACATATCGCCCCTTCCACCTCCTCACTACACAGCCAAACCACCTACAACAGCAAGGCAGCAGCCGCCACACCCAGAGCCATAACCGGTCCCGCCGCACCCATATGCGAAGCAGCACCCGTAGGCTTGGAACCCGCAGCAGTACCAGAACCAGAAAGGGCGGCGGAGCCAGTAGGCGTAGTCGTGGTCTTGAAGCCGGAGCCCGTCGTCGAGGGAGCGGCGCTGTCGGTGGGCTTCGCGCCGGCCGTGGCCGAGAGCTTCTCTTCGCCAGCCGTGATGATGAACTTGACGTCGCCAATCTTCTCCTTCTGCTCGCGGTACGACAATTCCTTTGGCAGCTCGGAAACGCCGGGCGTGCAGAAAGAAAGGTCCTCGTCGCCAAAGTAGAACGTCTCGGTGACGGTTTCGGTGAGAACCTTGCCGTTCTCGGTGACGGTCGTCTTGTAGGTGGTGGTGATCTCCGTGTTGGTGGGGGCGGGTTGGGTCAACATGGTGACGGAGCCGCAGTATTCCTTGACCAGCCCATCACCCCATTGGGAAAGGACGCACGAGGCGGTGACCTTGTCCTTCATGTCGCAGCCGAGACTGTAGGTAGCATCCTGGATGTTTCCAAGTGAATTCATCACGATTTCAACGCTCGTGGTCCCGTGGAGGGTCATTGTCTGCTTCGGCACAGCATCCGTCATCTCCGTGTCGTTGTACTCGATGACCATGGTGGTTTTATCTCCGTCTACCCCAACGACAGAGCCAAGGTAGGCTTCCTCCGTGGTGGCATCACCGCCAAACGGCAGGCGGATCGAGGTGGTCAGCTCCGCAGACGCGGTGGCAGCCAAAAGGAGTGCTGCGAGAAGACGGGCCATTATGAATGAGTGTGTAGTGTGTAAAACGAGTGTCGATGTAGATTAAGAAATTACTATATCAAAGTTCGCCTGAACGAGTGATGCGAACGCGATAGGAAGCGATGAAGAGAAAGGATCGCAAGGCGAAAGGGATGTGGTCATCTTTATCCTGAGCGCTGGTGCGGAATCGATCGTCCCATGTTCCGAGGATGATGACTAGGGGGTTGCAGATTTGGCTAGCGTAGACCCGAAATAGTAAGCCATCAGCCTAGTCGAGTTCGCGTAGGATGAGTAAAATTGCTTCTCCTCTAGGCGAGGTTTCTAACTGGCAGAGACGATTGCACAGACCGTTGCTTGACAATCCTGACACAAGGAGACAGGCATAGGGTCTCGATTTCCGGATGCCAGGTCCGTGACCGGTGAGCCTTGGGAAGAAAACCACATATCCAGTATCGTGAAGGCCCCAAACCGCCTGGTGTCGCCCCTGGAGCTGTCGTGCCGTAGAAATTCCGCCCCACGGTGTGCTGTTTTCGAGTTCGCTTCGCTCCAATTCCCTCCTTTGTAAGGGGTTGTACTTGGTGCTGTCAAACCGCAGGTAAAGCGACGCGGACACGACGGGACCACGTTCCTGTTGGGCTGACACAGTCCAATTTCGCCTCCTCCGCTTGCATCGCTGCCTACTTTTCCAATCTCTTTCAAAGTTTCGAAATGCATCACCAGGCAGCAGCCTGTGGCGGATTCACTGTTCAAGTTAGCAATCTCCCGGCCGTAGGGAGTCTCCTCCGTCGGCGGCCGAAGTTTTCTGAAATTCTGCCAGCATTTCTGCCACGGAAAAGGTCCGTGTGCCTTAGCGCTCTTGTCTGACCCTGCGCGACTCTGATCGTTCACCGCGAAGTCATCTCGTCTTTCCTTGGGCGCTTGGAATAATGTTGGTACTGTATTTGAATTTTTTTGGTGGAAGAAGAGAGGAAAGATGAGGTTGAAATAACCTTCTGGCAATGACGCCAAGCCAAGCCGACTGTGCCTTCCTCATTCACTCAGCTGCAGGGACAACTCCACCTGGGCACATTCACGATTGCCGTCATACGGCTGAGACGCACGCCACAGCTGAAGATCATTCCAGCCCTACGACTGTGGCAGGCAGGAAATGTAGAGTGTGTATGGAGTGGAGCTCATCGGAATAGTAATGAGAAGCATATCCCGGATCTCGGGCCTACTATTTCACCTGATCAACGGCATATTCAGTCGTCTACGTAATATACAATCAATGGCCGCGGCCAACGCGACCGGCTGGATCTAACAACGCTGAACCCACCCCATCCCGCTCAACCCAAACCCAAAAATCAGAAAGACATATCCGTCCATCATGAAGTATGAAGCAACAACTCCAACCCCAACAACCCAATCATAACAGAAAACAGCCAAGGCCTTTCAAGCCCAGAAAAGCCACCCCCATCCACTCCATGCCCTCCCCGAAAAAGTACAACTTCAATCTCCGCCTCCTAAACAAACACTGCCAAATAGCATGTTCTCGCAGCAAATCGAGATATTCCTCCCTCAGAACCAATAACAGTCCCCACTCCTGCTGACCTCGAAACTGCACCCAAGTCCCCTTCCCACCTCTGCCAAGGCCCTCTCGCCCTCCCTCAGCTCCTGCAATATCCGCTCCCCGACCAACGGCCCATCAGCCATCCCATCCTTCACGTGGATGATCACGACCTTGACTCCCTTAAGAGGCGGCACGTCGTGCATATGCGCTGCCGTCAACAGCGCCCGCGTATGCTCTGCAGACACGGCGGGAAGGTTCAGCGGGGTAGGGGTAGGCACGGGGTTGCTCAGTGGCGTGAGGGCCGGGTGCGCAAGGGGCGCTGACTTGGGCGTACTCTGCACAGCGGAGGGAGTCAGAGTCGCCAAAGGCTGGGGAAGCAGCGCAGGGCTCGGCGCAAAGTCCGTCATGACCTCGTCTTCTCTCGCGTTGCGCGCCTCTCGCTCGCGCTCCGCGAGCAGGCTCCTCGTACGGCTGCTCTTCCTGCCGACGCCGTCGCCGCCGTCGGAGACGGAGCCGTCGACATGTAGATGCGTGGTCGTGCCTCCTAGCAATCCGTGGCTAGCTCTTTTTCTCTTGCGGCCTTTGCGCGCCTCTTCCCGTCCGCGTTGATGCTCCTTTCGGTTTTCCTTCACCATGTCGGCTAGAGTCTGTAGCTCGGCGAGGAGGTGCCGCGGCGCTAGGTGGCCGTATAGGACGGCATCGCCCTGCGCATCGGTGTAGCTGCACTCGATGAAGATGCCTGTGAGAGTCCCCGACGCAATCTTGGGCGCTGCCTCCGCCCACACGAGCGCCGTCTTGGGGGACAGCGAAATGGAATCGGGCTCCACGTCGCCGAAAATCAGAATCTCCCTGCACGGCGTCTGATGCACTGCTTCTGCGCGGATGAAGTACGCCGTCGAGTCGATGACGTTTGCGTCAGCCTGCGTCGTAGCAGTGACGCTAGCAACGCTTCCCTGCCGCCCTTGATCAGAGACATGGCCGGTGATCAGGGGCGTGCCAGGTCCGCTCTGCACAGCGAGAGAGAAGCTCAGGGAGCGGCCGTCGCGGCCTTCAACCTTTGTGCCATCCTGGTGCGCATACGTCGAGGTGCGAGACAGGCCTGGGGTTTCCGGGTGGACGTTGGAGTTGCGATGGATGGATCCAGGACCGCCTATGCAGTTCCCGTGACTGACTTTGAAGCCGCGCACGCCTAGGCCGTCGCACACTTCGATGTAGCCGCTCCCGCTGCCTTCGCCGAGAGCGATGTTCCCGCCTTCGGCTAGGCGCTGGAAAGTAACGAGGCCTACGCCGCCGTCTTCGTCGGTCAGATTAGGCCAGAGGATGTTGTTGAAGAGATGGGTCTTGATTGCATTCACGGTAAAAGGTAACGCTGCCAGTCGTTTCGGTCGAGATGTGTTGTGGAAGGCTGCGGTGTTGATCACAAAGGCGGAAACATGGTCTAAATGAGGATGTGTTATGAGCCAGGTCGACACATGTTCTCTCACCACATGCAGTGCATTTGCTCGTGCACTCGCATGCGGAAAGGGGAGGCCTGCGAAAGCTCCTGAGGTTAACGTTGTGAATACCGGCTCTGGCTCCTCAAATGAAGACTCTGTGCCACTGCTGCTCGACTCGTCATCTGGAAGCGGGAAGCGGGTCGTCTTGGGGGAAGGCGATCCCTCGTCTGCTGCACGGGTGTACGCGTTCCCTCGACCATTGCGTGGTGCTGGTGCCCGAGGTGGTCTCTGATCCGGGGGGTCTGCGACCAGTGGAAAGTCTTTCTCTAATATGCGCGTGATGGCAGCAAGGTGGGAGCCTGCATCCACTGCCAACAAGGAGTTCTTGGACCAGTTGGTTGCGGTGGAGCGAACCAAGAAGCCGGTCACATTGTCTTCAGACGGACCTCCTCCAGAACCCTAAATATGTTAGTGATGATCCATATGCAGAGACGCTTGATGATCATTGGATCGCCATTGCAGGAAGCTAGCCCGCGGGTCGCATAGGTTCCCCTCTTGCTTCACGGTCGATTTGGCAACATTCAATACCACCAGGAATTTCAACAGAGGAAAGCGCAAGACTCACCAAACAGATGACTTGAATAGCAGGCTCACCCGAATGCGCTGATGATCTCCTCCCACGCCCATGACCTTCACTCTCCTTCATCCTCTTCGAACCCTCACGGTGGAACACGTCGAGTCCAATCCACACGGGCTGATGGATATGTCTCAGCCTCCACACTGTTCCACCTCTTCGGCACGCGTAGATCTCCCGCTTCAGGCTGCGTGGTTCCGAAATAGTAGCGAGGCTTGTCTCAGCCACAAGTGCGCCGTCGACTGACGCTGCATAGAACGAGGTCGTGGAGAGTCGTCCAAAATGGCCAGACAGACAATAACAGTTGAGGAAGCTTCGTAGATCCGTAGCAATGAGAACCGTCCTGGAGACGCGCGCGGTAGTCAATGGGAAACCAACTAGGGATCTAATCCAACGGTGTAGATCCCAGCGAACAAGCCACCTACTCCAGCAGTCACTGAGTGACACAGCGGCGCTCGCTCCTCGTTAGTCGAATGCAGGCGTCCGATAAGTCCGGTCCAGCAAGTCCTTCGTGCAACGCCCTCCGCATATGCCTTTTAGTTTGGATTCCAGACAAAGCAAACAGCACCTTGCGCAAGATATCAAAGGGGGGTTTCTCCGGCCGTCCCTTCTTTAAAGCCCGTCTCTTTTGCAATCCTTATCACCGGTTCCTCGACAAAGAATGGATTCCACGTGCGGTGTCGCCCCTCTGCGGCTCAAGCCCAGGTCGGGGTGTACAATGTGGGATGCGCCCGGACGGTCCTGGCGATGTCCTCCACGCAGAGTGTCGCTGCAATGACCCCACTAGCAGCGCAATCCAGACAGATAGCTTGCGAAAGTTATCTGAACAGCACAATGGCAGCGCGGCGCCTGGGAGGTGTCGTTGTTCGCAGAACTCGAGGTGAAACCACCTGGCTTGGCCGCGCCAAGTCGAAGGACCCCGGACGAGGGATCGCTGGTGAGCCAATCGGACCCACCATCTTTGTTTGGCGGCCTCAGATCTGGGGCCTCGAAGGAACGTCATCGGTGAAGGAAGCTTAGGACCAACTTAAAGAGGACACGACTCCACCAACTGCTCGTTTCTTGCCGGAGACTGCCAGTGGCTGGCCTCATCGCCATCCTGTAGCCATCAACTGAGCGGCGCAAGATACAGCGACAGCGTCTGGACCTAGACCTAGGGAATGCGCTACCAGGACCACCGTACGTGCAGACCAGTCAGCCATAGGGAGACATCAATTCATCAGATACCTCAGCATTAGGTTCTACCCAGTTTACTTCACAGTCATGCAGAAATGGGCGCAGGGCGTGTCGTCAGTATTGCATTTTGTCTTATTGCGCAGCATCTCTATTACCGACATGGGAAATCTCGGAGAGCTTCACCCGATCAAAGGGGTCGCGCAATGAATGCGTGTCCGGGCACGCTTCCATATCCCATTCGTCATCCGGTATATCCATTCGTAAACACGTACATCATCCCGCGTAAACCATGCCTTCTCTACGATCCCAAGCAAGCATCTACTTGAAGACCTTGCCGTCAGCCCACTCGTACGTCTTGCCATCAACGACAATGGGCTTGTCCCACGCCCACTGGTCGTTGACAAACTCCCTGTCTTCAGGCTTGTTGGGGTCGAGCCTGGTGAACTCGTAGCTCTCATAATCGGGAGCAACGTCGAAAGCAGCAAGAGCGTTGTCGCCACGGATGACGAACGCACCCTTGATGATGGAGTCGTTGGACTGGCCATATACAGACGCAGCGCCGAAGATGTACTTGCGGCTGGCCTCAAGACGAGCGAAGAAGCCGCCTAGTGCTGGTCAGCAATGTTGGTCTTCTCGATATGGACGAATACTCACCAATCAAGTTGGAGGTCATGAAGGTGAGGGTCAACTCGTTGTTGTACTTGTAGTCGACCTTCCAGATGGAGTACTCCTCGAAGTTGCAGTTCTCCCAGAACCAGGGGAGAGCGACCTCACGCGTGTCCTCGTTGGAGTACTTGCGCTTCCAGTCATCAAGAACAAAGGTAGCACGGGGGAGGGCGTCCAGGGGGTGCTTGGGCTTGGGCGCCGGCTTCTCCTCCTCTTCTTCCTCGGCGGCCTCCTCCTTCTTTGGCTTAGGAGCGGCCTTGGGAGCCTCCTTCTTGGGTGCAGCCTCCTTCTTGGGGGGAACGTTCTTCAGAGCCTCATCGATGAACTCGAGCTTGCCGGCAACGGCAGTGTAGTTGGGCAGGTTGTAGACCGTCTCGTACCAACGGGTGAGGTTGGGGTTCTCCTCACGCCACTTCTTGTCAAAGAAGTACTGGAAGCCACGGGCAAGAATGCTGGCAGCGAAGATATCGGCCAGAGTCAGACGCTCGCCAACGAGGTAGGTGTGGGTAAGTAGGTGCTCCTCGACGACGTGGACGGCCTTGAGGGCGGCCTTTTGTGAGTCCTCCACGTTCTTCTTGTTGTAGGGGTCACGGCCGAGGATGGGACGGAACCAGCCACCCAGGGGCGGGAGGATCTCGCTGTTAGCGAAGGACATCCAGCGCAGGATGGAGGCATAGTCCTGTTTGGTCTTGCCCAGAAGCGTGGTCTTCTCGTTCTGAGAGGTGACTGTGTGCGTTAGCAGGGAACCCCGCTTTGAAGTCCAGCAAGGTACAAGAGAAGTTCGCAAACGAAAATCAGAGTAAAGGATCTCAACAAGTGTTTTCAGACAGGGATAACTGAATGATAATATGTCTCATCTCATTGCGCACTCAAAGGAAAAGAAGAAAGAAAAGAGGGGAACGTACGGTACACGGCAATGGCGATGCATTCGCTGAGGACAAAGCCATCAGCGCCCTGGAAGGTGGGGACCTTTCCGAGCTTGTTGAGCTTCAGGTACTCCTCAGAGACGCCGTCGGCGGGAACAGTCTCGACGAATTCAAGGTCGAGGTTGTTCTCCTTTGCGACCACCCGCAGAGCAGTAGTGCGAGGGTTGCCCTATTTCGTCGATGTTAGCATCCATGGTCAATACTGGAGGAGAGCAGGCATACATTGTAGCTGTAAAGCTTTCCGAACGACATGGTTGCGAGTGCTGTGGGCTGAAAATGAAGGCACAAGCAGAAGTTGTTTTGGAGAGGCGGGGCAGGTTGGAAGAAAAAGTGATGGTTGGGCTGCCGTGGCCGCCTTGACGAACCGGCCATGGCTTTAGAGTTTTTCCGCGCTTCAGAATTGGACTAGCGCCTTGGCATTATGTTCCTTCTCCCAGCATCACCATCCAGAAATATCGACGAGTGCATCAATCCGCTCCATCCCGTCATCTTCTCGCCCTCAGGTCGCAATGGCGCGGGGAGAGCTCTCGGGGAGCCTGCGGAGGGCCATTGACCTGCTAGGAAGGGCTTACTGCAGTCCTGCGGTCCGATTTCCAAACACGATTCGACATTCACGATGCCTTTCCACTACCACGTCGCGCTGCGCCGAGCTCACGAGCGAGACGCACGAGAAGTTCACGGCCGCACCCCCGATCGATTTCAGCAAACCAGACGCAGGAAGACCTAAGACGGGGAAGCAACTGCTGCGGACACTCAGGGTCGTTCCAGCGTCGCCCTCCTATTTCAGCGCAAAACCCACCTTCAACGACGATTGGGTTGCTCTTACGGCGCTGCTCCGCAAGTTCGCAACCCTCCCTACCGTCCCTCTCCCCGAAGCACCAAAGGTCGCGTGGAAGACGATCGACCAGTACCGCATCATGACCAACGAGCCGGTCAAGACGCTGCGATATCACAAGATGCTGCATGTTCTACGGCGGCTGAACCGCATACACTCTTCGCTCATGCCCCAGGAGGTGCTCGTTGCCATGCAACGGTATAAGAAAGATACGCAACCGAGCGACATGAGACCGAATCCGGTGTTCGTGGATGAGGCAGGCCGAGCTAAGGGGGTTGGCCGGAGAAAGACATCTTCGGCAGTAGCCTGGCTTGTGGAGGGAGAGGGCGAGGTGCTGATCAATGGCAAGACCCTGACTGATTTCTTCGGACGGGTGCACGATCGGGAAAGCGCGGTGTGGGCGCTGAAGGCGACTCAGAGACTGGACAAGTACAATGTTTTCGCATTGGTCAGGGGTGGAGGAGTGACAGGTCAGGCGGAGGCTTTGACACTGGCAATAGCAAAGGCACTGCTGGTCCACGAACCGGCTCTGAAGCCTGCGCTGCGAAGAGGTCAGCTTGAGTTTCCCCCTGCTTTTCCCGGTTCTGTTTTCCACTCGATCTGCATGATCATGTACTCATCTGCATGTTCCCTCTTGATACGCACCCTCTATACACAGGAGTCACTTGCTAACCTTGACCAGCTGGCACTGTCACACGTGATCCGAGGAAAGTCGAAAGGAAGAAGACCGGCCACGTCAAAGCTCGCAAGATGCCCACCTGGGTCAAGCGTTAGGATTCACCCTTGTATACTATGTTGTATATTGTTCAATATCTCTTCAGCGGGCTTGGTAGAATTTACGAACACCATTCGGAGTCAATTACAGAGGTGGCATCTGGTCTCTGGGCTCGCTCTCGGTCTAATAGCCGCCTACCCATGCGATTGATATTGCGCTCTGCAGCGCTTGTGACTTTGCTTTCGACGTCGGCTTGAAGGTCCGAAGGCAGCTGTGCTCACGTCGAATGGTGTTGAAACCATGCTGACCAGCAGTCTGGTCACTGGCGTTTCATACACCATATGTTGGTGCAACAGATATCGGGCCATCTACTAGAAGCGGACGACAACCGAAAAGCCTATTACTGTCGTGGTCAGTGCGAATGCTCGCACTTTTTAGGTCCTCTTCATGCCTGGGCTTGAGATGCTGATGTCTGCAGGTGTGCATTTTCGCCTTTGAGACTTGGGCATGGTCCAGCCACGGCACGCATCTTTCCGAACCCTGCCAGCATAACATGCACCTCTTCGTCAGTTGTTCAAGTTCGAGCGGCATCGCAGTCAGCACTACTACAGACTTTGCCAAACGCATGTCGACCCTTGTTGGTGAATCCTGTCGATGAGAAGAGCGCCGTCCGCCATCTGGCTATGAGGGGACGTTCATTTAAGAACCGAAGGTGCAGACGCGCTAGCGATGTTATCCGACCTCATCCCTGTGTCGATGCGGAACACACCTGACTTCCACCCATCCAGATTGTCACCGTCTCGGTCAGGACGGCCCCCCGCAGTCGAATAATAATGAGGATATGTGTGCTGCAGTCAGCGGTCTGTACGGAGTACACAAGTCAGCAGCCTTGACTGATTATCGTGAACAGGGACTTGGCGCACCAGCGTAGGCGGGTAGATTCGACGCTACGACATGTGGTGTTGCATCTTGGTTTAACCGGGGACGGGCGAAGACATCGCGAAACCTGATTCATACGTCGAAACACAAGACATCCAATTGGAGCATTTTTCAGCAAGGCAGTCCAATCATCTTACTCGCCCTACGCGTGGATGTTCGCCATGATTCGCTTCTGGACGACCATCTTGATGCCGGCAATTAAAAGGCCGCAACACCCAGCCTCAACGGCTAAAATGCCAGGGGTATACCCGCCTAGGCCGTGGCATTTCCGGGCCAAGTTGGTGAAGCAGGATAACGGTCGTCCTCTGATCGACGGCTGGCGTGAATTGCGCTTGAGCAGGGCCTCTTGAGGCTCTGAGTGGCTGATTCGTCAGATGAATCTCATCTCCTGGACCCTCGTTATTGCAGCCAACGGCTTCACGGTTCTTCGGAGATGGCCATTATTCTTTACACAAAAAAAAAAAAAAAAAAAAAAAAAAAAAAAAAAAAAAACCCCAAGCAGAGTCGCACATGCTACCTAGCAGTTTTGCAAAGGATGATTGAAACCTTCTCGAACAGGTCATCGACGTGGTAGGCCTGCAATTTCAGGCAATGCGCCCTCGGTGGGCGGGTAAGGACCGCTATACGATCGCTGTTGGGATCGGATGACGCCGCGCTCGTCTCTTGACGGCCATGCACGATGCCCAGCTCCAACTCCTACGTCGCTTGGCCCGTTTCATCTGGCGGCTGTTGTCTACACACTGCAATTGACAAATTGTTTCCAGCCCTTCCAGAAGAGCAATGTCTCGCAGGGCTCTCCCCGCGGCATGCCACGTGAGTGCAGAACCCCTCCGGATTTCCATGCGGACCGCGGAATGAACGTCTGGACCAGATAGAGGTCGTGCCCATGTGGATGAGCAGGGAATGGCATGATTGCTGTACCGATGTTCTCAACATTTGGCAGATGGGCCTCGCTTTTGGTGCCGACGGCTGCGTCGGAAGGAGGGCTGACGGCGCACAGAGCTCTCGTCGACAAACCGCCAGTCAGACGTGCAGGGAGAGCTCCGACGACGGTCTGGCAGCTTCCGCCTGCGTGGATCCTGCATGTGCCATCCGAAGGGACGGGGGAATTGAGAGGGAGTATTGTTATCAAAGGGATGGGAGTCGGGGTCGACATACTGTCATACGTCTGAGCAACAACTACGTCGGTCGGCCCGCGACGACATCAATAATCTTGAAGGCCACGATATCGATCGACAATGGGGCATTCTGGGCAAAAATGTGGAGAGGATCTGCCACTGCGCACGCGTTTGCGCCCAACCCCTGCATGATCCCGCACCACGAGAGATGAGCGATGCCGAAATTGGCTCCTCCAGTCCCGGGCCCTGTCAGCCCTCGCGCCAGCGACCTGACGACGTCCTTGTTCTGCCAGCCAGCCCTGTAGGAGACCCAACAGACCCTTCTTCGGTCCCTGGTGGATGACGCGCCGAAGCCTGCCAGTGTTTGATGATTTGGCAACCTGCGAAACAATCAGACCCGCCTGTCTCTTGCATGAAACACGTCTGCGACGCTCCCGTCCGGCGTCTTCAGAGGCTTCAATTGTGTACGGAGTACACACTCTCACAAAGCCCTTCAGCTGCGATAGTTACGCTTGGGACGTCTAACCTCAAAGCGCCATGTGGCGTCTCGATGCCATGGCACGCTGGATGTGGACGGAACAGGATGAGGACCTTCCCTCTGTCCTTAGCAGGGCGATATGGCAGCTGATGAACTCAGGCCGCCTGCTTTCCGCATGATGCCGGAGACGGTGCAGCGCTCCGGTAGGACTTGGGACAATGCTGCTGCTTCGACTTCGCTTACTGCTTACTGCTGGGTGCTGCTGATGATAGAGGGTAGGTACGGAGTACAGCGTCGTGAGACTCTCCCAGTACTGGCAGACAACAGATGTGGGCTGGCGCCTTGCAGCCACGCCTCGCATGCCCTGGGCCCTGCGGATCGAAGGGTGATCTGTAACGGTGGCTAGCCAGGCCGTGCAGGCTCTCGTGCCAGACTAGTTCGTCCAAAAAAACACCCGCCATCCCAATAATATCGGATCATCGGAGGGTTTTGCGTGCCAGGCTTTGCGACCTTTGCCAGACAGGCTGACTGCCTGCTAACTGGCACTGGCGGGAATAGAGCCTCTGACGCCTCGTGGCTCTTGCATTCATTTCCTCCACTTGCGCTGAAGCTACAATCCTCAACAACCTACCTACACCCTCTCCCGAACCCCATCCGCATTCCCCCCCCCCCCCCCCCCCCCCCCCCCCCCCCCCCCCCCCCCCCCCCCCCCCCCCCCCCCCCCCCCCCCCCCCCTCCCCCCCCCCCCCCCCCCCCCCCCCCCCCCCCCATCGCGGTTGGGCTATTCATCCTGTCCCTCTCCCCAGCATATCCGGTGAGCTCCCTCAGCGGCCCCGCTCCAGCTATATCTCCTACGAGCCGTGGCGCCTGGTGAGTTTCTGTCGCCCTGGATGTCCTGCATCTCCGTGGTGGATTGTCCGTCATTCACCACCTTCACCATTTGTTCCTCAACTCAGACCACTT